AATAAGTAACAAGATAAGTGCAGTTAAATTATAAATATGATATGGAAAGTTTAAATAGAAACAGGATAATCTTATTCATACTGGGAATGAAATAAGTTTAGCTAAGCTAAGAATGGGATAACTTAAGTTAAACGAGGAATGGGATAAGTTCAATTTAGTTATGAACAGGATAAGATCAGTTTAATTAGGAATGGAAAAAGTTTAGCTAAGCTAAGATTAGGATTAATTCAGTTAAGCTAGAAACGACACAAATTCAGTAAAATAATGAAAAGGATATGCCCAGTAAAGTCAGAAGCGGGATAATTTCAGTCAAACGAGGAATGGGATAAGTTCAGTTAAGCTTAGTATAAGATAAGTCCAGTTAAACTAAGTAGTGGATAAGTCCAGGTCAACTAAGAATGGAAAACGTTTAGTTAAACTAGGAATGAGATAGGTTCAGTCAAACTATAAATGGGAAAAGTTTGGTCTGTTTAAGAATAGGATAGGTTCAGTCAAACTAGGTATCCGAAAGCTTCAATCCATTTAGGCATGTAACAAGTTCAGCTTGCTTTTAAAACAAGGATAAGTCTAGTTAAGCCTGAACCAAAAAATGTAAATGTTTACTTAATTTTATCAGAACTGCTCAATACTTTCAATCATTACTTCCTCTGACATCCAACACAATCGCAACAAATACAATCTGACAATAAAACAATTCAAAAGAGCAAAAGTTATCAACCAACAAGCTACAAAAAGTTGTGAACAGAACAGAATGAAAAGGGAAAAAAATACAAACAAAACAAGTCAAGAAGAAGAAGAAGAAGAAGTAAAAGTCTTGCATTTTGTAAGACAACTGAACCATTCATAATTAACATGCACAAAATACAACAATTTAGTTTAAGTATTTTACAATGTGACTGCACAATGTGAGTACAGACAACGGATAAAAAAAAAGTGCAAGAAAGCGAGAATAAAAGAATTGCAATTGAGGTATTAAAAAGAATACAAGAAGCATTTCATTTGTGACTTGTCGGCTGTTTAATTTATGACAATCGGTTGGTGAAGAAAAAAGTAATAAAATTAATGTGAAGGGGTGTGTGGAGTGATCATAAAGGGGTAATTTATGTGGAAAGACTAAAAGTCAATAATAGGTTAAGGATGTTGATCATTGTGGCAGTCAAGGATTGGGAGTCAACCTATAGCCCCAGAGCCAATTGCCTATCTAGACACTCATCTACCCATGCAAGTTAGAATTTTAAATTTATTAAATTAAATTTTAAGCCTCAAACACACCAACATGTACCCCTGCATCAAACTTTATCATCAAATCTTCACACGATAGCTAATAAAACCTTGCAAATTATCTCCAGACATATCAAAAACGTATTACCTACAATGTTGCACCATATGCATCATAAAATACTAATTAATGACCCCATACTCAATAATAAGCTTAAATATTTTACATACGTCACCCCTGAAACGCACAAAAGATGTTAATTCACATGACTGAGTACACTTAAGCGTAACTTTAATTATCATCAAAGTAAATATCAGGAATGCAATTGCAAAACACAATAAAACAAGAGATAGAATGCGCATAAAGAATGCAACTTAAGAATCTAGTGAGGAATGAAGAAGTTTTTTGCGAGAAGTTTGATATTTATTGAAGCGACGCTTTAATTTGTTCAAAGCAATGCCTCATTTTAATCAAAGTTACGATTCGAAATCACAAAGTGACGCTTCATCCTAATCGCAGACATTCCCAACACCTCAATATCTCCTTGCAGACTTCAGTGATAATTATTTTATTGCTATACACAACGCAGACCACTCTCCTCATCTCAGTTTTTTATGCTCTTTTAAATGAAGTCTCCCGATGCCAACAATTTTAATATTCTTCGTGTCTTGAACTTTCTTATTTACCTACTTCTTATTCATACTGCCTTTATTATTATGAAAAAAATGCCGACACTGTTTTGCCTACCAAAGCATTTTTTTTTGCTGCCAATGTTTCTATCTCAAGTGAATAGCTCGTAAAAATCATTGATTATAAAGTAACGTGTCAGACTTCTCATACTGTTTATATAAATATTGCAAATTATCACGCTATTTTCGAATAAATTTTATGCCACTCGTTTTGTGTGCCGTCGTTGTGCTCAACAGAGTTGCAAGAATTGGATATAAATATATTTTTCGGGAAAATATGGAGACATTATAAATTCTTGATAATTAAATTGAGGGGTTATTGACATGCCATTGGGGTTTAGCAGCTGTTCTTTAAGTTTAAAGTATCAACCTAATTTTGAGTTAATTTTAAAAGAACGACTTTTCTTTTAATCAATTTTAAAGCTACGACTTAGTTTTAAGCAAAATTTGAAGCATCGACTTAGTTTTTGGTCAATTATGAAGCAACGACTTTGTTTTGAATCATCTTTAAAGCAACGACTTAATTTTGAGTAAAATTTGAAGCAACGACTTAGTTTATAATCAATTTTAAAGCTACGACTTAGTTTTGAGTAAAATTTGAAGCATCGACTTAGTTTTGAGTAAAATTTGAAGCATCGACTTAGTTTTTGGTCAATTGTGAAGCAACGAATTAGTTTTGAATCATCTTTAAAGCACCGACTTCTTTCTGAGTAAATTTTGAAGCAACGATTTCGTTTTGAGTCAACATTGAAGCGCCGATTTTATTTTGAATCAATTTTAAAGCGACGACTTAGTTTTGAGTCAATTTCAAAGCAACGACTTTACTTTGTAAGCTAATTTGCTTCCAACAGCCCAAAACTTCAAGACGTGTCTAAACGTGTCAAAACGTGTCAACCAAAACTGACTGCCATCCGACATGAAGCAACCCATCCATTAAAAAATAAATAAATAAATATCACCTGAAGGAAGAGATCCAAAATTTGCACATTAATAATTCTTCAGCAACATTGTTGCGTAATTAAAGCTACATAAAAAAATTTTCATAAATATTAACTCGAACTTGCATGTTTCACTTGCTGTTGTTAAAATTAAACATACTCCTTGTGCCACTTAATTTGTAATTCTCATAGAAGAGAAAATTCCATACATCCGATGAAATGCTGAAGAAGATGAGCAATAAAAAAATTTACAATTGCATGCGAAACTTAATGAAAATGTTTCATTAATAATGAATTTTTCTATAATAATAATAAATAACTTACCATGTCGGTGAGAGTAAATAAGTAAGTGAGATGGAGAGACGACATATCAGACTTAAATAAATTTGTTGTTGCATATTATGAAAGCTTGTAAACAGCTTGTTGTTAATTTACGACTTAAATCATTGTTGAATTGACATTACACACCACAACTTTTTATATTCAACTTCGCGCACCGTGCTGTCATGTCAATTTGCGAATATGCTTGTTAATAAATATTTGCTGTGACTAATGAAATGATATTGCGATTTTCGTGAGATCGCGCTGCTTTATTTTTCTTTTTTGCCATCTCTTGTAAGTTGGAGTTATTGATGATGTAAAAGTTTGTAGAAAGTAACTAAAGCGCATTTTTGGGAGTTTCTTACTTGTTTTCACATCTTAACCTCAATTTTATATTTTTTGTAAACAGATTTAAACTATTTTGATCCTTAACTTGAGAGTTTATAGTTCAACCTTGCTTCAAATTGTCAGTCAGTCACATAACCTCAAAATCAGCACTTCATCCACAGAAACCAGCTAAAACTCTTTACCACGATCTACTTTCATGTTCTCATCTCAAGCAAAGAAAAGCCAAGCACTTATAAACAGCGCGGCATGTCAATTATGACAAGCTGTAATGCTTGAATGCACTATCAACATACATGTACGTCCATAAACATATAAATTGTATGCCTCGCTATGTTGTTATTAACGTTAATCACATACATAAAATGTGAAGTTAAATGCGAAATTTATGCGAAAAATGATAATTATATGGATATTTCATCAAATATGCGTGATTACAATTTGCGTGATACAAATTGCAATTGAGTGGCTTGAGTTGCCTTTAAGTTAAAACTGAATATTTTGCAAGCATATAATTTTCATCCATAATCATAAAAATGGGTGGAATGTGGTGGAAAAAGTGGCTGAAAATCTTTAAATATAGGATTCTATTAATTAGATTAATTTGAATTATAAAATGAAATTAAAAAAAATCAAAAATAAAGAAAAATTTTAAAAAAAAATTTAAAAAGTTGAAAATATTTTAGAGATTTAGACTAAGTATAAATTTAATTTAACTTTCTGACCATCCAGCCCCCTCAACACCCCCCACACGCTCAATGGCAAAAGAGGCGCTTAAAACTATAAATTAAAGGTGCAAGTAATAAATGTTCCTTAGATATATTACCTTAGCGTGTTAATAAGCATCAATGCATTGTGTATGTACGTAATGAGGCGCTGTGTAAGAAGTAATATATCTTAATCACAATGTTTCCTTTACTTTCAACGTCATGCTGTATAAAAACACTGTAAAATTAAAAATTCAAAGAATGAGAGAAATTAAAAGAAATGAAAAAAAAAGTTATTGCCAATTGAAATGCAACACGGAAAAGTCACAATATAATTAAATATCTAAAAGTATTCATTAGGCTTTCCTTTTTCTCGCCTTTTTTATTGCTTTGCTTGTTAAGCTATTGATTTGAGTTGTGAGGAAAATTGATATGTATGACAGGAATATTGCCAGAGGGTTTAGGGGGCTTAATTGTCTTTCTATAGCATTGAAGCTTCAAAAATTAATTATTATATTCACACCGTTTTCACGTGTGAATCTATTGGTTTTGTTCAGATTGAAAAATCAGTTTTTTGAATTTTATGAGAATATGGAGCAAGATAGCTTAAAATGTTCAGAGATGAAAAGTTTGTGCCTAAAATTTTACATCATTTTCAAAAAACAGATTTCAAATTGGTTATGGCATTGCTAAGAAAATCATTGATAAGAAATCAATAACGAGACATTGTAGAGACTTGTAGTTTTTTACATTTGATCCGTGCTGCTCTATAGAAGAAAAAAAAAGTGAAAAACTAGATTTTGACTAGACCTGTCCCAAGTTCACAATTGAAAATATATTTCCTACTTGGTTCTTTGCTCAAAAAAATTTTAAGATGTTTTATTTGTATTTGTTTTAAGCACTAAAATATTTATGCAAAGTTTCAATTCATTTGGATAAACCCTCGAAGAAAAAAGTGACAAAATTGATTTTGACTAGGGTCGCCCCTCGCAAATCTTGGTCTATCCATAAGACTTTTGATGGTACGGTGTGAATATCTCCGCATTGGGTTTCTACCCGATACACTAGTTTCATCGTTTTAATTTTATTAAAAATTGCTCCAATTTAAAGAATGAACAAGATTATACACCAAGACTCTATGTTGATTTACTTATTAGACTAGTAAATAGTGCACATAGCACTACTGTTGACTGATCACAGCATAAACGATTTTGAGCAGCTGATTCTCCAAATGACGAAGTTTTAATTCCTAATCCAGCATCTGATTTAAATAAATATTTACATTAGCTATGTGGCCGTTCACTTAAGACTTTCATCGAAAAACATAATTTTTTTCACCCCCCTATCCTCCTAAATATTGGACGTCATAAGTAAACGACCCCTATTTCTTTTCATTATTATCAGTAGAATTTTCATGATTAGCCAATCTTGTCAGCACAAAAAACGCAGCAAGACTAATAACTCGCTTCTGCGGAGTTACAAAATCAGTTGATGTTTGGACAGGTGCATCGAAAAAAGGAGATCGAGCTGAAAGTTTAAAGATGCACATTTTTGAATTAATATCACAAATCTCATTCATGTCACAATCCCTGTTATCATAACATCCACTCGTACACATCCTTCTGTCTTCATCACAATACTTATTTTGGCCACAATTTCTATCAAGTCGACATCCGATAATACATTTTTGAGTTTTGTCGTTACAATATTCATTTTGTTTGCACTTTGAATCTGATTCACAGATGTTGCTGCTGTTTTTATTCAAACTGGATGGCATGGTTAATTTGAATGAAAAAGCCAGAAGAAATTGAGTACCAAGAATCTGTAGAATAGTTTATTTGACTATGATTTGTTTGAATGTTATTACTAGGAGGAGCCAGTAAAGGCACAAGAATTGGAGAAACAAGGGGGGGGGGACACGTTACTATAGAGTCTTTATCCAATTAAACAGTGATTATTCTTTACTAAACTATATTTTATTATTCTGTTTGTTTATCTTCCTCTCTTCGATTATTCTTACATAACCAATATATAAATTGTCGATAGCCGTTATTCATTTGTGTAGTATCAAACCCCTACATCCTACCCTAAGCTAAAAAAAAAAATTAGATTAATATAAAAGTTATTTAAAATTTAAAATTAAATGAATATAAAAAAAAAACACCCTTCAAAATCCTTTATTTCTCTATAAATAGCGAGTAGGTTTTTGGATACATCTCTTTTTCTTCTGAATAGTTTCCTCGATTTCCAAGCTTCCATCCTTCGTTATTTGCTCCTTTTCATTATCTGGCCATATTCTCGCATGATCAACGTGTCTCTTGCATTCACCTCCCTCTGCATCTTTTAATGTCAATACAGCAAATTTTCTGTCAATTACTTCATACTTTTTATTTACAAATCGGCATTGCAGCTTAGTTCCTACTCTTACGTCCTTAATCATTACGTGATCTCCCACCTTTATTTCAGATTCCGTAGCCCTTCTTTTTCTATCTGCATACAATTTTCCTTTTAGCTTTTCTACTGCATCTTTCTCTCTTGCCTCCGCTTCTGTCCAATAGTTATCAATTAATCCCAAAGGTAACAAATGACGAGCTTTTCTTTTGAACATCATTTCAAATGGTGAAAGATTAGTTACCGAACATGGCCGCTTGTTATAAATCTCGACGAAGTCCTCTAATGTTTCAGCTAATTTTTCTTTCATAGCATTGCCAATTTGCAAAATTCGTTTTAAATTTTTATTAAAACGTTCGACTAAACCATTACATTGAGGTTGATGTGGGGGAATTTTGATCAATTCAATCGCTTGGGATTTACAATATTCAGTAAATTTATTGCTTGAATATGGTGGTCCATTATCGCATCTTAAAGAAGATGGTCTTCCGAATACACGAAAAATCTCCTCTAAACACTTAATGGTCTTATCAGCATCTGTGCCATTCATTCTTCTAGTCACTGCATAACGGCTGTAATAATCAACTGCTACAAGTAGCTCTCCTAATGGTCCCGCATGGAAAAAGTCAACTGCAATATCCACCCAAGCCTCTTCAGGGATCTTAGTTCTTGAAAGTGGTAATGGCTGATTCGGACGAGAAACAAGAGCACATCCTAAACACTTTTTAATACTTTTATGAATATCTATTGATATTCCAGGCCACCATACTCTCTCTCGAAGCAGTCTTTTCATTGTTACCTCTCCTGGATGTCCTTTATGTGCATATTCTAATGCTTTTTCTCTCAACGCCTCAGGTATGATAATCTGTGCGTCTTTATACAAAATTCCATTAACCATGCTCATTTCACCACGCATGGCTCTATATTTTGCTGCCACCTTCATCCAATCATCACTTTCGATTGCTCGGATTATCTCGCTTAATTCCTCATCCGCTCCAGTCTCTTTCGCAATTTGTTCCAACGAAATTGCATTGTCCCACTTTTCGATATTACAAACAAATACACATGGTTCCTCTTTAAATGCCTTGTCAGTGCCTTCATATAAACGAGATAAGGGATCCGAAATATTGTCTTTTCCAGGAATATACTTGATATCGAAATCATAATGTTGTAAGCGCAAAGCCCACGATTCTGCTCTCGATACCGCTCTCTTGTTAATGCGAAACGCACCTTTAAAAATGAATTGCAACGCCCGATAATCTGTACACAAAGTAAACTTAATTCCCGATAAGTAATAATAAAACTTTTCCACAGCCCACACTGCTGCTAATGCTTCTCTTTGCGCTTGAGGATATCTCCTTTCCGTAGCTGTTAATGTTTTTGCTGCAAATTCAATTATACGACTTGTTGTACCGCTTTTCTGGACCAAAACACCGCCCAAACCCGTCGGCGAAGCATCTGTGTAGACTATTGTCTCATGACCAGCATCAAAGATTCCCAATTGCAACACTTTTGCGCATAAAACCTGTTTTAATTTCTCAAATGATATCTGTTGTGCTTCTTCCCACAGCATTACTTTATCTCGGACTATCGTCATAAGTGGTTCACTCAGATTTGATAAATTAGGTATGAATTTTCCTAAATAATTCACCAATCCCAAGAAACTTCTGACTTCTTCAATCGATTTCGGCCTGGAAAACTTTTTAACTGCTTCTATCTTTGCTTGTGATGGTCGTACCACATTCTTACTGATTGTTAATCCTAAAAAATCGATTTGACGCAACTTGAACTCGCACTTTTCTCGGTTTAGTGTCAAATTATTTTCACGTAATATCTCCATTACTCGTCCAAGTCGAGCATCATGTTCCTCTTCCGTTTGTCCTGCAATTATTATATCGTCCATGAAACAGAAAGTTCCTTCTATTCCTACAATCAATTGACTCATTATTTTCTGAAATATTTCAGGTGCACTACACAATCCAAAGGTAAGGCGAGTGAACTGCATAACACCTTTATGTGTCATAAATGCTGTTACATATCTCGAACTCTCATCCAGCGAAACGTGATGATATGCACTCTTAATGTCAACCTTCGAAAATATGGCACAGTTCCTTAGTCTGCATAAAATAAATTCTAAAGTAGGGATCGGAAACACCACTCTTTTTATGGCTACATTTGGCTCTCTCATATCCACACAGCATCGAATGTCATTAATTCCTTTTGGTACCACTATTAAAGGTGAAATCCACTCTGAATATCCATCCACTTTCTCAATGATTCCCTCTCTTTCCATTCTTTCCAAGATCTGAATCACTCGCTCTTCTTGCGCTCTGGGAATACAATTGAATGTTTTCTGTTTCGGCACAACACTTTCGTCTATGATTAATTTTACTTTAATATTCGGAATTTTGGGGAATTCTTGAATTTTTTCGATGCTATTAACTTCTAATCCCGTTCTTAAAATGCATAATTTCTCCGATGTCACTCTAGACAACAATGATCTTCCTGCATTTTTAATCACAAAAAATTCTTCATGATGTTGCGGTCTGTCCTTTGATATTCTCACTAATGCTACAAATTTTGCAATGCACGTTAGCATTTGGTCATTTCCATATCCCGTGAATTTGTCCTTGACATTATAGCTCAGATCATATAAATTAGCTTTTCTTTTCAGTAATGTAAGAAAATCTTTTTCTGTCACCGTATTAATGGGCGAGCCTGAGTCTATCAAACATAGCAAATTGCTTCCACCAATATTTGCATATATTTCAGCCTTATTTCCACTCTACGAATAAAAAATAAAAATAAATACGATAAGCATACCTCTTTAAACCTCCATGAAATGGATTATTTTATTCATATTTTTTCGATCATATAGTAACACATCTTATACCTTTGGCAACGTTGGCATTTCAATATCCCAATCCTCATGAGAAATTTGACTGATGGTTCCCTTTTTCTGGTATTCAACCGATCTCTGGCTACCTGGCCTACGTTTCATACGACAAACACGAGCAAAATGTCCTGTTTTGTTGCAATTATGACAAGCCACGTTATTTGCTGGACAACGCATGCCACCCAGATGTTTGGCAGAGCCGCACTTGTAACATTTTTGAGCATCTCCTTTTGTTTGTCCCTTAAAAACTTTTGGTTTTGAAAATCCCTTCAATGCATTTATCACTTGATCATGGACACTTTCATTTCCATCATTATTTCCAACACCTTCACTTCCAGTTAAAATACGATGATGCTGTTGTTGCTTTATTTCATCATTGATTGCATAAGATATCAAATTCTCAACTGTTTTTCCACTTTCTGTCGCTGCATATTGTTTTACTTTCTCACTTTTAGCCCCCTGCATGATTTGAAAGAAAACCTCTTCGTCAGCTCTCTGTTCTTGAAACCCACAACGAACAGCTTGTGTTCTCAATCGTACCACAAATGCATTAAACGACTCATCCTTATGCTGCTTTATCTCACTCAAAATCTGTCGTTCTAGCTGCGGATTAGATTTGGCTTGGAAATACGAATCTAATCGAGCAATTGCATTGTTATACTGCGGAATCTCAATTAACGGTATCTTCAGCTCGTGAATCTCATCCTCTGATTTAGGTGTAGAACTATAGATTCTTTGGATTTCTCTTCCTCCAGTGGCTAACAGCCAATTAAATTTCTTAGCTTGCGAATTTAATTCCATCGCTTCAGCCCAGATCTCAAATGCAGCTTTCCATTCCAACCATTCGTTATACAAAGCATGTCCACTCAACGATCCACTACTGTTGAACTTAGGGATTATCTGTGCGCTCAAATGCAACTCCATGTCTGCAATGGATACAAAACACACAATAAGTCAATCTATTAATCTTGGACATTATCTTAAATCAACTCTCAATTTCTTATCCTGCAACGAATTTAACCATTGCCTTAAACATAATGCAACGAATTTAACCATTGCCTTTTCATTTTGCAACGAATCGAACCATTGCCTATTCATCCTGCAACGAATTTAACCATTGCCTATTCATTTTGCAACGAATCGAACCATTGCCTATGCATACTGCAACGAATTTAACCATTGCCTTTTCTATTTTGCAACGAATCGAACCATTGCCTACATTTACATGCCACGTCTTTCACGGCTGCCATTTTTTTTTCTTCATACAAATAAAATTCAACTTCATTTTTTTTTTTTTAAAAAAAACATGAATATACCATTTATATCGATGTACTCGATATTTCCTACGCTCACCTTAAGTTCCTCTAGTCGCAGCGCCAATTTTATAGAGTCTTTATCCAATTAAACAGTGATTATTCTTTACTAAACTATATTTTATTATTCTGTTTGTTTATCTTCCTCTCTTCGATTATTCTTACATAACCAATATATAAATTGTCGATAGCCGTTATTCATTTGTGTAGTATCAAACCCCTACAGTTACCAAAAGATGAATACAAAGGAAAGACAATTTTGCAACAAGGAGATCAAGGGTACGGAACTGTGATTCTGATCATTTAGGTCAGTTCCGCACCCTTATTGGTCAATAAAGATTGAATCTTCAACTGTTTAAAAACTTTATATCAACTTACTAATAAAAATATATTCCACTTCATCTTTACAGCACAAAAATCCAATTAGAACTAAACAATTATGTTGATTTTTTCATACAATTTATTTTAAAATTTACTTTTAATACCATTAGACAAAAAACCCAATGTTTGGGAATTTCCAAAGTCGCTAGTTGACCTAAAATAAATCTTTAGAAACCGTAGCATAAGTAGGCATAAGTAGAGATGTCAATACAAAAGAAAAATTCTCAAATATTATTTGGTTTTGTCAATTTCGATTCTCCCAAATTTGTCATAAATTTTCTATGAAAAATATTTCTCTTTCTACTTAAAGCGTCACTTAATAAATGAACAGCTTCATAAAGCCTTGATAAATGAATTTAGTTTTACTTGAATTTTTGAGACAGAATTCAAAAATTCAAAGTAATTTTTACAATATTTTGGGTTAGAAGTCTAGAACGTCATTTATGAACGACCTCAATTTTCAATAATCACCATCAGTTCATCAGCCATCCATCATTCAACAAGTCAATCTATCAAAGTAAATTGCTGATTTGATCAATGTGCATAAGCTACACGTTAATAAGTGATTTGCATAAGATTACATTCAATAATAATTACCTAATTATTAATTCAAATCAAAACACTTAACAACATCGATAGACACAACTAAGCGTAAATTGTGCAAATGAATTACGATTTGAGGTTTGCAATTAAGTGCCATTCAATAAATTACACGTCGGTAAAGCGTATTTCTCGAGTCTATTCGATTGGTGAACGAGATGGAGGGAAAATGATACTTTGAGTTAAAAATGTGGGCAAGTTGAGATGATAAGATTGAGGTATTTAAGTGTAATAGGCGCATTTTTAAAGATTGAGGATTTGTGTTTAAATTGATAGCTTTATGATAAGAAAAAGAACTTTTTAAGAAAACTTAAAGCTTATCGACAAGAATGAGAAATTTTAGAGCTTTTTGACAAGAATGCGAGCTTTTTGAAAAAATACAGGAGCTTTCTGACAAAAATGCGAGCTTTTTGAAAAAATATAAGAGCTTTCTGACATAAATGAGAGCTTTTTGATAAGAATGGGAGCTTTTTGAAAAAGTAAAAACCTTTTTTCATAAATGAGAGCTTTTGACACTAGTAAGAGTTTTTTACAATTTTTGAGAGCTTTTTTAAAGGCTTACGAGCTTTTTGACAGGATTAAGAGATGTTGACCAAGTTGAAAGCTTTCTGGCAAGTTTGTGAGCTTTGTGACAAAAATGAAAGATTTTTGACAAATTTGAGACCTTTTATCTTAAGCTTTTACTATCTAGAGTGTATTTTAAGGGAGACAGCCACCCAAACCTCCTTATATTCTCGAAAGACATCTCAAAACGCCTGCATCTCACAATTTATTGATTGCCTCATGATCGGTATCAATTTACACGCAAGCATGTCTCAGTTAACTACCGTACAATTGCTTAGCTATTGTCATTTCACAATTAAGCTTGTAACTACAAGCACTGTTAAGTATAAAGTGAAAAATAATTAATTGAGATGGGAAAAAGATTAAGCGGAAACGTGTTTATTGTAGATTCTTTTCATTTCAGTTGCTCAGGCTTTTGCATTTTTAATCGATTGCAACTTGCTCGTATGTACACATGAGATGGAGACGTGAGTATATTAAATGGGATTTTTTTTTTCATTTTAATTTTACTTTAATGAATTGAAATGTGAGCAGATTTTTAAATTGATGCTGTGGGAAAAATCATTTATGAGAAATTAAGTTAAGAAATAAAGTCAATAAAACACATAAATTCACCTTTTTACTACATAAACTCATCTGTCTTTAAATTTACTTTATTATTTTTTTTTTCATCAATTTGACTACATTGAAGCTATTACAAATATAAACGGCCCCTAATCCAGCTTTTCGTGGAACTTTTTTTTTATTCATTTTGTCACGAAATATTTATTTTAATTTTTTTCATCTTTTTTAGTGTATATTCTATATAATTATTATGTATATATATTTATCTGTATATGTCAAACTACACAATATCCTTAAAAAATGTTTTTTTTTCAGTTTTCTTCTTCAGTTTTTTCATCTCAGTAGTTTAATTTCTTTTTGGCAATAGAGTCTGTGGGTAGATATGATAAGTAAAAAATTGAAAACTTTAAAACATTTTTTTGAAAATCGAATTTTTTTTTTGATAGAATCAAAAAATTAATGATTTTCTTTTAAATTTTGTATATTTTTATGCCATGAGAAAAATTATGAAACGCGAAAAAAAGGTTTAAGATCATTGAATTATTCAAATTTTAAACTTTACATCCTCTATCGCCTTTTTCGAAATAAGTTTAAAACAATAAATTAGCTCCACTAATCTCGACTTTCAGAATTTTTTTAATTTTTGCATTGATAATTCTTACAATTATTATCAGTTTTTTCTTACATTTATCATTTTTAGGTTACAGTTTTAATGGCAGAAAATAAACGCAGAAGGAATTCTGATTTTGCTTAGTTTCAATTTAAAAGTAATATTTTCGGTAATTTAATTCATTTTAATTACTAGATTAAAACAATCAGTATTAAAGTTTACTTTGCGATGATTTCAATCTTAAAACTTATAACTTTGGCTGTAACATATTCTCAAACTATTCTCAAACTTATCGAAGTTTTTTTTTCCAAAATAACACCAAACTTAAGATAACTTCGGATATTGACAAATCAATAGTTTTGTATTAATTATCTATAAAAAAAACTTTTTTTTTGTCTACGATCTTAAATATTTACGTTATTGAATATTTTAAGAGTTCTATCAGAACTTTCTGCAGGTTTAATTGAAAACTTCTTAAATACTTTTACATAAATTTGAAGTTAGAAAATCAAAGATCTGACTCTACATTTACGAATTGAGGTTTCTTTAATGGCTTTTCACAGCAAAAAAATGTTTCAAATTTAAAAGGGAAAATTCAATTCATTAAAATTCTTTTTATTTATGATTTTCTTCTGAATATGAAAAAGAGTTAAGTTTTGAAATTTTAAAAACATTTTAAAAATTTTTCAATTTAGCAATATGAGTTGATTTTTGTATCAACTTATTTTGAAGGTTAAAAATTCAACTTCATAATTCTTCTATTTCAGCTTCTGTGTATTTAAAAAAATATTAAAGTTGCATTAAAAGTGTCTAAATTAAAATTTGGCTTACTTTTCAAAAATTTCATGTCTTCTCATTTTAAATGTCCTGTATTTTAAATCCTGTACCTTAGATTATATGCCTGATTAATTTTTAAAAAATTAAAACATTCTTAAAATTATTTTTTTTTATATTTTTTTCCAGTTTTTCTGTTTTCAGAACTTTATTGTGGATATTGTCTAGTTTTTTAAATAAAATTTAAAAATTTAAAATGATAACTTTTTGAATGCGTTTAGTTATTTTGGCTTGTTTTTAATTATTTTTTACATTTAATTTAGAAACATTTCATAGTTCCAAAAATATTAATTTACAGGCTTAAAGTTAATTTGATTTGAAGATTTTTGAAATTTAGGTCTTTAATTTTTTAACCATTTTTAAACGTTTCTGAAGTTTTAAGTCAAAAATATAAATTGTTTTTAAATCATCTATTAAATTTGATTTTAAGGAATATTAATAAACAATTCAAAAATTATTAAAACGTTTTAAAAAAAATTTGGAAATTGAGAAAATCTTAAATTATCATTTTTAAAATAGCTTTCCATTTAATTTGCATTTAATTTTCCAATATATAAAACTTAAAAATTGTTTGTTTTACAAAATTGAAATGATTTTTGATTTTCAATGTTGAAATGTTTATCGATTTTCAAAATTTAAATGATTTATTTTTCAAAATTGAAAAGTTTTTTAAAAAGTCAAAATTCTAGAAAAAAATTCAAAAACCTCCAAAACAATTTGTTACTCCATTTTTACACACAAAAGAACATTTCTACAACATAACTTTTGCCTTAACTTTTTAATAGTTTATATCCAATAAATTGTCATAGCTTTTTTTCTAAAGTTCTCATTTTAACATTTCGTTTAGGTTTATTTCGTGAAAGTTTCTTTAAAAAGTAGTCTAAAGAGTATACAATAAGTCAACAAACAATTCCATTATCAAATCTAGGTTTCACGTTAATGATTTTGCAGTTTTCTATGGAAATAACACTGACCTTGACTTCTGCTCTGTCAAATCTTCCACTCTGATTATTGAACTATCAAAAAATATTTTTTCCCACATTTCCATAACTTCCATTTCTTCTCAATTATGAACTTGTCTTTACAAAGTATGAAATAGATAACACTTGTGTCTTCTTTTAGTCACTTACAATATCATTATCAATATATATATCCATTAGATAAATAAATATATCTCGATCAAAGAATAACATCACCTATTTGAACGTTTAAAGCTATGTCTAGTTAATGTTAGTGCTCTCCGCTGCTTCCACTCGAAAGTAGTGTAATATTTGAACCATTGTCGGAACTTTGGATTGACATCGAACGACCCTGAGACTTTTTTATTCGATTGTTGTTGGGAGAGAGGTCTTGTTGGTCGACTAAAATTATTTATAGGTACTTTAGTCATATTAAAATTAATTAAGGTATAATAAAGCGACTTACTACTTGTTGGGTCTGCCTTTTTTTCAAATGCAAAATGGAAATAAATTAGAGTTTGTGATTTTATCGAATAAATTTAACAAAAATAATTCTGTTCATGAATATACCTGATATGCCAAACTACTCAAATTTATTTTATTTTTATAACATTGTTTTCAGGTAGTAAAGGATTTTTAATGGAGTGACAAAATTTTTTTTTTCAGGGGCGGGCCAGGATCGAAACATAAAAAGAAAAGGAAAAAAAGAAATTTTTATGGGTTAATAATTTTTTTGCACATAAAAACAATGTTTTTAAATTGTTTATGGAACCGACGGAGGTGATGTTGCTGTATGGAAATGATTAGATGCAATTATTGTGGTGTGTCTGGAACAATCCGGAACCTGGACTTTTTGGATTATTTGCTGCAGATTTTGGAAGGTAGTTAAGATAATTTATGACAGTTTACATAAAAATTGATTGGAGGTAAGAGAATTTTGGAGACCTAATTTACCACATTCACAAGATATGTTATGTCTTATGCTCTTATTAGAATGATTTGGCAATGATGCTTATAGATGTTGACGAAAGGATTTTTTGGCACCATGAGTAATAATTAATATCGAGCATGAATTCTCCTAATATTCAATTTGCGTCCTTTAATATCAATATTTAAGCTTTGGTAAGTTATACTCTTGTAGCTACGGCCTTGATCGCCAATAACTGCTGTGTTACTGAGATTCAGAGCACAAATAATGCTTATAAGATACTTGACATTCAAAGCAAAACTAATTATAAGAAATTGCAGAATAAACTCTGATTTGACTAAGATTCAACATTGCTACAGACAGTTACTTGAAATATGTTATATTGTTAGCATATTCGTGCCCTGATTACTAATTATGATAGTAAGCTTTCGTAGGAATTGAACCCATGTCCTCATAACAGAAATAATTTCAAACATTTCTCGTCCATTTGCTCAAACAAGCAAGCACAGAACTCAAACTGTCGGAATTGCAGTTTCACCTGTATAAGGCGTTAAACCCTAGAGTGAAAATTAAAGCTCTAATTCCATAAAGCTACCTCCTTTAAATTCCTAAAAATACCCAGACGCCAATAGCTCATATACAGCACAGCTAGTATCAACACATCATTTTAATTAAACAATTTAATTGAAACTTTATAAAACTATAAAATCCACGCTGTCATAAACAATGTTACATCATTTCATTGTCCTTGTCTGAACTTTTTCATAGAAAATAAAAAAAGTTATTTAAAGCACACATCAAGTAAAGTCTGACAATGAAAAACCTTCATTTATGAGTCAATCAAACGAGCATTATCCTTTCATGAATTTAATTAGCAACAACATTGTCTCATCTAATCCTCAGTTGTCCCCTTTTTTTGCTCAACACTAAGCACTGCCATGTCATTAATAGTCATTTTATATCAAAATATTTCATGACGTAAATGCCAAACTAATTTGGATGTCGCTATAAAGAAGGAAGAGAAAATTTATATATTTTGTTGGTTTTTTGGTGATTCTTACGCATTCATGATGATGGTGTAAGGTACAACATTGAGCGGATAAATTTCTCGCATCAGTACATTTGCAGGTATTTTATGGAAGGCGATGTTTGGTAAAAAGGTGCCCATGATATCCTTCAAATTAGTACCCTAAAATTAGAAAGGGGAAATGAATGATTTTTTTTTGATTAGTGATTAGATTAGATGTGGAGTTGAGGGTTTTAGAATTTTGTAGCTGATTGACATTACTGTCGTGCGGATTGTATTAATCAAAGTCATTTTGATCAGGGGTGAGTTTATAAATTGAAGTTTTGAACCCCTCGCTTCTTCGTCACCAAGTAACTCAGGCATGCAGATGTCAGAAAGTGTCAGACCTCCTTTGATTGTAAAAATCAGATGCAGATGGATATACAACTGATAAGAATCGAACTCAAGTCTCGAACTGACAATCACATTCAACCCCCATTTCCCCCTCACATCCTTCAATACTCACCGGATTATAGTCATTATACTTTTTACTCCACATCAGCGCAGCTTGAAATTTCGTAAATTCTTCGGCCCGCAGCTCCTCTCTTGCTGTTGTTTGGAAAAATTCATTTATTTCATTAGACATACGAAAACAATTTTGTTCTCAATTTTATATCGGAAATTACCTAATATCAGGCGAACAACATGTTGTGGTAATAAGGTAAATGACCCAAGATTAAGGACTTCCGTTCCTGTTGAGTGAAATATTGATTTAATTTGATATTTTGTAAGCTATTTGTTGATTTAAAAATAAAGTATCTGTAGCCACCCCCAACTCCTTACCGTGCTCATCAACAAACTCCAACACTTTCTGCACCAGCGACTTTGTACATTTATACTGAATATATTTCTCAGCTGAACTAAGTAACGCACAGACAGTATCAACTGTTATGCATCCCTGTTGTACAAATCCATTACATGCACGCTTCAACTCCTCCAATCCATAATAGTCAGCTGCATTCATAACACCGAGTAATGTCCTTGGTTGTAACGTAACGTTCCCCGTGTGAACATATTCAATCATTTGACGAAAGACGTCTTTTATGTTAGTTGAGAATGTGCAGAACATGATGATGATGAAAAAGATGATTGAATGAAATGTGAGAAAAAGTTATTTTAATGTTTGAAAGATTTTTCAGGTGTGTATTAGGGAATATGTAGAATTTAGAGGGTTAAATAGATTTTTATTAAACGTTTAACGATTAAAAGTTAAATAAATTTTTAACTTTCAAAAATTATTTGAATATATTGACTGTCAAAAAATATTTGAATATTTTAAAGTCTGTTTTAACGCTTCATTATAAAAATTTATCTAGAACCCCATCCCTGCCATCGTTATTGCATTCAAAAAAATACCAGAACAACTCAGTTGTATCAAAATTTAATCAATATGCTTGTTAATACACACGAACGTGATACAAACCTGGTTCAAATTCTTCTATTATTAGTGTTTGATGAGTCTGACAACCGGGCTGCAAATTTTACATTTATTTTCAATTGGAAAGAAAAATGAATGAAAAGTCATAAAAAAATGTTGATAAATACAAATCAGCAACGACGAAGAAGAAGAAAATAGCCAAGAAAAATATAAAAAAGCTTATAAAGATTGACAAATATTTGAAAATTGAACTCTACTTGTTGTGGATTATGCTGTAGATTGATTCTTTGATATAAATTGGATTCCTTTGGATGCTTTGAATAAATAAATCAGCATTCTGATTCTTTGTGGAGCTGAAGAAGCGAGGAATATAAGAAATTTAATTTTAAAGATCTGATTTTTTATTACAGATTGATGTCAAATTTGTGATTGAATTTTGCTTTGAGTGTATCAACAGGTTGAACTTGATGCTGTTGTGTTCGTTGGAATTTGTTGTACTCGAGTTGCATAAGCGCTTTAAGGCAATTTGCTAGAAACCAAGAGGTTGTCTAGATTGGAAATTCGGTAGCTTAGCTACAAAGAAGCTGTTTTGATGGTATCACTAGGCAGTTTTATTTATAATGGTCAAGAGTTTTTGATAAAATGAAAGCTCTAGCTTAGTTCTGTTCATTTGTTTTTATGTGTGCAATGCCATGAGCATTGTGCGCTACCTTGTCATTTCTAAACACTCTATAAAATGGATTGAGAGATTGTTTTCTGGTGGGAATCGAACCCACCTACTCACAAAATATTGATACAGATTTTCGGTCTGTAGCTTAACCACTCGGCCACAGAGGCCTCACTTTTGCACTGCAGATTCGCCTATATATGGTTCCATACCCCAGATTTTACTCTGCTCAGACACCACAATGTGCAAGGTTCGTCATTAAGTATTCATGAGTTTCAACTGATCAAGAGCATAGCAACTTTAATAGCTTTAGTTTCTCAACTCTTTAAATTTACTTAATGAAATTTAATTGGATCTAAAGACTGATCTTCATATTACTAGCTCTATGAATAGCTTTAATCACTCAATTCATCTAAAGTTGCAAGACCTTCCATTTAGAACTCTTCTTACTCCCTCAAAAAAATCTCACCTTTCAAAGCATATTTTTCCCTCCAATTAAACCCAACATCTACCTTATCTGTATCATAATAAATTAAGAGTAAACAATCTTTGATAGATGAGAATATTAATGAAAACCTATCCCCCAAACCTGTCATTTAATTAATTAATCTATTAATCTAATAATTAGAAGACATCGAACTTTTACGAGAAATGCTTTAAAAAGCGTCCATCAATTATTAGCCATTTTTTCTATCATCTCCAATTTTAGGCTCTCTTATTACACGATTGAAAATTCAATCCATCTTGATGGTGACGAGCAGTCTTTATTTTAATTATTTACACAGTAAATTATCACCATGGTAAATTACGCTAATCAAAAAAGTTTGTCTACAAAATATTTTTTTGCCGCCCTTACACTTCTGAGATTGTGTGAACCTTTGGCATCGTCGCTTAACGTGATTTTATAAAATAATTTTGTTTTCGTTGAGTTTCAAATATAGATAGTGGGCTGTTGTGATGGAAGTGAGTTATTATAGACTGATTTTTTGAGACATTTTTTATGGAAAAATATTGCACATCTTGTTCGACGCGTAGCCTTAACATGGTGATGACACGAATCCTTAATGACACCCAACCTTAATAACGCACAACCTTAATGATGCACAGCTTAATGACACCCAACATTAATGACGAACAGATTAATGACACCCAATCATAATGACATACAGCCTTAAAATAAATTCGTCAAATAAAAACTCATTTAAAATGCCCCAAAGGACATTTTCTGCCTAAAAATAACATTCTTTATAATTGCATTAATTTGAGAAGTAAACTTTAAAGACTTCCTAATTTTTCAAATGATGAAAAAGTCACGAACCGAAAAATTCTCCAATTTATTTTAAACAGTATTTTTCCTCAGAAAATGAGCGGCAAATTTCCCAAGTGAGTTTCCGTTTTTCATTTTCAATGCATCAATTGCCTTGATTTTAGCTATATCTACCTTTAAAGAAAATCTAATTAAAGGACTGAGAAGAAAATATTCTGTAAATCATCATTGAAATAAGTCAAAAATGAGGAGCAGGAAAAAAAGTTTAAATTTAACGAAAATGAAATTGTTTCCCTATTAAATCTTCTTATTTAAAAGAAAAGTTTTTCATTTGCTGAAAATGAAAGCACTTGCCTACAAAATTTTTTTATGTATCAAAATATGGAAATATTCAAAAGATTGTAAAGTTTGGTTTTCGTACAAATTTTAAAAGAAGAAAAGTTTTGCTTGTTTATAGGAAATTTTTGAAACAACAACAAGAATTTTAAAGAAATAGGTTTTATTGGTGTGCTTTTGATTAGGCTTTGATGAGAATTTTTCAAAAATGTTAATTAAAACTTTTAATTTGAGTCTTTGGATCAAATTGGTCAATTGTTTAAGTTGTGCGTCAGTTAAGCTGTGCGTCAATTAAGGTGCGTGTCACTTAGCTGTGCATCAGTTAAGTTGTGCGTCAATTAAGCTGTGCGTTAGTCTTGAGCGTTAGTTAAGCTGAGTGTCAGTTAAGCCAAGTATCAGTAAAACCAATCATTGTTTAAGCTGAGCTGCATTTAAACTGAGCGTCAGTTAAACTAAACGTCAGTTAAGCTCAGCGTTTGTTAGGCTGAGCGACAAATATGCTGAGCTTCTAGTAAGCTGAGCCTCAGTCAAGCTGAGATTACTCAAGCTGAACGTCATTCAAGCAACTCATTATTACACTTAAGTAATTCTTAAATGAGCTTCATAATAATTTAAATTATTCTAAAGACAAATTAAATCTAAATCCTTTCAAAACTTTTCCCTTTAATCCCCCAAACATTCGTACAACACCACAACCAACAAAAATATGACATCATCATACTAAAATCATCCTTGAAAATGGAAACTTCTCCACATCATCGACCACATAAAATTGGTTTCGATAAATTCAATTAATTTTAATTAAATCATTAAACCAGATATGTAAACACCATTGAGAACATCCACAACATAATTTTTCACACAACGTTGTTGCTTAAATTGTCAGCTATTAATATTCAAAATAAATAAATTACTTAATTAATTATTGACGGAGAAAAATCAATAAATTGATTGAGGCTTGATTGAGAGACTTTTTAAAAACCTTAATGCTGTGGATAATCAACGAACTTTTATTTAATTTATTTTTTTTAAATTAATCAGATTTTGAGTTAATTTGCTTGGGGGGGTTGCTTTTTGCAGGATTTTTGACTTCATGAAGACAACCTTGACCCAATAAAATTTAGAAATTACCAAACATTTTAACATTTTTTGTCAGAATATTCTTACGCAAAAGTGAAATCATTAAAAAATGTGGTCCTGGAACTGGATTTACTGAATCAAAAACACACATTTTCAAATCAAGGACCCCTTGTATTTGTACTTCTTTTGTTGCAATTATTTTATTAAAAATTGAGAATCCCACAGACTTAGACACCTTAAAAATAAAATAATTACATTAAGCTCCAATATTAATTTTTTGTTTTAATTCTAATTGAAATTTGTGTCGAGATTTTCTCTTTCTTAATTTAAGATAAGTCTAAAAAGTAGTAATTGAACAGCATTTCAAGCTAGATACTTAATAAAAGATTAAATAACAACCAGCAAAGCTTTCAAATATAACATTAAGCATCAATTAATTATTTTTTTAATGCCTTGATGAATATTTTAGTGACATTCGAGGTTTATAGACAAGTGAAGTCGATATTAACATTAGAATTTTGGGCTCCAACTTGAGTATAAAGCCCATGATAAAGGTTAAAACCTATCCAATTAAAATATTTTTTTTAATTTGCTAGGCTTAAAAATCCTTAACACTTTAGAAATTTGAACAATTTTACCCATCAATAGCAACCATTTAACAAGCCTAGAAGCCTTCCTGCTTCCCTCATTCCTTAAACATTAGACATCATGAATAATTGCGCACTTAACTTAAATACTTGATTGTCATCATAAAGTGATTATTATCGATAATTTATTCATTTATGAATTGAATAAATTTTACACTTGAAAGCAATCTTTTATCTGGATGTTGAATAATCATCAGAGTTTTAAATAATCGATTGCTGTCATTTTATGAATAAAAATCAATAATTCAAATAATTTTTTAATTAAAATTTTTCAAAAGTTTAAAAATTCACGTCAATATCAATTTTAATTTATTTTCTCAAAATAAAAAAATACAAAAATTCTCATCAAAATATTTTCAATTTCAAATTTTACTCGGAAAAAAATTCTCACTGTTTTTTAAATGCCAAAAAATTATGACAAGAAAGAGAAAAAAAATATTTTCATAAAATAAATTTTTGACGTAAAAGCATCGCAATAACATGTTTAAGTCCCACAAGCAAACACTTTTCTTATTACGTAAAATGAAAAAAATTGAAAACAATTCTTATGAAGAAGACATTGAAATAAAAAAAAGTGAATAAAATCCTTCAACCCACTCAGCATTATTATGAGAGATTACTAATGTAGTAGCAAATAGAACGATTCAGGGGCGTAGCCAGGAAATTGAAGGGGGGTCACAAAAAATGTTTTTTTGCATAAAATCTTGTGTGAAATATTTTTAAGATTTTATTGACGATTTTTTTTATTTGTCAACCAAATCGCCCTTGGCTTCGTGCCTTAGGCAATTGCTTAAAAATTAAGCATGAATTCTAAATTAATTTTTAAATTTAAATTTGAAAGAATTATTGAAGTTTTTTAAAATTTGAAAACTGTTTTTAAGCATTTTAAAAAATAAGTTCAACGAGAAAAATAATGCTTTTGAGTTTTTAAAATATTTTCAAAAGTGATCAAAAGTTGAAATTGCTTTTAATATAAAACAAAAAAGCAGTTCAGCCAGCTGACAATCCACAACTATGATTATTAATCTTAGAATAATTTGTTTAATCATTAAAAAAAAGAAACATCAACGAAAGAAGGAAGAAAAGGCATTCATAACAGAACAAACTAAATAAGTAAGTGAAAGCTCTACGAGTGATAGAACATGATAATGATAAAATGATGATGATGTTGATGAAATCTTAAAAGGATATACTCGGTAAGTGAGAGACAGAAAGAGCTCATTTAATCTACTTTGTGCTATGAAGAGTCATGAACAGCAATAAGGAGAGACGGCATGCTTCAAAGTCTTATGTATGCAAAATACGTACTTTTTATTATCAGTATTAAAAATATATTATTGAAAAAATTTAAAAAAACATGGTTTTAATTTAATATAAAAAATTGAAGAGAGTTGGTAAGATAAAAATATAAAAGTAAGGAAATGAGAAGTTCCGATGAGCTTGTCTTGCTATTAGTTTTGTTATTTGCATCATTGAATGAAAGTTTTGAGTCCTTGTTGGATTGTTCAAGCAGTGAATGTAAGAAGCTTATCACTTCACTGAGGTACGAGGTACTTCACCAAGCCCCCCCCCCCCTCCTCTCCTCCTCTCTTGAATTTTAATAAAAAAATTATTCGGATATAAATTGTTGACCCTAAAACCTGGAAAGTCTTAGGAAAGTCTAATAGATATAACACACCTCCTTCTCCTTTTTTCCTCCATTCTAAAAACTTCTGACTACGCCTCTAAAGCTCGTTGTTCTTGAAATATTACAAATCTCTTCAAAATTCTACAAAATAAATCAATTTCCCGCCTAAACTTTCTCATTATAATTTCAATCTACCATTTCAATACCCTCAAGGACTCAAAAATAGCATTCAAGATTCCGGAACATCTCCATAACTACGGAATTTTTCGTAATTGTCAACAAACTACGCAATTTCAAGCAATAAAGACGGAATCATAAGAAAAACTTTCAAATTCTACAGATAGGAAAAAATATTTGAAGAATTTTGAATTTTAAATTACCTCAAAAATCGTTGGCATGAGAGTTTGTTGCGATATTAAAGTTCTCTGAATTAATTTTTCATACGCGAAAATTATTTTACAATTTTCCAATTTTTTTTTTTTTTATAAAAACAAAAAGAAAGAAAAAGAAGAATTTTGTTTTGATTTTGACGTCAGAATTAATACAACAACAAAAAAAGAATTTCATGTGCGTAGTTTAAAAGTCGGTGAGGATTTTTAACGCGGCATCGTTCTCAATTTCCATTTAATGTGTTTTAAATTCGTCAGGGAAATGGAAAAAGGGGAGGAAAAAGAAATCTTTGTGAAGTCATACATGAGATGAGGTTAATGGTTATTGAATGGGGATGATTAGAGCGCATTTTGGGTTGAAAATGAGTAGCTTTTGAGAGATACATAGCTAAAGTGGAATAACTAAGGTCGTAATATTAAGCATATTAAATATGTGCCAAATTAAGGAACCTATTTCATTTTAAGTTCCTAATGTTCAACATCCTTGCTTTGCAGTTGCTAGTATTGTTTTAAAATGTTGTTTAACTTAGATGTTGTTTTGACACTAACAACCAGACAACCAGACATAATCTATGCTAGTTATTAAACTAGCAAATCTCGATTCCCTAAGTCTGCTTTAGGTTCAGCTTGATTATCAACATTATCCCGAATGGCACGAGTCGGTTAATCGATCAAAAATTCGGCATCAAGCCAGTGTGACTCTTGCTGCTGGATTTAAATCGAAGCCAGCAACATGTAAGAGTCATACCGGCTGGGTGCCGAATTTCTATTCGATTATGTTTTATTAATTTCGAATTAATTGATCACTAGTCGATCTATATGATATGATCTATAGCGAAGACCTGAAAAGACATCTAAATTCGAAACAGCTTACAAAGAATCAATAAAATCCAAACTGTGGCTCATAATCCAACCCAAAAATAGCGCTAAAGAATTCGAAAAATCTCTTTCCAACAATGGCAATTAGGATGAGAGGCAATTCACGTAAATTGACGTTCTCTCTTCCGTCATGATATGAAGATGTATAAGTGTGTGATGAACATGTGAGGAATAAAATTAAATTCATCAAATTGAGATTCATTATTTTAGCTACAATAATTTAGACTCGATGTGGAACTTCAAAGGACGATATTTTATTGTTTAAAATGTTGATTGCTTAACGATTCACATGAGGATGAAGAAAATGGAACATGATGTGAGTGAGTGACACACTTGAGTGATGTACTGCAATATTAAAGGGAAAATTAAGGATTGTTTTGATGTTAGAGGAACAATATTTGTTGTTTGTTGAAGTTTTAAGAGCTTTTGTTGCTCAATTATTAAAGTGATCTTCTTGATTAGCTGACATTTAGTGATTTCAACATTTAAAATGCTCAATGATGTACCAGACATGATAAGGGAGGATGGTTAGGCCCCCTTTAGCTTTAAACCTGATTAAGCATTCCTACTTCTTGAATTCCTATGAACAAGATCACTTCGCAATCAAATCACTTCAATTCAACTTTGCAACATTAAGTAAACCCCAAAAAATCATGAGTTTGTGGCAAGTAAGCACAAATATTTGACAAAATACTCTGAAGTGAGTCAATTCTTTTATTATCCTTTATTCTTCTTCGTGTCTTTTGTGTATCAAAGAGAATAAAGTCTTGAGAGGTATCTTAGGATAATGGTTGAAGGACCATCGAGTTAACTTTTTTTTTGGTACTTGACGAGAGCTTTTTATCTCAGGGGATGGCTGAAGATTTTGGGTAAGTGTATTAAATTTTGTGAGTCTTGAAATGCAATTGTTGTGGATTTGAAAGAATATTGTTCACATTTTTTTCTGCGAAGGCATGAAAACAAATGTTATGGTTGGAATTGAGTCATTGACTTTGAATATTTTTGAAAATAACATTGCCAATCGTCTTTTAAGCAAAGTTTGTGATAAAATGCAAAAATATTCCTCAAAAAAATTTCTCAAATCAGAATAATTTTTTTAAATCTCTCATGTTTTGTGAATCATGTCAGTTCCACAAAAACATCAAAAATATACATCAAAAAAGTTTTAATTCCCTTCAAAAATCTTCATAAAGCCACAACAAGGATAATAATTTTTTGTACTTGTTTCACTGAAAACAGCATCAAGAGAGAAACTTTCTCCTCCTGTATACACATTCATCACCTAGTTTCAATGTTATTTTCATCCTTTCTATTGCAAGCATGCTCAAGAAGAAAATAACAAACAACAATAAATTTTTCCTCATTTCCTGTAAGTCCTTGAACTTCCCCATCCTTAACAATTTAATTTTCTATCGTGTTGTACACACAACGGTATAGAACGGGTAAATTATTATTTATTGCAGTACATCCAACATTGTTTGACGCTCATGTCATCATCTTATGAGACACACTCAATTTCTTTTCAATAAAGTCACACATAAATGGAGGAAATATAACGAATAGGGGAGGTTGGGTAATGGGGCTATAAATAGCACAACTCATGGCAAACTCAATAATGGAAATGATTGTGGCTTGGAAATTGATATTAAATAAATTGTTTACCTTTTGTGATTCATTTTGTAGGTTCAATAGTGGCTCTGATGATCGTTTTAGGAAGAGACGGAGCTTATTTTCACGTACTGGTGGTGGTTGTGGATTTTTTCGCTGTGGTGAGGCTTGTTGTTGATAAAGCAGTTTGTAGAAAATTCTTGATCGAGCTGCCAGGATTGCCTGTGGATGGGAAATTTAAAGTTTTTAAGTTTTTTTATGATTTTTGATTTTAAAAATTATTCATATTAAATTCCCATCATTACGCACCCAACCTCACTCCCCGCTGTTTTCAATTCACCAATTTTCAAATAGAAAATCTCATGTGGTAAATTGTTTTTACTCTTTTAACTTCAGCGAGAAGAAAACAACATGAAAATTTGCTTAAAAATTCAAATTAAATCACTGTCGATGTTAAATCGCTCGCGGTTGTCGATGTTAAGTTTCAGCGAAATATGGTAATTTTTAGTCAACAACCGACAAACAGAAAAGCTCAAGAATCCTCTCAAAACAAAAACAGAGCTAAATTTATTCACAAGAAATCTGTTGAATGTATAAACAGAAAAGTATGTCAAGGTCTTCCACCTACAACTCTGTAATTCTGTATGTGTGCGTATCGACCCAAATTTTCCTCATTTTCAGCTGTTTTATTTACCTTTACAGCACAAACAGGCTCTCTTGTTTCACCAACAAGAAATGTTATGTCACATAACTCTGGCATCGATGCAAGAAACTTAAGATCTTCTGCCAATCCTGTCTTGTTCTCAAATATCGACTCAGACTCTTCTTGTGAAAGTGAATCGGTACCGATTGGATAAACACCAGACTGGAGATCCGGCATTTCTACTAGGGAGGAATGGACATTTTATTAAGTCTTAAAAAATAGAACCTTTTTTTTTATTTGAAAATGAAAAATGAAAAAAGAAATTTTTTTTGCAATTTTAAAAAATAAAATATTTAAAAAAATTATATTTTGAAATCTAGTTCATCAAAATGATTCAGGGAAAACTTTTGATTTTATCTAAGTATTTTTGACTATTATTTTTACCAAAATATTGAAAAATAATATTTTAAATTGTTGAACTTAAATTAATTCAAAAACTTTTGAAATTTGAAATTTTTATTGAATCGAAATTGAATATTACAAAACAATTCTGTTTTTCTTTTAAACTTTGTAACAAATGTTCGATAGATTATAAATTAAATTTTTAAAAGCATAAATTTGACAAAACTTTTTAAACAAAAAAAAAATCAAAAGTGATTTTATTTAAAAAAGATTCATTTTTATATTCAAATAAATCTTGAAATTAATCAACAAGTACAAAATTGTTAATAATCGAACTTTTAAGATCTTTTTTGAATTATTTTTTTTTGAAAATACTTTTAACTTTAAAGATTTAAAGTTAAAAATTTAATTTTAAATCTTATCAAATTTAAAAAAATCCCAAAAACATTTACCCTGACATTTACAATTGTCTACGTTTTCACAAAAGAACGCATAACTTCCAAGAAATAAAATGATCTAAAAATAGAACAAAAAACTAGTCATTCGTGAAAAAATTGATTGAAATTTTTTCAATTTTTAAGACTATATCTGACAAATTCACAAAAAAAACCAAAAATTCGAATAAAAGTTCAAAAATCATAAAAATAATTTAATAAAAACAAAACAAAGAAAAACCACAAAAATCAAAATAAAAACTTCCATATCCGAAAAAAATAAAAAACATCAACCTGTTGAACTTTTTCTCTTCTTTTTTCACATTCAGTAAAGAATAAAAAAAATATTTCACAACATACCTGCTATCACAATTTCACTTTCTTGTGATATGGTGGACACGATTTTATCGCTCAGAACACTCACTATAGAAATACCCAACACAATAAATTTTAAAATAAAATGTTAAATTTCACAAAATTAATTTTTATTACCGAAGGAAAATTTCTGACGCAAAAAATCTGTTGAATGTTTCCTAAACAGCTTTTCTATTTTCGCTTCGTTCACTTTCCCTGATAAACTTGAACTTCTCGTATATATTTTTTTCACTTTTTATTCGCACTTGTTAAGAAATAAAATTTCCTCTTCGGACTTTTTTTTATGCTGTGCTTTATAAAAAATTATTTTTTTTTTTATTTCTCAAATATTCCAAAAACTTATTGGGTGAAATTAAATAAATGATCAAAAATAATTTTTGACATTTGGTTGTGAATTTTGTTGTGGAGGAAAAAATGTGGAAAGTGTGCGGGAACAAATGACTCTAAAAAATGAGGAAAAAACTCGAGGATGACGAGAGATGAAACTGGATATCAAATGAAGGTAAAAAAAAAGTTTTTCTTGCTTCGTCGAGATCGAAAATCGATATTAAGAAATACGCAAGTCTGGTTGTTGGAGCTTTTTTTCGATGATTCAACTTGTTGACATTGGGGTTGCTGTTAGAGCTTTTGGATACGAGGGTGGATGTTTGAAAAATTCAGAGACGTTTGGAGAAAGTTCAAAAAAAAAGTCACTGGGTTTTTGTCTGGAGCCTGATCTGATTTGGGAGGTTTTTTATGTTTCAAAATAATTATTGAGAAAATTTCCATTGTTCCTTCACTTTAATTTAAATGGCATTAATGGTCTAAATTGTAGAGCGTCAAGCCCAAAGGTCCTGAGTTCAATCGCAGGCCATGTCTAATTTACAAAGTTCATTTTCCATTTCACCGTTCTTGTTACAAAGCTCGGCTCGTGTGCTGGGTGTAGTTTTGAAGCCTTTGGCACAGAATCTGCCTCCTTTGCTAGGTATAAAAGGATATACTAGCATGTGGATGACTTCCTTACAGCATCTTGAACACATGAATTGAGACTAGATACATTGTAGGGTACATCAGGTCTATAGACACACTCGTGTCTTTTACAATGTGCAGAACTTGCAAGTGGTTCGGATCCCACTATAAACTGTAGTTCTAAAGGGTATCGTACAATTGACTATTTACAAATTGAATCGCAGTGCCTCCAACTGAAAGGCTGGGCCCTTCACACATTATTATTCATTTTAATTTTGAGAATTAGTTTTGATCATTTCGATGTTTATTTAAGATTATTGAAGCCACTTTAAAAGATAAGCTATTTTAATACAGCAACATCAAGAACAATGCAATACTTGCTGTCACACATCATTTGACTTGTTTCTATGGTCATAATAAAAGAAATATAGACGTTGCTTGACATTTTGACTGAATATTTAATTAATTGTCGTAAGCAGAAATAATAAATCGTGACCTTTGTTTGTTGCTAATTGTATTGAGCTATTCTCGGTATGTCTGATATCATCTTTATTAAACTGCCTGAGCATCTTTTAACATTAAAAATATCAGTATTCTTGTTTTCAAGTATTAAAATGCATTCTTATAAGATTTTAATTTTTTTTTGTGAATTTATAATTTTTAAAATAACAAGCAGGTATGAAATGAATGTTTTTAATATGCTGGATATGTATCACAGGTAAACAGATCCTTTCTTTAAAATAAATACATATTTTCTAACTACCTCTTATGAAATTCATTTGAATTTCACTGTAAATGAGCATCGAAGGTTCTTCTAGAGCAACGAATTTTTCTGTTGATATTTTACATGTTCTATTCTTAGAATTTGCATGGAGGATGTCTAAAGAGTTCTTAAATTATGCAAATGTCTTCTTCTTACACGAGCCAACTGTTGCAATGAATAAATATGAAGTGCGTGAAAACGCGATTGGTTTATACAAAACTTCATAATCCTTTCGGGAAATGACTAATTAATTTTTCATCAGTATTGATTTTTCGCTTAATCAAAGTTGGTTGACACTTGATTCTGTGTGTTTTTGAACCAATTAAATGATTATTGATCGGAATGCTTGTTATTAATAAAACTTTGATTTTTTTTCTTGGATTTTGTTGTAAAATTAAGAATTATTTCTTTGAAATTATGATAAAAAGGGATCAATGATTCATTTCATCCAATATTTTAAAAAAAATTCAGATTGGACTTTGAAAAAATTAATTTCTGATTCAGTAAAAAATATAAAAATTTAAACTTTTGGTGAAGCATCTATTGTGATCCCAAAATCTATCCCAACATCCAAAAATCAGTTAAATATTTTGAATTCAATAAATTAAACTTTTTCATTTTAAAAAAGCATAGAAATTAAAATCAAAAACTTTTTAAACTTTAAGACTAGCAAAATAATTCAAAATTTAATTTAACGACATTTAATTAAAAACTTTGTGAACATAAATAATTCAAATTTTTTCGTAACGAATTTTTAATCAACTTTTCTCAAAAGCTATCAAACTCCTTCTAGAAGGTTTGACCACATTTACAGCGCCATCTCTTGAAAGCGTCTATAAAACATTTCAGTATATGAAAAGCTTTAAAACTTTTTTTGAGGAATTTGTGACACCTGCTTGGATTGTTTGGGTTGACTTGAATTAGCGGGATGTCAATTAATGTTTTACATGATTTATTATAATTCCTGGATAAATTAGTTTTTTAAAATTATAAAAAATTGAAACCTTGAAAAATATTTTATTGAAAATTCGAAGCTTTTAATTCGTAATCACAAAAATAATACAAAATTAAAATTAACGGTCATGAAAAATTCAAATCACCCCAAACGCACAAATACAATCTTAAAATAGACCTTCAGCATTGCTGGCAATTCAAATCGTACTCATGGAACCAGCTTTTTATAAAACGCATATGACAAAATTAAAGAAAATAATTAAAATAAAAACTCGAAAAATTAATAAAATTAATTTAATAAATTTTAAAATTTAAATTTCCTTTCTACCTGAACGGGATTCATTAAAAACGAATAAAAGTAATTTGCCCAGCCAATAATGTGGCCAAAATTACACCGCATCAAAAACTTACGACTGCATACAAGCTAAGCGAAGCATTCATTGTATTTTCAACCATCGACGAGTTCAGATCGAGTGGAAAAAAAATTTTAAAAAGAAATCTAATTAAGCCATTTTTTCTTTAAAACCTAAAAAGTAAAGAAAAGGTTCAATTAAATAAGATACAAAAAAATAATAACACATAAACTAAGAAGGATTTATAATCAATAAGGAGCATTAAGCAAATTTTAAGTCACATTCATAACTTATTTTAAATAGTTTCAATTTATTAAATAAAAAAAAAAACAACACAAGCATCATGAGTACAGAACAAGAACCAGTCACAGTTGAAGCAGCAGCAGAAGAAAAGACAGAGACGAAAGAAGTCAAAGGAACAAAGCGAGCTGCCGAAGTGAGTATAATTCATAAGAATATCTTGGGATAATTGGGAGGGAAAAAAAAGTATAAGTTATTGATTAGCACTCAACATTCGGAAAGGGGACTCCATGATGATGATGCATGCCTGCCATTAATACAAAAAAATTTTCTCAAAAAAGGCAGCGTCGGCATCACTTCCATATTATACAGATAGATAGAGACTTTATTATTACATATATACATATATTTTCTTAATAATAATCGAAAGCATCATCATCATCATCGTCATCAGTCATCATCCCTCCATTTTTTTCCTACTGTACAAAATTTCTGTTCTTATTCTTCCTTTTTTTTATTTTGTGTACTCCTCACTCTCTCTCTCTCACTCACTCTCTCCATATACACATATTCCATATTATTTCATATTAAGCAGAAAATAAAAGAAAGAAAAAAAAAAGCCCGAATGAAGAAGAGAAGTGGAAAAAGAAAACCGATCAGGAAAAATGTGCTACATTTTTCACGTATACAAGAAAAATTTCCCCCCGTAGAATCCACAAAAAAAAAAGATACACTCTGTTATTTTTTTCATTTCATTTCGCCGGTATAATACACACAATATCACATACATCTATGTCTATAACAAATAAATACACAGATATTCTCATTTGTAGATGTAAACAGCTATGGCGTCGCTTTATTTCTTTTCACTCGTTTAAATCGTGTTATAAAGCACTCGAGTCTTGCTTGGTTTGGGATGCGAGCAATAATTTTTTTGAGGAATTGACTCGATTGAGGCTGATGGCTTTATCATTTTTACTTTGCGCGCCTGAAAATTATATTTATATTTTTTCCCGCTTCTTGATGACTTTGGGGGAAATGCAAAAAAATGCCGACTTTCGATATATGTGTATACATGATCGGCTTCTGGGACTTTTGTGTTGGGAAGTTAAGTTTGTTGTATTGAGTTTTATGTATTATAGTGGGTATCATTGATGGAAAGCGAGGTTTATGCACTTAGTAATAAGCTGAGGTTACAGTTATGAGAAATTTGAGTAAATTTGGAGTTATTTTTCTAGATTGATGTAGAATTCAGGTCATACACCTCTTATAATCTTATCTATTTCGTCATACAAGCTATTATAATCAAATAATCCTTAATATCCCATAAATCCCTCGAAACTTTCACACAAAATCTCCAGTAAACTATAAAAACTAATTTACTATACAACGACCTTGGTTGTTTGTGTTAATACATTTCAAAATCAAGTCAATGATGCTTGGGCATCGGGGCTATATTGCTGTATACATACATTCATTTCTGTTTGATAATCAAACTCATTTTTATTTTATATTTTATTATTATACACACTTTTTTCTTGTAGTTTTTGTGTAGTTAACATAACATGGCTGAATAGATTGAAGTTTATTTTCTGTTATTTTCACTATTGCAACTGTAATAGTTGCTTGGGCATATTTTGAGATGATGATGATGATTCAATGACGATAACGATATTGTTATAACTTTTTTTTATGTGAACTTTAAAAATGGTAAATGGTGATGTTGTGGAGATTTTGTTTTGTGGCGTTAAAATGAGGGGGTTATGAGATACTTGATGTAATAAACAGTTGATATAGGAAGAGAAAGTTGGGATTTTTTTTTTGGAGGGAAGTGCATTCGGGAACCGATGAATGAAAGGAATTGCGAACATTTTTCTGAGTTCGAATTTTTGCATTCTTCGGTTCGAAAAAGAAGGTAAACAAAATTTGTCGAGACTTGCTTGTGTGGAAAAAAGCGGAATATTTTAGAAAGATTTTAAAAAATTCTTTTTATAAATAATTTTTATTTATAATTCTGATTGGCTTTATTGAGTCACTAAGCGGTTTTAAAGTAGGTTTTTTTGTATGTTTTAATTCTGAGTATTTAATTTATAAACCTTAAATAATTATGATTTTAAAATAGAAAAACTTTCTAAAATTAGTTTATTAAACCGCTACAAACACTTGAATAAGCAAACTTAGCTTTATTATGCTTTTCAAACTGTAAAGCATTGAATTAATGAAAATTTATTTATAGTTTTATTCTCAAATTTCTATTTTAAAATTCTTTAAAATTACAAAAACAACTATTTAACTGAATTTTTGTAATAAAAGCATAGTTTTAGAGATTTTAAGGGATTCTACTTTGATTTTTTGAAGTTTAAATTTTTTTGGTACATCAAATTTAATTTTACAAGTTAAAGAAAAATTTTGAAAACATCAATTAATATTTCAATGAATTAAATTGAATTTTAAAATTAATAATTTAAATTTTTGAAAATGAGTTTAACTTTGCAAGTTTTAAAAGTGCAAATTTAATTGAAATTCATTAAGTTAACCTGAAAAAATTTTAAAATTTATTTTTTAAAAAGTATAGATTTTTAAAATGCCAAATTTTAATTCTGAAAACTTAAATTTAAACTTTAGAAAATTTAAATCTTTTTTAAAAATGTTCAAACAAACAAATTAAGTTTTAAAATTGTAAAAATAGAGAAAGCTATACCAAAAATTCTTTAAAAATCCCAGCCATCCCATAGCGTCTTAAAAATCCATAAAACAGTTCCATTTTCAACATGCAAACTCAACAATCCCTGCAAAGCGAAAAAAAGAAGAAAAAAATTCTTCCATCCTCCATCCATGTTTCTTAAACTTCCGTTTGAGCGCGCAAAGAAAAAAAAACTTTCCATTCACGAGAACCCCCATACAGAACACTACACAAAAACCCGAGAAACATGAAACCCGAATCAGAAAAAGAGATTTTAAAAAGAATGAAAAAATAATATTTTTTTCTAACTGAAAAATTTACGCTTTTTTGCGCTTGGCGTTGGCGTCATTATAACACATGTAAACAACATACACATTCATATATTTTTTCTAAGTTGTGTTAGTTTTCTAGCAGTTACACTACAAACTCGTGTAAATTCTTCTTTCTTGTTCTTATTCGACATCAATCAAAAGTTCGTTAATTTTTTTCATCATAAATTAATTGAATTTTTTTAAATTGAAACCCTTAAAAAATTATTAAAAATTCGATTGTAAGACATTGAAATTATAAAAAATGGTGGGAAAAGAAGTGACACACGAAAGTAGTGACGCGCACACGGGGACATGTTAATTGTGTATAGAACGACGCATATGCCGGACTAATACAATCAAAATGTAGAACTCGAAAAAAAAATTCCCTGCCGAAGCCAGAATATATGAATAAGATAAAATATTCTATATATTTCATTTTGGGAAGAAAAAAAAACTAAAGGCAAAAGGCAGGCAAAAAACCGATTTTATTGCTGTAAAAAAGCAGCAGCGGCTTCCCATATTCATTTGTATGTGTTGAAGCAGCCGAACGATGATGAAAAATAAAGCCTAAAACCGTTGATGTAGAGTTGGGCGACTATGTCTTCGGTTATTTTTATGTGCTATGCTGCTCATGGAAGCGAAGCAAGCCCATTCGTAATCATTAAAACCACTTCTCATTAATAAATTCTTGTAATTCTTACAAACTTTACTTTTTGCATCTGTATTAGTAAGATTGTAAATTTTTAACACACGGCATATGCACGGTGTGCGTCTATATAGTCACCCTGAACCAAAAAAAAAAAGGAATTATAAAAATGCAGATGTCATGGAAAAATTTTTAATTTTTTTGTTAAGCGGAAAAAAAGCAAGCCTGATGCAGTTTTTGTAATTCTTTGTTGCTCACACACATATGCACAATACGCATGTAACGAAAATGAGACATGTGTCTTTTCCTTCCCTAACTTTAACTTTATGTAATAATCCTTCTTCTTTTCATCCCATTGCCACACTCGTGTGTCTTTTTAATGGCGCAAATATCTATCCCTACTTATTTTACTTTTTTTTTGTCTTCCTCTTCTGTACACACATTTTATTATATTTCATTTTTTTCTTTCTCTCTCTTTTTTCGGAGTAAATCGATGAAGGAAGTGGTTTTTTACGTTCGATATGAATGGAACGACCTCTAGGAATGTTGGGATGAAAACACATAACAATTCTTTTTATGAGAAGCTTTTTTTACTTCTCTCTCTTTTGGCTATGCTATGTTCTGTTTTTACCGATTATCAACGAACTGCTTTTGTGTGCTTGACATGAAGACTTCTTTTTTTTTGCTTCGTTATTGAAGTTGTTGGAAATACGTTGGATTTCAAATATTGTTTGTTGGATGGGAATGGGAATGGAAATGTTTGATGCGTGATGATGACTGTTATGTCAATTATGGTGGGAATTTTGGCGGGTTTTTGATAAAGTTGGAGCTTAAATGATTGAAGTTAAATGAAAATTGTGGGAGATTTAATCCCTCCGAAGTTAATTCATATAATTTAAGGTTGATTAAGAGTTTAGGAACATAATATGCGTCAAGAACGGTAGGATTTGAACTGCTGATGCTTAGTATTTTCATTAAATTTAATCAAATCTAGTTATTAGACACTATAGACCGTTAATACATAATTAATTTTCGGCAAATTGGAATCCTGATAAGCACATTATTCGTATCTGTAGATTAAATTGGCCACAATGTAGCAAACTAGGTCAATCCGACTAAGAAAGGTCAAAATCAGGGCAAAACTATCTGTTTGAAGTCCAAAGTCATTCAATATTTTCTCAACTAGAAGACAGGCTTACTTAGTGAGCATACTATGCAATTTGTACCCCAAGCATCATTTAGCATACTTATAAAATCAAAAATACCTCAAAAAACCACAAAATTCTTCAAACATTTCAAGAACAATGCTTAATATTGACAATTACTGTCAACCACAAAAATTTGACTTAATATTCTCGTTATTTTTCAATGTGTTGTGCTTAAGACAAGCAGTTCAAAGGGCTTATGACGCTTTGTGAGCAGACATGCTTTATAATCTTTAATCTGCTATACACACATTGATTTATAGGCATGCTTTGAATCTAGTACACAGCAATTATGTTTTAACATTGAGTAAAAAAATATTTAAAAATTGTCGATACTGTAGAATCAAGTGCCAAGCCATTCTACAAACTTTTCCATAAAAAAAACATCCAACTTCAACCTTTCAATCAGTTCCAAAGAACACAAACAATTTCTCCTTATTCAAACACAATTTCCGACTAAATGTTCTTTGTAAAAGTCTAAATATAAACCATTTTACATGTCCCAGTAGACAGAATTCTCTTAGAGACAGCAATTTAACGGTCATTTTTTCAAATTAAAAAAAATGTTTCAATTTGATACTCGAATTCTATTTATGCCCGATTCTCATATTTTATTTTCTTCATTTATTTCAACCTGACTCATCATATTATTCTCAAACTAGAGTTCATTAAATTTCCACACATAAAAATAGCGTCTGCCTTTGCATGTCTTAATGTGTATAAATACGAGTCTATGTTAATATGAAGGAAGCGTGTAAACATGTGTAACGGATAGAAAATAATATTAATATTATTGATAAGGAAATTGATAAGGAACATTCATTTATTGGTATTATTCCCACGCAACTTTCCCTACCGCCTATATCTCACCATTCCACCTTAAAATAATTCTAAGTTAGCGAGGGAAAAATAAACACGTGAATTTTTTTTTCATCGACTGCCGCGTGCTTTATCAAACTTAATATACAAACAACAAAATAAAAATGTAATTCTTTTTACTAATATTTACAACTTTTTACTTATGTCTTTGTAGGATAAGAAACCCGAGCAAGCCAAAAAGTCGAAGAAGGACGAAAATGGAGCCGATGACGAGGATGATGTTGAGGATGAAGGAGATGAAGGTGAAGATGAGGAATATGAGCTAAATTACGGTAAGCACTTTGGCTCATTTCTGGGTTTTATTTGAAATTTAATTTATTGTTGAATTTAAAATTAATTTTTGTTTTTTTTTTCTATTTAATTTTTGCAGAGGGCGAAGAAATTGATGGTGAAGATGAAGAAGAGGAAGATGGTGATGAGGATGGTGAAGGTAAGGATCCAAAGATTTAAATCTGTTTATAAAAATATGTTTTTGAAGATTTAGGAAAGGTTTTTCAAGTAATTTGATGAATTTTAATCAAGATAAAGTTGCAATTTAGGTATCTAGCATTACTCTGCTAATAAAGTGTATCGGTCTTTAATTCAAATGATTCAAATTACTTAATTTGTCATAAATTAAATAAGGTTTAATAATTAGAATTTCCAAAAAAGATAAGATTTTGAATCTTAAATTTTAAAAAAATTCTAAATGAATTAATAATTGGATTTTGAATTATCTTAAAATAATTTAATGTTAAAGGGCAAAACTATTAAAATCTTCAAAACATAACCTAAAAATATTATAAAATTCTAATCAAAAATTAACACAAATTTTTCTTTTCTCTCAATTTCCAATAACTTTTTGCAGAGGACGGCGAAGAAGAAGAGGAGGATGACGCATAATCGACAAAACTTCACCTTTTGTAAATGTGCAGTGACTGAAGAAATCTTAAAAGAATAAAAAAAAATCACAAAAAAAAACACTTCAAAAAACCTAATATTAAAATAATGATTAAAATAGACTACAAATATTAATTTTAAAGATGGAAAAGTAATAGTGTGTTACATCATTATTATTGCTAAGTAAGGAAAAAAATGGTAAAAAAATACACAAAAAACAAAAAAATATATATTATAAAAGTTTTAAATTAATATATATTTAAGATAAAACAAAAAAGAAGAAAAAAAAAAACACGATGAAAAAAATGTAAGAGAAAAAGAAAAACACAAGAAATATGAAATCAATGGTAATAATTTAATGTAAAACTTTTCTTTTGTAAGTTCACATTTTTTTGTGGAATTGATGCGAAAAATGGATGGGAAAAATTGTTTTTCTGATCGGTTCTCGCGATTGTGTTTGCATTTACGAAAGAGACACGATTGTGGGGACCAAAAGTGAGACTTTTTTTTTGAGAATCTTAAGAAAATATGATTTTTATTTAAAAAGGGAAAATTTTTTGCGTGAAAAAAGAATTTTTTTTAACATTAAAATTCAAATTTCGAGTGTTGAAAATTTTTAAAAATAAGAATCTTAACGAGGAGCAATAAATTAGATTGCTGATGGACTTAGGGGGCTCTTAGTGGAGTATTCTAGACTGAATCGACATCCACTCCCTCCTAATATCCCCTTGTAGGCTCTCAAATCCCTTTTTTCACGAGAAAAACTTCTCAAAAATAAGTGAAAATTTTTAAAAAATAAGAATCTTAACGAGGAGCAATAAATTAGATTGCTGCTGGACTTAGGAGGCTCTTAGTGGAGTATTCGAGTCTTAGGGCTGAATTGACATCCACTCCCTCCTAATATCCCCTTGTAGGCTCTAAAATCACTTTCTTCACGAGACAAACTACTCAAAAATAAGTGAAAATTTTTAAAAATAAGAATCTTAACGAGGAGCAATAAATTAGATTGCTGATGGACTTAGGAGGCTCTTAGTGGAGTATTCTAGACTGAATCGACATCCACTCCCTACTAATATCCCCTTGTAGGCTCTCAAATCCCTTTTTCACGAGACAAACCACTCAAAAATAAGTGAAAATTTTTAAAAAATAAGAATCTTAACGAGGAGCAATAAATTAGATTGCTGATGGACTTAGGGGGCTCTTAGTGGAGTATTCTAGACTGAATTGACATCCACTCCCCCCTAATACCCCCTTGTAGGCTCTAAAATCACTCTCCATGAGACAAAGTAACTCAAATCATTAAAAAAAATCAATTTTTCAAAAGATTCATAAAGAAATTTCTTACTTTAAGTTAGAATAACGCTAGTTCCACCCATTTCTCCTTCAAATCTACAAAAAAATCGTTTAAAAATTCCATTTTAAGAAAATCCACCAGATATTTCATAGATGAAAAAAATCATAAAAAATTACAAAAAATCTTGTGTTTTGAGATAAATAAATTTCCAATAGATTTTCATTTAAAAGATTTATAAAGAAAAAAAAAGAATTAAAATCTTTTAGACATTTAATTATTACTCATATGATTATCGAGACAAAAAACCTACAAAACAAAAAAACGGCAGAAAAATTCTTCAGTCAAAGTCGCTCACAAAAACAACAAAAAAAATTGAAAATAATTTAATAAAAAAAATCATTAAAAAACCAACCTCATTCGCCATCTCAATCAATCTCTTGTGCCCCCAACACAAAAAGATCCATTCTCCATATGCAGCATGAACACCTCGAAGCAGCAGTCATTAGATAATAATTGGGCATCGTCCGACTTTGTGATCTTTATTTTGCTGAAATTTTTTTAAAAAACAAAAATTATTTCATTTCAACCAACCATCAAAATAAGGGAATAGATACAGCCACACATATACACAGAAAAAAAAACAACCAGTTACAGCATGGAAACGACCTCAGAATGCAAAACATTATTGAAATAAGTAAAGAAAAATATTGTAAAATTTCTTCATTTTGTCTTGTCTTTTTAGAAAATGGTGTTGTAAAATTGTAAAATTTACTTCTTATCTGACAAAATTTTTTTTAAAAAACTTCCGAGCGGGACGAAAAAATAACTTCCGTGTCGGTAAAACGGATTTTTTTATAATTTCTTAATTTTTTTCCATTCGATTTAGCAGTTAATATTAAAAAAAACACAAAGTAATTAAATAAAAAAAATATGAAAAAAAATCACACACACATATACGACTTTCTTTTTGTAATTATTATCATTTTGTTTTTGTCCAAACAAAACTTAAATAAATGAAAAAAAATTCTTAAAAAATGAGTAAATGAAAATGAAATGAAAAAAAGAACTTTTTTTTATAATTTCGAAAAATGAAAAATAAAAAAATAGAAAATAAATTAAAAAAACGAATCTTTTGTGTTTTATAAAACGGAGTTATAATGCAAAAGATTTACAGAATAATAATTAAAGTAATTAATTAATTAATTAATTGAAATAAAAGAATTTTGTTTTTTCCAAAAAAAAAGAAAATAAAAAAATATGTTTTAGGTGAGTTTTTCTTTTTAAAATTTTAGAATGTGAGAAAATTTTCATATTTTAATTTTTTGAAGCGTTGCTTCGTAGATTTAAAACGAATATTAATTTTTAAAGCCATGCTTTATTTTTGTTGCAATTCTTTTTAATTTTTGAAAGTCAAGCTTAATTTTTGCTTTATCTTTTTGAAAGCTTTGCTGTATATTTACAGTAAAGCTTTCAAATTTCTAAAGCTACGACTCATTTAATGCAACAAAATTTCAAAATTTTAGACGCTTCGCTTAATTTTTGCCACAAAGCTTTACAATTTTAGACGTCACGCTTCATTTTTAAAGCAAAACTCCAAAATTTAAAGAGTCTAGCTTCAAATTTTCAGTGCAGCTTCTCGTTTCTTCAACAATTATCCCTTGCCACACATATTTGCATGAGCCTTTATATTACATAATCTAATTTCAACAGTCTAGTCTAAAAATACGTAACATAAAATTATTTAATCGTAGAACTTCACCCATATATCGACAAAAAAAAATAAAATAGGTCATTAGCTTGCTAAAATATCGCAAAAAAAATATTTTAACTCATTAATAGCTCAATTTCGATCGCTCAGTCAAATGCTGCTAACAAAAAAAAAATGCAAATCCAACAAAAAAAATGTTGCCATGCACAAAAATCGCGAATTTTGCATTAAAATTCCTTCAACTTAATTTTATTATCGTTCCTTGAATTCAAAATTGAGCATCATAACATACGTGCTTGTTTGTTGACGATTCTAGTAAGTATTATTGTGCTAATTAGCCATGATCATTCCAGCACATCATTTATAGTTTTCATTTCATGTGTGAGAAAGTCAACGATCTTCAATTTCCATTTCTTTCCCGCATTCGGCTTTAAATGAAAAGAACTGCGGAGGATGAAGAAGAAGAAATAGCGAAGAAAAGCTTAGTCATACGTACGATAAGTTTACAACTGTGTTCAGTCGGCTATGGAACTTAATTTTATTATTTCTTGTGTATTTTAGCATATTTGTTGCTTTATATATTTCCCAATGAGTTGTATTTTATTTAAAGTAACGAGTTTGAGGATGATGGAATCGTTGTTGAGGTGATGTGATGATTATGACGCATTTTAGAAGAAGAACTTGCATTTGTTTAACATGCTGTTGCTGAGTGACAACACGTGTATTTTATTGTATCCAAAAAGTGTCATGAGGTTGAAATAAAGAACCTTAACGACATGATTAAAAGCCGCGATGATGAAGCCATTTTTCAATTTCTAGACCAGCAATGGAGCTTCTTTTCTCTTTTCCTGACGACTTTGGTGAAGATATGACAATATTCTGAGTTAGGAACATCATCAAATGTGAGCAATAATACAATTAGGAAAAATGCTTCAAAATGATATAAAAAATTGCAAAAATTCACGAAACTCTTAATCTAAAATTCTCTGAACCCAAAATGCACCCTCCAAACTCATCCCATTCATCCACGACAAGAAGCTAAAACTAAAAGAAAAGAAAATACACGAAAGCAAATCTCCAACTTATTACATCAGTTCGTGATAATTTTTACCGAGAATTATTTTTCTCAATCATAAAAAAATTCCCTTCCAATTTTTGATGCCTTTTGTAACTTTGAAGCATTTTTATTTCTGGTCTGTCCATAATTTAATCAGAATGTTCAACAACAAGTGCTTCTCGGATACTTGAACTTTGCGTGGTGTTTAATTATGAAAAATTCATTGAGTTAAAAATAATAATCGAGAATTTCAAATGAAGCCACATGAATCATAGCGTCTATTGGACGTGCTGCCATCTGTTAGGAAATAGACAGAAAATGTGAGCTTCTGAATTTACTTAATTTTTGACGTTGTTGATAATGCAGAATTGATGCTTTATAGCACATGATTTCTTGAGCTGCGTACAAGCGGAATTGAGAAAAAAATAAAGTTTTATGGCGTCATAAAAAGGGTTCTGTGGTATAATTTATAGAATCTTTCATCGTTGAACTTAAAATCGCTATAAATTATTGACAATGTTTGGTGCTCGAAGGCATGAAAAATCTGAGTTTGTCTGTAAAAGTTACGCGAAATGATGAAATTTTAATTTTTAAAGAATTTTGTATTATTAGATGAAGAAATTGAAGATAAAATGATGATGATGCTGATGATAAAAATTTCGGTTAATTTGAAATCACTCGTGATTTAGTATTTGAAGCATGTTTTGTAACTTTGAGACTTAAACACGATAAGGCATACGATCATATATCAAATCGTTTTAACTTCAATTGAATAAAAAGTTTATTTTAAAATTAAAGTCAACATTTTATTTCTTTGGAAGGAAATTTTATCTTCTTAATTTTATGTTAAAGCGTCAGATTAACTGGTTATCAATTGTTCAAACTCTCAGTAATTCAATGATTAAATCCACAAAAGATCAATAATTGATTTTCAAAAAATTCTCTCAAATTAAATTTAACATTTTTCAAATTTTCAAAAAAATCAAAATTAAATTCCACAGAAAAAAATCCTCATCGGCATTGGATACACAAATAAAAATCAGTTCTGCAATTGATGTCTGTTGAATAGGAAGCAGACAATTATAATAAATTTGTGAACTCCGGGCAATTAAATTGTAGATATTCTCCCAAAATGTCAACAGCAAAGATTTCAAACGGAACAAAATATGAAATGGAAGAACAGACAGTCGAAAGTAAGTTAACAAAAGTTTTGTCCTGCAAAATATTCTCAATCCAAAATCAATTTTTTTGCAGATGGAATGAATGGAGTTGAGGCGAGAGAATGGGTAGACTATGATATTCCTATGCCATGGGGAACTGTGTCAGGTAAATATTGCATAATCAATGCTTTAAATCAATATCAAATAGTTTAACAAAACATGGAAATCAACCTTGATTTCTAATGCATGAAAGTATGACTACACAGATTTCATAAGCTCAGCTGATCGTGACGTCAGAGCGATTGAAGCACATGTATACTGAATGGGAATAGAGAGAAAAATTTAATTGAATAATTGTCTGCATTGTTGAATAATTTTTGAAGGAAATTAATTTGGCGAAAACAATTTTTTTTGAATTTGTTTGCGAATTCTTGAGGCCGGCTTTAAAAATAAATATTCAAAATATTTGCAACCAAATTATGGAATTTGCAAATTGATTAGGGTTTTAAAATAAAATTGAATATCTTAAGGAAAATTTTGCTTAGGTTTTATTGGGAATCATAAACAGATGCTAGACTAGGATTACATATGTCTCTTATGATACAATGGAATGTGGTGTCTTATTACTTTGGACAATCTTAAGCATCTAGCTAGGGACTAGCTTCTAAGTTAACAGGATACACCTTAAGGCCAATCAGGTTCACTATGCTTTATTAAATAGTTTCACTAGGTTTGCTTGTAAACAAAGCTCGTAGTCGATGAAATTTTGTATGCAGTCGAGTCTCGGAGTCCATTCCGCCATACAAAATTGATGAAAATCTCGAGTCCACTTCGAGCTCTGCTTGCGAAGAATGGCAGCAAAATTAATAAATTAAATTATAAAGTAATTAAAAACACTCTAATGACAAAAATCAATATTTTTTGGTAAAACCAGTCTTGACAGTCTTCAAATTAATTGTGCAATATCATTCCTTAATATCCACAAAAAAAATCCTCAAGACTCCCTCATACCCAAATTCCAACAACATTACACCAATCAATACGAAAAACATACGTCACAAATCCAACAAAAAATTCCTTATGCAAATCCACTGCCAATAAAAATAATCTAATTTAAAAATCATTTCTTATTTTCCAGGTAAATGGTGGGGCACAAGATTTCGTCAACCCATTATAGCAATTCATGGATGGCAAGACAATTGTGGAACATTCGACAAACTCATTCCATTACTTCCAAAAGATATACCAATACTTGCAATTGATTTGCCGGGTAAAAATAACTTAAAAATATGTCGAAAAATGATTTTATTGTGATTTTAATCGTAGGTCATGGCAAGAGTTCACATTATCCAAAAGGCATGCAATACTTTTTATTTTGGGATGGAATAACGCTGATTCGTCGTATTGTCAAGTATCATAAGTGGTCTAATATCACACTTATGGGACATTCACTTGGCGGTGCCTTAAGCTTTATGTATGCTGCATGCTTTCCTGAAGATACTGCAAAATTTATCTCATTTGATATTGCTGGACCGACGGTCCGTGATCAAGTCCAATTGGCATCAAAGACTGGCGACTGTATTGACAAAATGTTGACTTATGAAACTTTACCGGAATCTAAAACGCCTTGCTATAAATATGAAGATATGATTGATCTCGTGCTGGATGCTTATCAAGGATCAGTTGATCTCGAGTCTTGTAAAATTCTTATGAAACGTGGAATGGCACCAGCACCAGAGCATATGCACAAAAATGGATTTCACTTTTCTCGTGATCTCAGACTGAAAGTCAGCATGATGGGAATGTTTAATGAGGAACAAGTTCTGATTTATGCTTCACAAGTTCAATGTGAGGTTCTCAACATTCGCGCTAATCCTGGCATGTGCTTTGGTGATCCAACAGTCTATCCAAAAGTTATCGATAAAATGCGCGAAGGTGCTAAACGTGTTGTTTATGAGGAAGTTGAAGGAACTCATCATGTTCACTTGGTGCATCCAGAACGAGTCAGTGAAATTGTTGGTGACTTTTTGATGTCATAGACAGTATAGTGTGCGGATATAGCAGGTTATTAGAAAATAAAATTTACGATTTGCACGCTTTAATCCTTTGTGGAGATTTTGTCAGAATTTTTAATTCTTTTGACAACAAAATTCTCGTTCCAAAGGTCGCTACCTTAATATGTAAATCAAGCACATTCAAAATATATATCGCACGATTACCTGTTGCTGTGTGATAAACAACAAAGTCAATTGATTTGAAATTAGAAATTTCTTATGCCTAATTTATTACCAATTCAAATTTTTTTTTCTACTTATTAAATTGAAAATCAAACAAATGAAAAAATATTCAAATTTGTTGTAAAATAGGAACTTAGTTATGCATGTGGTTAGTGGGACTTCCTTATTTATTTATGTTAAGTATGTAAATCAGTTTAAAGTTGAACATTTGACGATTCTAAAATAATTTGGGGCTTACGGAGTTATCGAAAGATATTATTGATTAATTAGTGAAAATTATAGCTTTTTTAAAAAGAACTTTAAAGATTTTTATTATTTTTGACAAAAATTTTAATTTTTTTCTTTTATTTAATTTTAATTAAGGTTCAAACAGAGCATTCTTAGGGGGGTTGGATTAGTTTTGACACTAAGAATTTTGTGTTTATTTAACATTAAATTTAAAACTATTTTTTAACAACTGTCTCAACTACGCCTCTAGATCAAATCTACATAAAACTATAAAGAGCGCAAAAAATCAAAAATGAATTAAATTCATGAATTTTAATTAAGTTTTATTTTTTTTAAAATTTATATCTTTGTTTTAAAATAAGCATCGGGTAGTTACCATAAGTGAAAAATTTTAATTTATTTTTATAAATATTGAACAAAATGAAACGAAAAGTATGAATAAATAGAAATAAAACTGAAGTATTTCAATGAAAATTGGAGAATTTAAATCAAACTTTACATAATTTCAGCAGAATCAATTGGTTTAATTCTATCATTCTTTAAGACACAACTTATTTTAGGATTCTATGTAGAATATTATTAAGGCAGCCCTAGAGACCGAACCAAGCAATTAACGACATCTTTGATGCAATAAATTGCTCACAGCTCGATCGTGAAACAAAAAAGTACAAAAGTTCAGATTAATCGCCAGTCATTTGGACTCATATTGCTAATATATGTATCACCATTACCATTTATAGCTATCACGTTATCTAAAACCTTAAAAAAATCATGTTTGAAGTTTGCACTTTTCAAAATCACTGAGCATTCTGACGTTATCTTGATCTACGGTTTTGATTATGAGTCAGCTACTTTAAAGGTTCGCTAAACTTAATTAACAGATTTGAATTAGGTGGCTGGAACTAGAGCTGTAGTACTTGAAGCGTTCTGTAGGGTATTGATGCATTTGGAATCTAATGTGAACCTGTACAAAGAAAGAATGGCACCTTATGCTACTAGGTTTATTACTGATTACTGTTCTAATATTAGACTCATACTAAACAAACTTCAAACTGAAGTAATCAATTGCTAGCGTGTCGTATCGAGAAGTGCCAAATTCTACAAAAACCCGTTAAACCTCACAATAAAAAGGGCAAAATTTGGAGGGGGGGTGTTCAAATTTAAAACGTCTACTTAAGCATCAAAACTTAACATGTTGCCATTCATAAAATTACCTTTCATGATTGATTCCTTTGATTTAATCAATTTCATAACAAAATTCAATCAGCTGATAGTCATACGACAAAATTCTGACCAAGCATCAACACTATGTCGTTGTATTCACTTAACTCTGAAATTTTTAAGTCCTATTGTAGAAAAATATTAAAATTATCGCAATCGTAGAAATGATTTAACATAACATCATTGGAAGTCTGCAGTACAATTTCATTTGCTTCTTACTAAAATGACCTTTAAAAATTTATTAAACAACCAAAGAGCACATCAAGTGCCTTTAAAGCAGTCAAAAACGCACACAACCTACATTCATACAACGTTGATTGTCTAATTTCATTTTCGTTAATGACGATCACAACTGAATACCTTTCCGTAAGGTTCAAAGATCAGTTTTTGCTAATGAAATTCCGACATTTCAAATCTGTTGTAAAAATACCGGATTTTTATTTTTTAAACTTAAAAGAAACTTTCAAAATTTTGAAATCCGTTACAGAAAAGTGTCACACTTATTAGAAAAAGGGAGCAGAACTAATTGTAAATTTATTGTCTCAGCTGCAAAATGTCTCACACAAAAATTGGTCCATATTTCTTCTTTAAAGGAGTTTGAATTGCCGCAAAATAATTATTTTCTGCCTTTTCGTGTATCTCATCCAATGGTGAAAACATAACTCTCATCCGCAACCGTGCCTTTGCTTTCTCCAAATCCTGACGAAAAAAACAAACCACACAAATAGAATTAATCATAAAAATTATTCAGGGAGGGTGGATGTGCCTAATTTTACAGCATACTTCAATAATTTTCTTATTTCGTTTCCTCGCCTCGTTTAGTGTCTGTGGATATGAGTCTAATTCATTAGTTTCAGTATTGGCATCTGATGTGTCGAACTGCTCGTCTAAATTCGTTTCTGCTTCTTCACTGGAAAATTTTGATTTTAATGGTTTTGAGTTTTTGTTTGGATTTTGTATTAATTGATTTAGGAGAGGTCTTGGGATGATTAAGGGTAATGGTAGGGAGCGAGCTGATTTCGCCAAATTCAGAAGCTACATTGACTGAGTTGCATGGATAACCCAATGAAAAAGTACCAGATCAAATCAGACTAGACATTCTAGCTACTGCACCAATATTAATTTTCTAATAATCCACAAACATCAACTGAAACTCTGACGAAATCACCACAATAACATCCACCAAATCATCTTCCCTCTATTCATCAACAATCCAATCAAAACTTCAAACTCACATTGACTTTAATTTTTTATCTAAATCGATCTCCAAGCTACTGTAACGCATATGAATATCCTCAATAAAATCGATCTTGGCATTCATGATGATTTTTCACACTTGAGAGCTCCTTTTATTTGCACTTCTGTCGGTATCTTCGTCTTTAATGATTTTTCAATAGTTTCTTTTCGAGTGGCAGCACTTTTTTCTTAATTTTTTGTTTCCTTTATTTTGTGTCAAATGTCGGCTTAAGAAAGAGAATAAATTTTTTTAAATAAGAAAAGACACTTTTTAATGCGCTCTGCTCGAGTTGATGCTTCCTTTGTTTGGATATTTTTCGGTTGCCATGTGAATACGATTTTTTTGTGATAGGAATTGAGCAATGGTTTCTAGGATAGGTAGGGGTGGGAGTTTATGTGAGTTGATTGTTTTTGACTGGTTGTCTGTTTTATTTCAAATTCAATTCCGGTACGACTCCTGTAAAATTATTATTTTCGTTCGTCTAAGTTCGAATAATCTTCGACTAAGTTCGTTTTGTCTTCGACTAAGTTCGGATTTTCTTCGACTAAGTTCGTGTTGTCTTCAACTAAGTTCAGATTTTCTTCGACTAAGTTCGTGTTTACCTCGACTAAGTTCGGATTTTCTTCGACTAAGTTCGTGTTGTCTTCGACTAAGTTCAGATTTTCTTCGACTAAGTTCGTGTTTTTCTCGACTAAGTTCGGATTTTCTTCGACTAAGTTCGTGTTATCTTCGACTAAGTTCGTGTTTTCCTCGACTAAGTTCGGATTTTCTTCGACTAAGTTCGTGTTATCCTCGACTAATTTCGGATTTTCTTCGACTAAGTTTGTGTTATCTTCGACTAAGTTCGTGTTATCTTCGACTAAGTTCGGATTTTCTTCGACTAAGTTCGTGTTTTCCTCGGCTAAGTTCGTGTTATCTTCGACTAAGTTCGAATTTTCTTCGACTAAGTTCGGATTTGCTTCGAATAAGTTCAGATTTTCTTCGACTAAGTTCGTGTTTTCTTCGACTAGGTTTGCAAATAAACAAAAATTTTACAAAAAATCGCTTCATCCGATTAACATCACGATTAATCCTCAACTTACAATCTTCATCTAATCGCAACAAACTCGAAGAAGAAGAAATGTCAAAAGAGTGTGTAAGAATTTTTTGGCGTAAAAAAAGGACAAAAGTGTAGAAAATGAAAGAACAGAGCATATAGAGAAAAATTTATGTTTGCCGGGCGCAGGTGATGATAACAACAAAAGAGATTTTCAATTCCTTTTTCGAGTACCTTCTGTTTGAACAATGTCACAATGATATTGAATAGAAATGCTATTAAATTATTTTTTAATAAAGTGTTTCAAATGGTTTTATTGACTAAAATTTTTCATTTCTTTTTTTTTGTGGCAGTCACAAAAATCCATTTTCACATTTAAGAGTATCGTAGGATTTATAGTCATTCTTGTGCTACACATTTCTCTTAATTCCTGCAAATATTGAATAGAATTTCTTGTTAAAATGTCCAAGAATCAATGGCAAAAATGCTTAAGAATGCATTTCTAATGGATTATTGATGTCGTTCGAATTGTACTGATGTCATTGAAATAATTGACAAGAACTTCATACTTGATGACTTTCAATGCCTTCGTTTAGATGATGGGAGTATAATGGAGGTTCCTTGAAATTTGCTTTTGATGAATATTTTGTTGGTAATTCTTTTGGGGGACAATGAGGGACTTGAAGGAGGTTCATATGGCTTAATCACAAAATAATGAACTTATAGATGAGATTTTGAAGAATGGATATCTTCGAAAAGGTCAAGGATTTACTTAAAAACTTTGTTTTCTATTTTTTCAAGAAATGTTGCAAAATTAAATGAATTTGAAATCCCAGAATTTCGAAATTATTTCCCAGATTCTTACATCAGCATCCATATTTTCCACAGCCTTTAAAATATACCACCTAGAAGATGTAAGACGACACGTTTCTTAATTATTGTTTATAGAGTTGATCGAAAAAATATTTTTTTTCCAGAACTTTTAAATATTAAGCAAGTAAATAGACTTTGGAATATAATTTTGAAACAAATTTGTCCTCAATTTACCCTTCATATTGCTGCATACACAATTGTGTAAATATTAATATCATCTGAGGAGAAGTTGATGGTTGGAATGAAAAATTTCAACAAAATATTGAATTTATTGATACAGAATCATGTGATTAGGTGATGTTTAAGGTTTTAGTATCATGAAAGGAATTTGAATTTAAGCCAGTGATATTTAAGGGTATTTGCTTACAGGAGGTCTTTAATTCGGAAACAGAAGTTAAATATCTGAGGATAAGGATCATCAAGAATGTATTTTGATATCTTCATGTTGAATTTGGAGTTATCTCGATCTTTGCCATTTTTACTTCATCAAAGCATTTCTTCTAGCAATTTTCAAAAAATAAAAAAAGGATGACCTTAATTTCGAGGATTTTAATTCATTTAAGAACGAATTAATATACTGTTCACTGAAAAATCAAACCAATGATGTCCCTTATGCTTATCTAATTTCATCTTTCAAAAGAAACCTCTCATGTGCAAGCCAGCTATCATACATACAAACATCGCTGGCTTTACAGATCAATTGTGATCCATAGCCTTCCTTAGTTTGCGTACCAAATGCTATGCTATCTCTGTCAACAGCTTCCTTCCAGGAATTCTTTGGTCGTCCGCGCATTCTCTTTGCGTCTACAAAATGAGACTTAAAGATCTTGTTAATTGGAGCTTCTTCAGGTCTCCTGATAGCCAGCTATCAGATCTTTATTTTCATATGCTTTTCTCCAAGCAAAAAGCCAAAGTGTTTAAAAACCATTCTTAATTCAATCAGGTTCACATCTGGAGTCAGTTTCTAGGGCTACTAGTGTCCTTTCCTACGCTTTCTAGGGTAACCTTACTCTTTTTTACCTCAACCTGCCCCGGGTAGCTCTAGAAACTGGCTCCCCTGAATATTTCAGAATTTGTCTAGTCTAAAACTAACAACATGGCATTAAAGATGCCTTCATATCAAATAAAAATGAATATTAATCATATTTTTTTTTGTTCATCATCATGCATCTTGCGTTTTTATTTGTATCTTAAAAGGATTATAAATGTCTTTGTATTATGTACAAATTTACCCAATTCTTTGAGAAACAGATCATGTATTTGTTAATGCTAACAATACCACCCTATGATACCTTACTAGTCACAAACTATTTAGTAAAATGTCCTTTATTAAAACTCTATAAAAAGGAGTTAAAAAATTTCTGTAAGTCATTCATTAAATATTTCTCAATGTATCTTTATAGAACATTGATTAATTTTTCAAATGACATGATTAATATACCAAAAATTCCAATAAATTGTCAACAATAAGATTCGATTTAACAAAAAAATTCCGTTGCATCATGAAATAATTTTTTTCTATATTTTTAAAATTCTTCAAAAGGTGTTCAAAAAAATTCTTTTCATCCCCTTAAAAAGTGAAATATCAAAAAAATGGAATCTTATTCCACAAAATGATTTATATTTGCCATCCCATTGAAATGTGAAAAGAATTGACACCTTCGAGAGCTCATTTTCGATTGTTCTGATCGCAACAATGAAAACAGAAGACAACAACAAAAAAAAAAGTCACACAAGAATAGAAAAAAATGTGCATCAAATGGCCATTTAATGTGGCATATCCATTTCAGTTATTTATTTTTAACTTCAAATGTCCTCTTTTGTAGCATCGCAAAAAAGTAAAATTCTGAGAAATTTTCATCATCAATTTTCAAGAACTTAAGTTTTGATATTTTTAAATTCAATTGATGGATAAACAGCACCAAAATATTGTTTGCAATAGGAACAATAAAGCATACATAGCCACATACATGTTTATGACTATTGAATAGAAATGAGTGTCGTTAAAGACGAAATTATTTCATTTCTTCCACCTCCTTTGCTACTCGAATAGAAGCGACATAAATTAATGGTTTGTTAAAACAGGTGAAAAATATTGAATGACAAAGATATTTTTTTAAGTCGCAACTTCTTGCTCGAATTAGAGTAAACAAGAATTTCAATATGGATGATGGAATTGGAAATTTTTGTTTGTATTTTGGTGCCGGGAGGTTGAGTGTGATGACAATCCGGAGAATTTTTATTGAATGATGTAATCGAAGTGAAATTAGATGTTTTATATGAATGAGCCCTCACCAAACTAGGTCACATACCCAGGGGCGTAGCTAGGAATTTTAAGAGGGGGGGGGGGGGGACAAACAATTTATATGGAATATTCAGAGGGGGGGATTTTATGATTTTTTCATAAAACTTCTAGCAAAATTCGATTTACCGGCTTGTGCTGTTTGAGAAAGCTTTAGATGGCAATTTAGGAAGCCAAAGTCTTTCTTGAAACATACAAAATGTCAAGCATAGTTCGCTCAATCCTTGATACTGAAGCATGAGATATATGCTGGGGATACGCATGTTACAGGCCCGATTAAAAGTCTCGAAAAAGTCTCACATGTTGAATTGTTGGCCCATGATTAATGCCTAATATTTTCGGGTTTATGGACCATTTCCAATATCAACATTTATTTAGAATATAACATCAGACACATTTCCAGACGCACTATAAATTTGCAAGTATTGAGCTATTTGGATGAAAGCAATGGTTAACCGAAATCAAAATTTACACAGATTCTCCAATAAAAACCAAATCTAGATCCCAGAATCAATATTCCGAACTTAACTCCAGTTCTAATTGTCACCCTCTTTTTAATCGTCCTCCAACAGTAATCATTACAATGACAGTCAATTTTAATCTTTTATAACTCAATCACGATTTCTGTAATACTTTTTTTCAGCGCATACATTTATTTTCAATTGCAAGGAATCGTGACTCGCGTTATCAGTGAACTTTGAGGTGAATAATTTCACATTGCATTACATTATGACTGTGTTGGTGACGATTTCGTAACAAACCGCAAATTTTTTTCTAGACTTTTAGAGTTAAAAGTAAGAATCGAAAAAAACAGTTGTGGTCTGATGGTCAAATTTGGTGTCAATTGGCTGTATGGTCTGACAATCTTGAATGTAGGTGCCTTACTATCATTAGCACCGTTATTATCAGTAGAGGAAAGCTGTGGTAGTGGCGTTGTCAGAAATTGGTTCAAATTAAGTGCTGCAAATCGGTTCTTTTACAGGTTATTCAGCAATTTGAGTCTAATTAAGGTCAAACTATATCATTTTCGATCTGATTAAACTTTTTGGGACGTTGTGAGTATAAACTATCCTCAAGAAACGTTCATATCTTGATATTGACTTTAGCCACTAAGGAATACGCTCATCTTTTAAATTACATATAAAATAATCACATTACATAAGCACGATTAGGTACTTTTTCTTGCCTAACATGATGAGATCATCATAATAAAATTTAAAATATTTATGTTCCTAAGCCAATGATATCAAGATCAATCAATTCCCACATCTGCTTCAGACCTCTCCTTTCAGGATTATAAATTCTTCAGAACACACGCATTCTTTCTCAAAGATTTATCGATAAATTCCGATCAAAATATGTTCATACAATTCTTATTCCTTGGGTCGAAAGATACAAAATAGCTACGGAAAATTATTGCAAGTCATCATATTTCAATTGGATGTCTTCGATCACTAATCGTTCTCGTGTGAATATCAGAAAATGTATCATATTGAATTGGATGATGATGATGAACAATTGACTCATTTTAATTCGAATGAAATGAGAATGATCAGATGATGGAGGATGTGAATCTCATTTTAAAAGGATTATTAAATTCATTGGGAATCGAACTTGCGATATGGAAATTAAGGATTTATGTTGGATCAATGCTACTAAGCTACCAAGGATGTTATTCAATTTTGGCTATTGATCATTAATATGCAATCTGGTTCACAGCATTAATTATGCTCAAACCTATATCTTGCAACTTAAAGATATCAAATTTTATCTTCTGTGATGTAAAGGTTCACGGTTGGATTTTTTTTTTACAAAACTTGTCATTATTCCAAAAAGAAAAAAGGGGGGGGGGGGGGGAGGGGAGAGAGTCTGGAGAAAATTATTATCAGCTAACATTTTTTGACAGGTGGGGAGGAGTCTAATCTCTATTCTGGTCTCTGTTCTAGTATTCTTAAACTAAAATGACTGTATAATGACATAGGAATTATTTCCGCTGTAATTCAGCCTGTGTAAATCCTCCAAACATTCCAACACCTTAGAAATAATTAGGAAATAGAAAAAAAAACGAGACTTGTCAATGTATTATATCCGAACTACTCATTATACATTCATATCAGTCTAAGAAAAAAAGAATATTATAAAAGCCTTATTACCCCACTAATATTCTATTATATGGAGCAAACAAAGGAACTGACAAACACAAAAGTAACAGTTTCCACATCATTTTCATTCTTTTTATTATGCTACCTTACATTTAAGCCACATCAGTAATAATGGCAGTGACAATATCTACTTAAAATGTGTAAACAAAAAAACAGATATCGAAAAACTTTTTTTTTCTATTCGTGCAATTGGATGGAATCGACTTTACTTTGCATACGATGATGATGATGTGGAACATAAAGTCTGTCGTCAAACGATCAGTTTCAGTCTAGTGCTCAAAGTGTTATCAAGTGGATCTTGAAGTGGAAATAATAAAATAAAGTGGAAAATTTATGTTGGAACTTCTAAGGAATCATCAAGTCTGAGAAATCATACAGCAGAGATCGAATAACTTAAGCCTAACGAATAAACTGTGTCTTTGTCCTTAAAAGAAAGTTACAAAAAATTTTGTTCGTTTTGGCTCGAGTCATTATTTTCTGCTCAATCATCGATTTCTAGTTGCTGACTGACTGGATTTGAATGTCCATCGATTAAATTGGGTGAGAGACAATTTTTCACATGATTTGTTGCGTGAAATTTTCATTCATCATCACTTTTAGGATAGATGAATTTTAATTAAATTAATCAATGACTTCACATTTTAATTACACATGATTTCACTTGTTAATGGGATGGTAATTTGAATTTTTGGTGAATGAGCTACTTTTAGGGATGAATGAGTATGGTGTCTAGTCTTTATTGGGCTACTGGTTGATAACTTTAATTTTACTGATTCCATGATTAATTTGGTCGATAAGCTAATTTATTATCAACTATGTCTTATCTTAGATGAAGCTTAAAGGTGGTTCTATTGTTAGCTATAGCTTGTCAACTTTTAATGCTTCTGCTAGAATTTTCAGAACGAAGTGAAAATATCAAGCTCTAGCCGTTTTAAATAATCTTTTGAATTTGAGCATTTTTTTCTTAAAAAAATAAGAGGTGATTTTTTATATCATAACCCTTTGCTGGCTGATTTCTGACAGCCTTTGAGAAAAAACTTTACTTTTACAACCTTTTTACAGCACTTAGTACTCCTAAGTAAAAGAATATCAATATCTGAAGCTTACAAACAGCTAATGCTGGCTGTGGTGATTAAAAGTAACTGAGAAAGTGTTTATAACATTTTGTGACTGTATATTTGCCACGTGGAACTTGAGTGGAACCTGAAAACCATTTTTCAGCATTGAAAGTATCGAGACATATGGATGCGAATCAACCAGTGCGACATTTAGGCTTCTGTAGTGCGAGTGGTTAGGCAACATATTGGATATCTGTAAACCTCTTTTGTTGAAACTTGGGTTTGATTCCCACGATAGTTTGGACCTTTCAATCATTATAAAGAGTGCTGTAGATATGGCAAGGATTCCCAAAATGCTCAATGCATTACATAATGTAATAGAAAACGAGTATGCAGCCAGGCTCAATTGGAGAAAACCAAGCAAATAGCATTTACCTCAGATAACATTTTGCATACTGATGTCACATACCAAAGGAGTTATTAAAGTAGCATGAGAAGGTGATTTAGAATAGATTTTAAAATATTATGTTATCATTCAAAAGTAAATTTACAAAAAAAATTGAAAAAAAATTAAGAGCCATAAGTCCCTTGCATGAGAAAAATAAACTCTGAATACGTCTCATAAAATAACAATTTCCACGTGGCAACACAAAGCCAACAAATTATCAATTTTATTCCATATTGCAAATTCAACTCCGATCACAATTAACACAACCTATCGAAAATTTACTCGAATGTCCTCAAAAAAAATTATTGTCAAGTCACCAGACACCCCAAATACACATCAATTCCCAACAATATTAATTACCTCACAATGCGATCAAGCCACTCCAGCATGATCATTTCAGTCAACAGAATTAAGAAATTTTAACAAATTTTTATATTTCCGAATGTTTTACATTTGTCAATAAAACACATTAGGGCACATCCAATGGATAGAAATTATTTCATGCATGAATGATCAAAAGTGTCATCAATATCACACAATTCACTCGACAAATGTTTCCCTTTACTGTCTCACTTACGATGTTGTCGATTTCATTGAATTTTCTGTAATTCACTTTAATTAAACAGCTATTCAATGACTTTTAACGACTCATTTTCATTTTTCTCTCTTAACTGCTGTTGAATTAAAACTTTATTTTTATCTGGTGAGGGTTGCGACATTGAAAAATTGAAATGCATTATAAAATTTTAATTTTGTTCTTTTTGTTGGAATTGAAAAGTTTTATTTTCTCGCTTGCGTCATTTTTAAGTTTTTAAAGTTTCTCGCTTGATGATTTGATATTTAATTTTCGAAATGGAACGAAGAATTAATCTTGAATAAAGTAATGATTGGATGAAGCAATTTCTCTTTTGGATCAGTTTTTGCCCGAATTGCACAAGTTGGTTAATCGATTAGAAATCCTATACCATGCCGGTGTGACTCTGGCGTGTTGCTGAATTTAAATCGAAGCTAGCACCATGCTAGAGTCATGCCAGCTTAGTGCCTGATTTCTGTTCGATTAACCGAATTGTGTTATTTGGGATAAGTAGATTTTTATGTAAACTAGTTCAAGGGATGAATTTTTGGAGGATTGTAAAACAGAAGCAAAAAATCTACTAATCCATTTTATCCAGGGGGTGGATACCCCCGCTGCTTACAAGAATTTAAAACTAACACACGTTATGCTAAATCAGTTGATGATTTTGAAGCAATAACTAATTAGCTATGACAAAAGCAATTCTTTGGGGCCACTATTAAGAAAATTTCTGGCTACGCTTCTAATTGTATCACAATCACACAATAGCCTTGGTTTTCGAGTCATATCAGAAGCACATCCAATGCAGGTTTTGTGGTCATAACTTGGTTTTTCAAAGCAATTATGTAAAAGATCTGAAACTTACCTATGAATCATTGCATTGTGCTTTTTTGTCACGAACACTTCTCCCCACTTGACTGATATTATTTTAATTTTTGCTACTTGATCTTGTGTTCTGCAAAATTATTTAATTTGGTCAAATTTTTTATTTTTATTTATTGATTCTTTTAAATTTTATAAAACTGTTCACAAAGCTTTTTAACGGCATGCACAGGGACGAGACGAGAGCTCGAGCATTTGATTCTTTAATTCTTCAATCGAAGCACTGAAATATTGAGATTGATTCTCTATATTCTCACGCATTTCATTTTGTCCTTTAACAAGATCCTCAATCATCTCTCCCATCACTTCAGTTAACTTAAAAAGTCTTTCATTTTCATCTTGAAGATCGTATATCTTTATACTTTGTTCTTCTAGATTATTTTCAAGTTTTTGATTCTGAGTTTTCAAAAAGTTGATATCATCTTTAAATTCTTGGGTTGTACCTTCAATTACGCAGATTCTTTGATCTATATTACCGCCAATGCAACCAGGAACTAAAGTTGATGGAGATGATGTGGTTATTGTAGTTGATGTTATAGGTTCTATGTTTTAAATGTTGAATAAATTTATTTATTTTATTAAGTTCAATAATTGTTAAATAATTAGATTTGAGTCCAGCACCATACCAGAGTCAGGCTAGGTGATTCAGAAATTTATCTTTTACTAACCTGGAAATAAAATCCGATAGTTAAAAAAACACGTCTCTAATATAGCTCTCATGGATTCTCTTGAAATTGTAACATCCGTAATATTTCGATCAGCACATATATTATTCCTAATATCCATATTAAGAACACCAGTGTTATCAATAAACATCTCATCTAATGCATCGACTTCATTACCATGAAAATTGATAGTAATTAAATTTGGCAGCGTCCCAAATGAATAAGCATGAATAACTTTCAGCTTATTTCTGTGCAACGAAAGACTTGTCAAATTTTTCAAAGAACTGAATGCATCGCGAGGAAGTTGCTCTATATGATTGTCATTTAAATATAAAACATTCAAATTTACTAAATTTTTAAACCATTGACTATTAAAATTTGAAATTTCGTTGAAACTTAAAGCTAGTTCCTTCAAATTAATCAGATAATTAAGAGTCGATCCCAAATCTGAAATGTTATTTCTGTGCATTTGTAAAGTTATTAGCTTTTGTTGATTTGAAAATACGTCTTTTGGTATAATTGACAGTTTATTGTTCACAAGATGTAAATGTTGAAGTTCCAGATTATCCATAAAAGTTTTTTCATGAAGCTCAATAACTTGATTGTTCCAAAAATGTAAAATTTCAAGTTTCTTGCAGTTTACAAAGGAGTTTCGATCTAAATTTTCAATTCCAACTGTATCAATGTCTATCCTCGTGGTGTTTATGAATTTTTCACAAATTATTGCTGGCCAATTTTTTGATTTTGATGGATAGTAGCAGGATATGTATTCAACATTCTCATTAGTCTTTCCTTCCAAATGTGTTCCATTGATTACTGTGAAGTTGTTCAATTCATTTGGGTTTTGTATTTTGAGGTTACAAGAGTATCCAAATGCATCAATGTTAAAGTCACATGTTAACTCCTGACCATTGATTAAGATCAAATAAATTAAAATTGACAAGACTGAGAGAAGAATTTTCTGACACATAATTTACTTTAGAAACTGAAATTATGACTATCTTTATTTTTGTTTTGTACGATTTTCTTTATCAGACTGATAATTTTTTATCAATAAAGATTAAAATTCAACGATTTGCTTTCTTTTTACTACGTTTTACTAGATAAAAATGATTAAAAAATTGACAATAGGTTAATAACTTATAAAGCACATGGACGAGAACTCAACTCTAGAATTTTATTGTCCAGTTTCTCGATAGATGCTTTGTAGGTTTTAGATTGATTCTTAAGTTTATCGATCAACTTATTTTGAGAGTCTTTCATTTTCAACTTGTAAACTGCAGCCTTTTTCATCTGAATAGCTATCAAAACATCCTTTTGGTAGATTTGACTCTCCATTTATGGTTTGAAATGATGTTGCAATTGGATTTGTTGTGGTCTCTATTTTAAATATGAATAAAAAAAACTATTTAATATCTTCTACAAAGCAAAGGTTTTATTAAAACTTCACTTGATCCTCTTGGTGACAACATTTAAGCTAGTAATGCTAAAGTGTAGCCAAGAGAGATTAATATGAAATACTTACCAGGAAATAAAGCTTTGTAATTGTCAAAACACCTTTGTAGTGCATTTCTCATTGATTGTCGCGTAGCTGAATCATCAATAATTCTACCACTTGCACAAACATTATCATTCATGTCAATTATCTCAACACCAGTAAGATCAATCATCCTTTCATCAATTGCATTAATTTGATTGATATAAATATAAATTTCTTTTAAATTGGGCAACATTCCAAATGATTCAGAATGAATTACTTTTAAATTATTTGAGGTAAGATAAAGTTTGGATAATTGTTTTAAGGAACGGAAAACTTTTTTTGGAATATCTTCAATTTGATTGTTGTGAAGATACAAAACTTCTAAATTTACTAAATTTGTAAACCATTCGATGGAAATACTTGAAATTTTATTATTACTTATAGCCAAATCTTCCAAATTTACCAGTGGATCGAAGATATTTTTTGGCAAATAAGAAATTTTGTTATCATAAAGCCATAAGCGAGTTAATTCCTTACAGCCATCAAAAGTATTCTCATCAACTCTTTCAACTCCAATGCTACCAAAAGCAAAGGTTTTTGTGTTTTGAAATTTATTACAAATTATTGATGGAACGTTAATGGATTTTGAGGAAATTGTTCTGATTATATTTTGTACATCATAATCTGATCTTCCAGCTAAATGCTCACCACTGATGTCTGTAAAGTTGTTGAGTCCATCCGGATTTTGGATTGTCATGTAGCAAGAATATTCAAATTCTTCATTATTTGCATAAGTGCAACTTAATTTTTGTCCAAAACTTAAAATTAAATTTAACAAAACTATGAAAATTGAAATTATATTGTCCATCATAAATGCTTTCAAGACTATATTTTTATAATGACTAAGTAAAAGGTAAAAATTTTCAATGACTTTATATTATTTCCTTATCAATTTAATCTTTTGTAAACTGATTGTCATTATTACACGCTTTAATTTTGCAAGTGTTTTGTTAAAAGTTTTAATCAAAAGTGACTCATAATTCCACTTTAAAAAGATATCCTTTATTAAATCGTTTAACAAAACTGTACAAATTTAATTTTCAAGTACAATCACATGGACGATTACTCAATTCAAGAATTTTACGTTTTAGCTCCTCAATTTGTCAAGGTAAATCTCGAGACATGCCAAACTAATCATATATAAGTAGGGTGATCATCTGCGTAGTTTTACAACGGACAGCCCTGTATTTCAAAACCCTGTCCTGTATAAATTTGAAAATTATGAAGAGACCTGTGGAATCTCCATTAAGTAAGGTCTTTAAGTCAGACTTTGTGGATGAAAAAAAGCACTTGGAAGGCCGAAGAACTCATGGAAATAGGTTGTTGATAGAGATTTGGTATAGGAAATTGGCAAGCTATAGCCAGCGATAAGCCAGTTTTAGACGGCATCTGAGGGAGGTCATGGATCACAATTGATTTGTACAGTCATCGAAGTAAGTAAGTAAGTTCCTCAATTTAATTTTATACTGCTTATTATCAATATTAATTTATTTTCGTTCTTTTTGAGTATTTTTATAGCAGGAAGGATTACTGAAATACGATAAAAATAAACAAAAATCAGAATGAGTTATTTTTCACGTGCTTTAATGCGAATGGCTTATCATTAACGACACAAGACCCCTCGCGAGTGATTAAAACAAAAAATGAGTCACAATATTAAAGTTATTTAAGAATCATAAATGTGGATGGAATAAAGCTAATTGTGGATAGATTTGCAATTATTGATGCGTAATATTTTGAAAATTGGAGGACTCAGCTAGAAATTATTCGAGATGTGTTTTGAAATTAAGCTATCCTTCCTCCCCTTTTCTTGTAGATTCGCCCATGTGTAGCAGAAAGAGATGAGATGAGATGTTTTCAAAAAAAAAAAAAAATAGAAAAAATGACATTACAATAGAAAAGCTACATAAGTAGGACCTAACCTTAAAAATCTTAAATCCACAATAACCTCTATACTAGATATAGATTCCATTAATTTGCCATCTACTAAAGAATCATATCACAAAAGGTACATTTGCCAAGAAAAAGTCATAAAACTTCTGTGACACCAATACTAAAATAAGTTCAAAATCTGAATTAAACTATGGAAAAATGAGGAAACAGTAAGAAGAAGAGCCACAAACTATCATACTGAGATTCAACTACTTTTCTCATTTTTTGGCTTCGAATTTCAAACAAACAAGAAGAAAACTTTTTTTTATTCCTCAATTACTAAAGTTAAAGATTCTTTTCCAACTTTCTAGACATTTGCTTCTCTTTTGAGTCTGTTACAGTTTAGGGAACATTACGAGACATTAATTTTTATGAATAGAAAAATCTCCAAACAATTTTACATATTTATTCTGGAGACATAATGCGTATTGTGTCATTACATGAATGCCTTCATCATCATCATCAACAAAATCGATGTTGATAGAAAAATAAGAAGTCCACTGGCAGATGAACATTAACATTTATTGCTTCCTTGTCCACAGCTGGTCAATATGAATTTTTTATTTTCATTCGTGATTGGAATTTTTTCTTGTTTTGATTTTCATAATAAAATTTGGACAATTTTTTGTTGTTGTCATATTTGTGTGTGTGTGTGTCTTTGCGGGTGCAGTTGAGGAAATATTGAAATGAACAAGATGGCAAGTAGCAAAGGCTCTAAAGAGCTGTTTAAAAACATTTTGTAATTTTATTAAACATTAATTATGAGTTTTTTAAAATTTTAATATTCTTTACTCCACCTGACAGTCAGTCAGATCAAAATCAGTTTGCTTTTATATTAAAATAGTTCCCACACCCCACAAAAGTGCAAACCCAAAATTTATCGAAAAGAAATTTAATCAAAAACGTAACTTTTTTATCTCTCATTTTTCCGCATGTCGCATTATCGTAAACGAAGAAAAAACTCCAAATCGAATATTAAATAAAAGGCAAAAAAAAAAGAAGAAAGTTTTCGTGCTCCTCAATCTTCATGAGTTTGGCACAAGAGGAAGAGATGAAAAAAATGAACGAGTTCAAATGGCATTAAATGGAGTCACCAGATGTTTGGAAATGAAAATCTATTAAAAATGAAAAGGGGGAAGATGAAATTTATTTATTTTTTAGATGGGGGCACATTTCGAGTATTAACGACTGGTCATTTTTTGTTATCCTCAATTTTCGTCAGTTGGAAGAAAAGGAAGAGATTGTTTTTTTATGTTTTGAAAAAGGATTTGCTACATTTTGGTAGGTTTAAAATCAATTTGTCTGGTGTGTATCATTACTTAAAGCTGAGCATCATTACCTTTAGCTCAGCCACATTACTTAAAGCTAAGCATCATTTCTTAAAGCTGAGCATTATTTTTTTAAGCTGAGCATTATTTCTTAAATCTGAGCATTATTTCTTAAAGCTGAGCATTATTTCTTAAAGCTGAGCATTATTTCTTAAATCTGAGCACCATTACTTAAAGCTGAGCCGCATTACTAAAAGCTGAGCACCATTACTTAAAGCTGAGCATTATTTCTTAAAGTTGATCATAATTTTTTTAAAGCTGAGCATCATTACTAAAAGCTGAGCATCATTACTTAAAGCTGAGCATTATTTCTTAAAGTTGATCATAATTTCTTAAAGCTGAGCATCATTACTTAAAGTTGAGCATCATTTCTTAAAGGTGAGCATCAGTAAACCTAAAGCAGGGCGTCATCAATTAAAATAAATCTTAATTTAACTGAATTAAGATCCACTTTCTCAAATATGTGCTTTCTATCCTCTTAAGACTTATGATGTCACAACATCTAACTTTATTCTCCATCTCTTCTCATTTTAGTGGACAGTGGAACTTCTCAATTGGTATGAGGATTAGAAATATCCCCAAATTATGAAGAATAAATTTCAAATTCATCCCCAAACAACAAAAAGGATCCGCAAGAACTAAAAGAACCGAAGAAAAAAAAATTCTATGCGAATCTCCAACAGTAATTTGTCATTGCCACAAATGGAGCAAGCAAAAGAAATGAAAACAATTTCATCCGAATATCCTTAATGAATTTTCAACATGCTGTTCATGATGAATCGTTTTGTTATCAATATATGAGAAATGTAGCATTAGGCTTGATGATAAGACGGCACATATTGAATGAGAAAGTAAAAGATTTAATGCGAGGCACATTTTAGGCACTTTATGAATCTATCTTCATAATAATCACGTTCGGCAGCAGATGTAGATGATACTAGCGAGCGAGATACTTGACTTGGATCATTTCTTATGTTTTAGAATGATAAATTTCGTAAAGAAATGTGTATGTGATTTTTGGGGATGGCGAGTGATGAAGTGGTACTTCGGGGATGCATTTGGAGGATAGATTTGGGCATTTTAAAGAGATTTAGGTCAATTAATGTAAAGATTCTTAATTGTAAAGACATAGCATCCACATTTACAGCATAAGACCCTCAAAAAATTCATCAAAAACCTCCCATTAGGGCTGCACACCCCCAATTGATCCAAAAAGTCAGAGAATAATTCATACTTCCCTTAATCCAATTGCAATTGACATGGAATTTATAGTTTTTAAATTGATTTTTCAACTTTTTCGATTCAATTTCAATATTTTTTTTCACTCTTTTTTGCGACAAAAACGTGACAAAGAAAAGTTTTTTTTTTTAAATTTATTTCTTGACGAAATGTAAGAGCTGCTTTTTATAACTTTACAAAAATTGAACACGTATCAGATTGAGAATGTTCTTTTTGTGATGTTTGTTATCATGTTGGAAGGATTTATGTATTCAATTTTTGCATCTGTTTAGTGATGTGATGGATTTTTTGGGGGAAAGGTTTGAAACACAGAGAGAAAAATACAATTTTTTTTTAAATTTTGTTTGAAATTTAAATCGTCTTTTTTTAAAAAAAAATAATTCAATTTTATTCAAACTTTCCATTTATATTTTAAAAAAATTCAAAAATTACAAGAAATTGAAAATTCAAAAAGAAATTAAGAAAATAAAAGAATTAAAATTTTCTAGAAATTGAAAAATTTAAAATAAATAAAATTATAAAAATTTGAATTTAGAAATTATTTATTTTTAAATTTTTAAGCTCATTTTATTCCATTTCAAAAGGCATGATATCAAATTAAAAATCCTAAGATACCATTAAAGCCTTACAGACATTGCGTCTTCAAAACAATTAGTGCCTGCATCAATAAAACAATTCCACATAGACACCAACTAATTTATTTGACGCCTTAAAATTGTACAAAACTAGCACTTATCTCAGAATTATTTTACAGTCTCAGAACAAGAAAAATAAAAGGGAATTGAAATAGATACAAAGTTTAATTAAATTAACATCTCACGCCAGATAATAGATTTAATGGACTTTACTTTTTTTATGTTTATTCTGTCCTTCTTTTGAAATTGAGATAAGGAAACAAAAATTCACTTTTTCTCAAAAGTCATTTGACTTAATAGATATTAAGAAAATGTTTTAAAATCATATAAAAATACAAAAAATAAAAGATTTTAAAATTTTTTTATTTAAAAAATCATTTTTTTATTATTTCAAAAATGTTGATAAAAATAAAATGCATTTGATGTTTTTTTTTTCATTTCAAAAGTATGCAACCACTTTGACAAACGCATCAGTAGACATCTTCGACCAGAGCCTTTGAAATGGGTTCTATAAGATGAACAGGATTTTAAAAAATTAAAATATTAAAAAATATTGAAGGTTTGAAAACTAAAATTTGTCTTACCAGGATATAAGTCAATATAATTGTTGAAACATTTCCTAAATCTGGATCTCAATGTTTCCCTGGATTCAGAAAAGTCAAACCTAACTTCAGTATTTGCACATGCGTTGTTATAAAAAACTAAAGTTCCTATCCCAATATTGTCGATGATTTTTTCATCCATTGCATCTATTTGATTAGATGAGAAATCCACCCAAGTTAAGTTTGGTAATAGTCCTAAAGAATCCGAGTGTATGACTGTAAGCCGATTACCAAAGCATCTTAAGTGTTTTAAATTTTTAAGAGGACTGAAAATATTTTTTGGCAACTCTTCAATTGGGTTCCTCGTCAAATGCAAACCACTTAAATTTATAAGATTTTTAAACCACTGGTGTTTGAGCACTTTAATTTGATTTGCTTCCATTCGTAGCCCTCCTAAATTCACCAATGGATTAAAAATATTTTCTGGTAGGTCAAAAATCTCGTTATCTGCAAGCGTCAACGAGTTTAAATTGTGTTGGTTTATAAAAACATTTTCTGGTAAAGTTGTCAACTTATTATCAGCCAAATCTAATTCCTGAAGATTAACGTTATTAATGAATGCATTTACATCGATTGTTGATATTTTGTTATATCTCAAAATTAAATTCTGAAGATTTTTACACAACTTGAAAGAATTTTCATCAATATATTCAATGCCATGAGCTAAATCAATGAATGTGACTTGTTGGAATGTCTCACAAATGATTGCTGGTACATTCGTGGTTTGTGAAGTATAAAATGTATCAACTTCTCGAACATCATCATCATTAAAGCCATCTAAATGAGTTCCAGTAATTTCTGTAAAGTTGTTCAAACCATTAAGGTTGTAGATAAACATGTCACAAGTATAGCCGCGACTAATATCTTTATAATCACACTTGATTTCTTGACCACTTGTTATATAATAATTCACCAAAAATATTAACAATGAAAATAAACTTTTCAAATTCATTTTGCACTAATTGTTGAATATTCACTTTTATTGATTTTTATTAACTGACTGCTTGAGGCAATAATATTTGATTTTATACAATTTCTTTATCAATTATCGATATTGTGTTTATTTTTAAATTTATTGTTTTTAATTATTATCAAGTGTTTACTACTTTTCCTTATTTATAAAAATTATTTACTGCAAAATCTCCAAATTAATCATAAGATAAGATTTTGATAAATATAATTATAAGGATTCAATTGAAAAAGAGTTCACAAATGACGTCCATTAAAAATATAAATTTACACCTGCTCAGCAATTGTCGAACAAAAACAGTGAAAATTCATCGTTCTGATCAAGACGTAAAGATTAAAGTCATAAAACTCTACTCTCTGCACTGAAATGCTATTTATTACTGTAAGTACGGAGCATAACTTTAAGTGCATGTGATGTAAATGGTACTTTAAGTCGTAAGATTGGAATGGATAGTGGAGGGTAGATCTGAGATTTAAGGGGCTAGTTTTTGTAGGGAGAGTTGAGATTTTGGCATTAGAAAATCATTTTCATATTTTTTATAAATTATTAATTATTAAAATTGACAAGAAATCTTCAACTCTACTCAAAATTATTTTGCAGGTTCTTTTAAACATTTTCATCTTCGATCTTGCATCTCATCCCTAATTTCTCCGTCAAATAGCAATCATAAGAAATTTATGTTGAATAGCACAAAAACATGTGTTACCATTAAATATGACGACGAGATGAATGAGGGTGGATTTTCATTCTAAACATATCGTTGATTATTATGCTGTTACATTTACCCAATTTTTTTTTTCATGCAGTCGTCTTTATTTAGGATCTGTACGCAGGGTTTTCAGCCAAAAACATTATTTTATGAACGTCGCATGCATGAAATAACCATTTCTTATGATATAGTAATCTCGTTCATTCTTCTTAGTCTTATTTTTAGATATAAATGAGATTGTCTTAAGACAATAGATAGCTTAATAGACAAATTTATCATCTCATGTTTTATAAATGAGTTGGAATTACAATTTGCAGTAAATAACTTTGATTTTTTATGAACATGATATTGTTTTTTATTTCCTCAGAAATTTGTGGTTATTGTATTAAGTTGTGGCTGTTTGTTTTGAATTATAATTTTTCATTTTTTTAAGTTTTTTTGCAGATACACAATACCATAATTCAAAGGAGGAACTGGCGGAGGTAAAAAGTGGTCCGTACTCTTCAAATTCTTGGGTATGCTTTCCCGATACTGAAGTCGAGACCCTGGAATTCCTGGGAAGTCTTGGTATCAATCTCGAGAATAAGTCGAGACCGAGAAATCGAGAAAGCATATTCTTGGGAAAAAATTCAAAGAAATGGGAACAAAAAAAGATTGCATTAATTAAATTAAATTGTTAAAATTTCGAGAAAACTATAAGATTTTTAAATTGGTTTTGAAATTTAAAATATTTTTGAGATTTTTCTAGTAGTTTTATGATTTTTTAAAATTTTAGAAATAAATTTTTTATTTTTTAACAAAACCGTTTTAAGAAAATTGAAAAAATGAATATTTTTTTAAAAAAGTGATAGTAAATTTACACAACTTAATCAATATCTTGCCAAAAAAATACTTAACAACCGCCTCATCAAATCCCATTCAACTCCAAATCCTATGCGCAAAAAATAGCGAGAAAAATTCCCTTTCAAAATCCTAATTTCCAATGAAATATTCCATCTCATTTATCCATCAAATTGCCCATAACGCTTATTAATGCCTAAGATTTTATTTACTTATTTTCAGAAAATAACTTCATTTTTTACGATCATCATAATCATCATTCATCCCTCACTTTCCATGTCTATTTCTGCTAGTTTGATGAACTGTTGGTTTTATTTTTTGGCAGACATCAATCTATCCTTCAAAAAACTATCAAAAAATTTATTTTTCTAAGCTAAAACTTGAGAACAATAGAATAAAATAGATTTTTAGTTTTTGTTTTGTCGCTTTTGTGCGATGCCAAAAAATTTTGCTTTTTTTTTCTATTCATGAAGTATACAACGTAATAAAGCATCATAAAAGGAATTGTTGTTGAAAAGTATTGTTTTGTTTGTGATAAAAATCATAAATCTCTTCACTCTTTCACATTGATTTGGAATAGAAAAGAGGAGAAGAGTGAGATGGATTTAGAAAATTTGAAAAAAATTATTTGAGGTTAAGGATGAGGATAAGGCGCATTTTTTAATTTAAGATTTTTGCATTTTTTTTTACAAATTTTATTAATTACTTTAGTAATTTTTTTAAAGTTATAATTTATCAGTGTATTGTCAGCACGACTCACCTAGTGATACATTTATTGATTTTAGCAAATTTATTAAATAAAGCAATTAACCTATTCAAGTATTCACTTATCTAATCAACTTTCAGATTAAAAGACTTTTAAGTTGGAACATTTAAAGCCAAACTGTGGCAAAAATATGGTCAACTGACAAGGCAATTGTATGAAAATGGTCGATTCCCTCCCGTCTAGTGGCTCTTTTTAATTTTGAATTTTTTATCTCTAATTTTCGGAACGCTCTTGTTTGTGATGACGTAGTTTTAATCTCTTAAACATAAAACTGTCTGAATTTGCAGACAGTTGGACATAGCATAACCTTAAAATCCCAAGATCTGACTCAAAATCCTTTAAAAACATTTCAAAGGCACAGTTCAAAATTATTTTTTTACAAGTACAAAATCAAGCACTTGAGATAATCATCGTCATAAACATCAAAAAAGGATATCTTTATCGTTGCCCGGTGAAGCATTACGAAAAAAGGGCTAATAATAAATCCTTAAGGTAACAATCGTACCGAACTATCAAAACAAACAGCAAGAAGTTTTCAAGAATAAAAATTGATATGAGAATGAGAGAGCCACTTACTTGCACAATTTCTAATTTTTTCTTCAACTTCTTTTATTTTGTTTTCATTTTCAAATTGAATGCTGTTGACTATTGAGGAGATTTAAAAGGTTCCCTGAAGCTAATTTTCTTTTTAACAACAAAAACAAAATTTTAACAATGAAATGGATTTGATGGCGTTGTGGATGGAATGTTTTTGGGGGTCTCTATTGTTTATTGAGTTGATTAGGGTTGAAGGATGGTGAGAATTTGAAAGATATTTTAGTTTAAAATATGAAATTTATTAAAATTTTCATGTCTTTTAATTTTTTATAAGTTTTAAATATAAACAAATTTTGATTTTTATTAACTTTGAATTTTAATAAATTTTAAATTTTGTAAAATTTTGAATTTTATTAAATTTTAAACTTTATTAAATTTTCAATTTTATCTAATTTTGATTTTTATAAATTTTGAATCTTTATCAAATTTTAAATTTTATAATTTTTTTAATTTTCAAAACCAAATCCTTTTCAACTAAGAACCCCCTAAACTCCATATGCACCAAAAATCAAGAAAGCAAGAACAAACAAATCTACCTAATGCCATTTAATCGTGCCACATTTCAATGCCTCCATACAATTTTAAATTCTAAATTCCTATTTTATTCCAACATTCTAAACTAAATACAATACAAACTCTCTTTTCTTCTCACTTTGAATGACGCTATTGGAGACTCATAAATTACAAAATTTCTATTCTTATTTAATGCTCTTGTGAGTATATCTAAATATGTCTACATAAGATAAATAACAAACAAGCTGAGGCTGTTTAGATTCATAGAAATTATGTTAAAAAGGATATCAATTCGAATTCTTGCATCTTTTTATGCTTGTAATGAAGTTCATGTTGGTGATGATGCGGGCGCCTAATCAGAATGAGAATGTCAAGAAAGAGAAAAAAATTAGAATAAAAAGATAAAATTACTCATGAAATTAAAGGTTTGCGTTACACTCGGAAGATATTTTTGTTGTATTGTTACGAAATTGTCTACAAAAAGAGCTGAATCAATTTTTTTATAAACCCCAGAAAATGGTATTCGATTTTCAATCCAATAAAGCCTAGTCAGCCTAAGGTGGGATCCAAAACCAAAAGAACTTCATATTGGTTGAAATTCTGCAATATTTCAGATGATCGCTCGTATTTTAACATAATTTATCAAATTTTGTTTGCAAACCTATTTAAAAAAATCGAAATATTAGTCAAATAATTCTTCCGAGTGCACCCCTAGCCTCTTAAAAATTTCACATCTTTAATCAGCAAAAACAGAAGTTTAAATTCTAGATTTAATTCCATTCATCCCAGCATAGCTCACAGAAAAACTTTAAAAATTTCAACAAGAAAAAGATTTAATTCGTGCATATTGAAAACAGATAATGACATTGATAAAAAGTTTTATGCTCGACTGAATATCCACAAAAGAAGAAGATCCCAAAAAAATGTGTCCAGACAACTGGAAAGAAATATTAGGTACGAAAATTTACGACCATTAATTAGACGAAGAAATAAATTTTCGTTAAAGAGATGAAAAAAAGTAAAAAATCTTTTAAATGCTCCTGGATAAACATAACTAACTCAAGACTAATCTTCATGTTTATCTTCTCGTATTTAAGATTTTTGTAAATGGAAAATTAAAAGGTCGACACATGCATGCGTCAAACAGCTACTTAAAAGTTTTTATCGGTAGCTGTTGTTGGATTTTAGAAATTTTAATGTTTTTTGTGGCATTTTGACCTTAATCCCACGTAACCAAAATCGCCGTCAATGAAAAAATCGACTTAAATGTACAATTTTTTGGATGATCCAATAGACGTCGATTTTTCATCCATTATATTCGTTTTTCTTGAGCCGCTATATACTTCACAAGTGCAATCAGAAATCACTTATATAAGGCATAGCCAAATTTTCATACAAAGTGTGATTAATTAATTAAATTAATTTCAAGCGAATCATTCATTTAAATGAAGACTTCGACTCTTTTTTTCAAAGACAAAATCCTTAATTGATTTTTTTGGATTTTGTCTACAAATTATAGTATAATTAACAAAAAATATTTTCATGTAAAAAAAATTCAAAATTTTTCCGTTAATCGGTTTTTATATTGTAACGGTCAAAAAAAATTTGATTTTGGTTCAAAAAAATAATCGACGTGAAATCGACGTAAAATCGACTAAAAATCGTCCCTTTTCATATTAGCATAATGTCCAATGTACGATACATGGAATGTACATATGGAACATACATGGAAGATTTTGATGTAATACATAAAATCTTCCATTCGTCGACTTATGGTTACGTGGGATGCTTTATTTAAAAATAAAGATTTTTGATTTTTAAATTATTAAATACTTTAAAAAATTAATTTTTTGATTTTTAACATTTTTTTAAAATCAAATTTTATATTTTTAACTCGTTTAAAACTGAAATTAAAATGTTTGGTTCCAAAAAAAAAATTATTCAACATTTATAAATTAAATTTGATTTTAATTAAGCTTATAATTTTAATTTTTAAAATAAAATCGCAAATCTTTTAAATTTAAATTTAAAAAAATGCGCGTTAGTCTTGAAATTAAGATTTCCTTACTTCTCATTCCCTTCCATCCATCCATTCATTAACAAACAAAAATCCCAAAAAAAACTACGAGTGATCGATGAGATTCTATATCTTCTTTTGTTTCTACCATTAAAACTACATGCCATATCGGAAAAAGAACAAAAAGTAGTTAGGCAGGGATCTAAATCAAATTGAAACGAGAAGATAATGAAAATTGAAAATGAAATAAAAACACGCGTCAATTTTTTTTTCTTTTGTTAAAATTTTTCGAAGCTGAATGTTGCATTTGTTAATAGTCTGCAGATTGCATATTTGGAATATTTTACTGGTAGCTGTAGGTAATGATATGGATGGAGGGAATCATCTGCTGATTTATCGATAGAATGGTTTTGATAGTTGGTTTAGAGGGCAATGATCTTTGGATGTTTGTAATTTTTTTGAGATTAATTTCTTTTTTTTTGTTCAGAATCTTTGTTTCTGAGAGTCAGTTCCAGAACAATGGATCAAAAAAACTTAAAATCTGTGATTTGTAATGTTTCATGATATCAGCATAGCAAATATAAAACTATAATTATCCTTAAAAACTAGATGCATCAAAACTAAAACATTAAAAATCGTCATAAAATTGTCAAACTAAACTTCAAAATGAATTACCAAAATTTTATTGCATCACTTTTAACGACACTTGGCAATAAAAAGTTGCTAATTTCTTGAACAGTCCATAAAGATAGATTTTCATCCATAAAATTCCATTCCATTCAAATATAATTTTTATATCTTTTAAATTACAAATTTAAGACTTTCAATTCACATGAAAATCCTCATAAAATCTGTCAAAACATTATCCATACCTTTTTTACGGGAATTTGTTTTAAAATCCTCACATCAAAATTTAAAGAAAATAATTGCGCCATAAAAATATTTTTACGTCTTTCCTTTCTTTTTCTTGTTTCCTCTCGTACGCAATGTCATGCAACAACATTCTAATTCATCCAGTCATTTAATTCTTCTCTCATTTCTTTCTTTGATAAAGATCATGAACACGTGTTTCGATATGTTATTTTAGATGCCACTTCTCATCTCCTAAAATAATCGAAATAAGCAGAGATGAGCAGTTCCTCATTTCACAGTCTGAATGCAATGAAAACATTTGAAGATGTGAAATGGAAAAATGTGCAATGAATGATGACGATTTGTTTGCTATTTTAGGGATTTTATTGTTTTCTTCTTGCTTTCATTTCTGTTTAATTTCCTTTTATGAGATAAAAGTTTTTTCTGGATGTTTTTGTGAGGGGAATTCAAGGGTATCTGGTGGTTCAAAGTATGACAATTTCTATGAATTATTAGCTATTATTTCTATTGAAATTTACTAATTTGAACATTTTCTACATAATATTGGAATTGTTCTAAAGGCTTTAAGAATTTTTAGTAATTTTTTGGACCAGTCAATCGAAAGGCATGCATTACCATAGAAGCTAGATATCAAACTCAAGATCATTTGATCAAAAAACATCAAAGTAAAAGCTAAAACAGTTTTGGAGTAGTTTTATACCCCTTGGAATTCAAAATGGCGTCGGTATTAAATGTAGTGTAACAGCTACAAATAGATCACAACTTAAGGATCAAGACAGATAATAAGTCTAGGATAAAGCATAAGACCTTAGTGTATATACAAAAGTCCAAACTAGATTAAATGCTTAAATGTACACCAATACATACCATTGACTATTTTTAAACCTTACCTTACGTTAGACCATACTCATACCCATATAAATGAGTCTGACTAGAGCTACCCTAAAATTGCAAACCAGTTGACATATTCCAAACTCACAATCTCATTCCTTTTGCTTAGAAATTCTTCCAATTTAAATCTTCCGATTCTATTTTCACTTCCAAAACAACATTTCCATTTCTACTTCAAAAATAAACCTTTTTTGCCGCGCATCTCATTTATTTCATTTCCCTTTGTTGTATGACCTTATGTGTATGTATACATAACATTGAACTGTGATCATGCCGAAAAGAGATAAATAAACAAAAGAAAGATAAAAAGATATTTTTACCATGCATAACACAAGAATCATTAGCTGTGCATTCTTTGGTCCATAATAATGTGTAATTCTATACAGATTTAGCAATAAAGGACAATAGGATAAGGATTATCGCAAAAAATAACATTTTTTTGCAAGTTTTTTTGGGAGTTTTAATGGAAAGTATTTTTTTGCGAATATTCTGATTTTAAGGAGGGGTTATTAGGCATAGATTGTTCATATTTGATCTAGATTTTTATAGATTATCACGCCTTCTTTACAGTTTAATGAGTTCTTTTGGATGTAGAATAGGATGAGTGTCTTTTATTAGAATAGTTAAGAATTGAAAGATTTTTTGCTTGAGGAAGCTAGAGAGAGATTATTGTGCTTGTAAAAATTAGATTTGAATTCCTTAAACATGCCGAAGTTATTGTTTATTAAATTTTTTTAGATGAAGTTTGCTTAAGAATAAAAGAATTGAAGGAAACTTTACTGATTCTGATGTAAAAACATGTCTGAACAGGTTCTAAAGCTATAATGAAATTTAAGCATTTATGTCATTTGAATTTTTTCTTTTAGTATCAAAAAATAGCCATGGAGAGGTCCGAACCTTCCTACAAGGCAAATCAGTGTTCTTTGTAGCTTCGTACTCAAATAATTAACATAAAAAATCATAAAACATGTTCATTCTAACTCAATCAAGCTCTAGTTGAGAATCAATAGCTTATACAAAAATTCTAAACTCTCAACTTTGCGCCATAAATCCATCCATTCTCATTTTCACCAAAAGAAACAACAAAACCACTTAAATTTCAATAGCAATCCATTCTATTTCATACATACCCAAAAAAAAACAATGATAACACAAGTGACCCCAAAAACAATCATTTACCTATTTAGTACACAAAAAAGGCAAAGCAACAAAAAGTTTCATGCAAAAATAATAAAATTAAGAGGAACAGCAGATGTGCCCTGCATAGAATGACCAGCAATGAGTTGCATAAAAAAAACAGTAATAAAATAGAAGATACAGATAACCTTAAATAGAATAGAATTCTACATGACTTTATGGCAAACTTCATACATTGTTTGCTGTAACAATTGCATAATTTAATGGGAAAGAATGGATTGTTGCTTTACAAATAAGACTGTGGCATGCTGGTATATGGATAGTGCATTGAGAGGAGCTTCAATAGATTGTCTTTGTTAAGTGCTATTATTTAAAGGTGTTTTGAGTGGTTTTGGTTGAAATCTAATTTATTTTCTAGAATTTATGGATACAATTACAAATGATGTCAGTCGAAAATTATTATTTTGAGGCCATCTTAATCATGTTTTAAAAAAATCACTCAAAAATTGTATTTTGCCCCCCCCCCCCCCCACCCTCTCTCTTTCAATGTCATGGCTTTAATGTTGCACAAATTTGCTTACTTTCTCGTCGATTTTCTCCAAAACTTCAGTCAACTTTTCCAATTTATTTGACATTTTGTCAATTTTTCTTGCCATATTCTCATTTGAGGACCTCAGATCTTCAATTTTGTCTTTCAATGCTGTCAGTTCCTCTTCATGGGATGTCTGTAGATTCTTCACTAAGTATTCAACGTTTCTTGATGTGTCAATCATTGAAACCTTTAAATCGCTTTCAATGTCATTGATTTTCATGTTCAAAGCTGTCATTCCTTCAGATTTAAAGCTGTTAGTCTCCAATTTATCAGTCTTGCATGTGTTTTGAATGTTTTGATCCTTAAATTCTTCAATTTTCTTCTTTAATGAGGGAAAGTTGTAGAATTTTGAAGTTTTTAATTCCTTTTCAAGCACTTCTAATTTATCATTAAATCTTTCACTCGATAAATTTCTGTGTACTTCCTCAAAATCATCAAATTTCTGCTTTAGCATTAAAAACGAAGGACTCATACATTTATCCTTAATTGCACCAATCATATCATTAACATACACCGAAGTACCATCACTTTTCTTGTCAATGCACTGATTCACAACAAACCAAATGTCAGTTAATTTTGGCAAATTATCAAAAACCTTTGGATCAACATGAAATATGTTGCAGTACCAGCATGAAAACACTTTCAGTTCAAGATTGTATTTAAATAAATCTTCATCAAGAACTTGTATGTCATTGCCACCAACACACAATATTTCTAAATCAGGATAGAGCATTAAGTCTGTCTGATGAATTTCCTTCATTTGACAAGTTTCAATCCAAATTAGCTTCAATTTTTTGAAAATTTTCTTCAAGCCATGTGGAAAATATAAAAACTTTGAATTTTCAGCTTTGATTGCGACTACTGAATGGTCATTTTTTTCATTTTTATGAGTGCCTTTAGCTGAAAAAATGTCCACTGAATCTGGTGATATAATGTATGTGTTGATTTTTACATGACAAGTGTAACTTGAGCCAATTATATAGAAATCTCTTAAATCGTAATTACATTCAATGTTAATTGATGATGTTGGGCTAAGGATTGTAAAAAGCAGCATGCTGAAATTCTTAAAAGTTAATTCTAAGTTTTTAAAAATTTATTAAAATACTTACAAAAGAACTTTCATTTTAAAATTCGACTTTAGTCTGCTGAAAATGAAAAAAATGTAAATTTTATTGTACATAATTGTTCGTTTCATAGAGAAACATCTTTATTCTCTGCGAATCTCAATTTGATGACAAAGAGAATCAATGAGAATAACAATTCGGATTCTCAATATTTTTTGATTGATATATAATCAGTAAGAAGTAGCTTAGTTGTAAGGTTCAGTAAAAAAAAAAAACAATTTATTTTTAGATTTTTTGAAATATCATAAATCAAAAAATCCATAGCAACGCCACAGACTTGAAACCTTTAACATTCTCAACTTTATTGTCCACAACTTTCTTTCATAAAATCAACTTCTAATCTCAAGCTTTCAAATTTCGCTTTTAAATTTAAGTATTAAAAACTTATGCATTCCATTTTAGCTTCATTAATCACATCACTAAGAGCGTTTGGATTACTTCTCATATCAATGCATCGGTTCTTTGACAACCATAGTTCTATTAAGTTTGATAACTTATCAAAAATATTTGAATCAATATGAAAAATTTTACAATTCCAGAATGAAATAGCTTTCATGTTGGGGTGAAATTTAAAAAGATCCTCTTCAAGAATTTCGATGTCGTTGTGTCCTAAAAACAGATATTGTAAGTTTGGACACTGAATCAAGTCGCTTTGACGAATTTCTTTTAAATTGGATCTTTCTATCCAGAATAATTTTAAATTATTGAAAAATTTGTTCAATCCATTTGGAAAGTAATAAATGTTAGCATTTTCTACTTTTAATCCAAGAATATTTCTGTTGCTTCTATAATCTTTATGCTGTCCACTTGCAGATTCAATGATGGCTCCTACTGATAAAATTGTCGTTGTACTTCTCAATTCACAGCTGTAAATTGTGCCAGCAACCCAATAATTTATGTTGTCATAATTACAATCAATATTTAAAGAGGCAGTGACTGTAAAGATCGATAGGACTGCTAATCTGAAATATTTTTAAAAAATAAGCAAAACTTTAAATCAAACATTAAAACTTAGCTTACAAAAAAAACATAATTTTAATCTAATAAATATTTTATAAATTTCTTTGGATCGATGTTTCTTCTTTAAATGCTGACAACAATCTGAATTTCAAATTCTGAACCACTTTAGTAGCAAAAATTCTTAAATGGTTTTCAACTTTGACATATAATAATAAAAATCTTAAATAATTCGATAAAAATTTTATCAGTCGGACAAGCAATTTGAAGTTGATTGTGTGTGGAACAATTACGAATGGATAATTTCGGATGGACATTTGAAAACTAGAAAGTTGAATAGTGAATAAAGAATTGAATACTTGAAGTATACACAAAGCTGCACATAGTAAGTGGAATACAGTTGTACATAAATTTTTCTATAATTTAAAGACAATTCTATTAAAAACAAGCACCTAGTCAGGTGGGGGGGGGGGGGGGGGGGGAGATTTGGGGAAAAAAACCTACATCGTCAATAAAAATTTATTCATCTAGCTTTATGGATATTATGATAACTCCCAAAACTACACTCCCCATTAAATTTTTGTCATCTCTCGCTTTCCAATTCCTGGCTACATCCCTGATCAATCTAGAATTTTAATGAAACTTAGCTCAATATCTTTTCAATCAATACTTCAATTTATCAAATTTTTCATTCCAATTTAATTCTCAAAAAACAATCCTAAACACACAAATTTACATTTTATTTTGATAGCAACAAAATTGAACATTTCATCTTTTTTTTTTGATGTCGATTTCATCTTCATTCAGGCATGTCATAAGGAAGAACAAAATAATTTCATCATTTAAATAGTCATATCACATCATTGGTTCAATTTTCAACAAAGACATAAAAATGGAATCATTTTCATGGCACATATATCATGTGAGTTGTCTATCTGGGGTGTTGGGGGATCCCTTGTGATGATTTTGGGGTAAATTATGCAGATTTCAACAACATACAAAAGACGTGCTTATTTAAAGTATTCTTATATTATTAGTTTAAAAGAGAATGTATGCTAAATCCATTTTAATAATGGATTCTTTTATGGAATTTAAGAATTTTGTGCAATTTTCGTGCAAAGAGGAGGTTGGGGGCGCTAAAAATCCTACAAAAATTTTGACAAAAATCCACACAAGGGACTTCAACATACAAACATTCATACATGAATGAAATAAGACGAAGAAAAACAAATTGAGTGAAAAAGTTTGAGATAATATTGAAGTTCATTTTATGCATGCAAAATTCTTGTACTATACTTGTATGGAAATAGCATTCGAACGTTTCTGAACACAAATTCATGAATGAGTAAAATGTTTTTATTTGTACTGAATATTGACGAAGTGTGAAGTGATATAGTGTGGATTGTCTTGGCTAGTATATGTGTCTGTGATTAAGATTCGTAAAGGAAATCATTCTAATGTTGTTGCCATGATTTTGTGACACACAAGCATAGCCCAAAATTCTCAACATAAATGCTACAATACTGACTTCGACACAAAAATCCATAGTGACGGTACTATTAAAGCTTTTTGTAGACCTACTTAGTGATTAAAAGATTAAATTTGCTGCAGGGTGTTTGAGATTTTGAAGAACACAGGCTTAAAGAGATCCAAAAGTTTCTCTACAAATTCGCTCCAAAACTCTTCATTTTCATCCCTACTTCCCCAATAAACATCTACATTGTCTTCATCGTCCTATAGAATAAAAATAACAATGAAGACAATCTGTTTATTCAACGGAAAATATTCTCGAAGAAGAAAAATAAATTTTTTTTGAAATATTTTCCATACTTTTCTTATGGATAATTGCAATGCACTGCAATCTCTATCTAGTTAGCATAATTTTTCTTACATCTCAATGCACATGTGAAGAATATTTTTTATTATTGATTCACAGCATAACTTTAAGCCATTTCATGTGTACATGCTGGAACTTACTCTGGACAAAAGCTGAATGGAAAATCTTTTTTCTTCCTTATGTTATTGGAACGAGATGTAAAGCTTAATCTTGTTTTAATAAGTTTTTCCTTTACCTTGGGTAAGTGAGAAGTAGAGGTAGAGTGTTAAGTGCTTGAGAAATTGGCGCATTTTTGAAGAATGTCTAACTTATAATGACGCTCAGCCTTAATATACAGAGCTTTAGTGGAGCTCAGCCTAAAGAATTTACAGCTTTAATTACACACTGCTTGAAGAATGCACAACTTTGATGACGCTTAGACTGGAGAACGCACAGCTTTTTATTGCTGCTCAGCCTGGAAAATGCACAGCTTTATTGGCGCTCAGCCTGAAGAATTTACAGCTTTAATTATGCACTGTTTGAAGAATGCACAACTTTGATGACGCTTAGACTAAAGAACGCACAGCTTTTTAATGCTGCTCAGCCTGGAAAATGCACAGCTTTAGTGGCGCTCAGCCTGAAGAATTTACAGCTTTAATTACGCACTATTTGAAGAATGCACAGCTTTAATAACGCTTATTCTAAAACATGCACAGCTTTTCTGATGCACAGCCAGAAGAATGTAAGATTTAAAGTCGCTCCGCCACTAAACAAACACTCTTTTGATCAACACTTTTCTTTTATTAAAAAAATCCGCAAAAAGAATTTTTTTCTTGACATCAAAAAAGAAAAAAATCTAGAAAAACTACGAAAAAAAAACTTTTCTAATGACTAAAGTTGTTGAATGCACACCGGAAAGTTGTGCAATTCTTTTACATCTAATAGCCTCTAACTCCTCCCATTTGCTCACTTTTTAAGGACTTTTCGATATGCATTAAATTGTAAGAGTTATCAGATTGCATTGTCATGAAAAACTTTCAACTTCTAACTTCTAACATTATATCAAACTTATGTATTTATAAAAATATTTTCTCTCTAAAGAGTAAGCAGTTAGGATAGAAAGGAAATCAATTGGATATAGAGAAAGTTTTTAATAATCGAACTTTTTTGTAACTAGCAGAAAATCTTCTTTTTATGCTAATTTGAGTTTTATTTTTCTCACCTTAAGGTTGGAAGTGGATATTGGATGCATAAAGTTTTGGGTATTATCAGACTAACGTCACGTTAAAAATTGTCAGTTACAGAAGTTTTACCGATTTTTTTTAAATATTTTGAATCTTTTTTAACCGTTGGAAAAAAACTTTATTCAACACAATTCGAAGCTTTTAACTGTTTAGTTCTTTAAAATAAATAATCTTTGACATATTTTTAATGTTTTTGATCTGAAAATGCTTAAGTAAATGCAAGAATTGGTGATTTTAAAAATTTTCAGAACAAAAATATCAAAAGTAAACAAAAGTTGTAAATGTGTTAGTGAATTTTTTCACGAATTATAAATTTCTTAATTAATTGTTAATTGAAGCTCTTTTTTCTAATGTGAACTATTTAATAGTGATGAAACATAATTAAGATTATGTTAATTTAGTTAAATCATTGTTAAAAGAAGCTTAAATCATTGATTTTGATTTTAAATTTTTTGATTTGTTTACATTTTTCTTAACGGTCAATAAAAATTCAAATTTTCGTCTCAAATTTCGAAGTTTTCGACATTAATTTCGAAGACATTTCGAATTTTTTCGAATATAAGGTGGCGTAAGTCTGGGTATTATGACATTATTGAACGCAATTGCATAGCATTAATGTGATTCTTGCATGCTAGAGTTAAGGTAATTTTTAAAGAAAAGATTATTGTTTTTAAAGTTTAAGATTTATATTTTCTTAATTCTTATTTCAATATTTTTTAAACAAAGGAAATTAATTATTAAGTATTCTTGGCTTACGTATTAAGTCCAAATAAAAATTATCAAATGTTATCTATATTTCCCATTTCCTCAATAAAAACTTTATTTTTATTTTAACATAAACTTATGTTTACATTTCATCAAGATTTGAAGTGGTTTAGTACCTCAATAATCAATCATTTTCGCACAGCTTACTTAGTAAAGTAGCTTAGTAATTTTCTCCAAAAATTACCACGAACTGGCTTAACAGTTTTGCACCAATTAACATTCTCTCCGTGCAAGACTTTATAATTTTCAACGCATGTTTGTAGTGCTCTTCTCATTAATTGTATTGATGATGAATTGTCTTCAATAAAGTCATTTGAACAAAGATTTCCAATCATTTCCAACCGCTGTACTCCAGTGTAAGCAGTGAATCCTTCATCAATTGCATTTATTTGATTTTGTGATAAATAAACGTCAGTTAAGTTTGGTAAAAATCCAAAAGAATCTGAATGAATGACTTTGAGATTATTGCTGCTTATCCAAATGCTTGATAAAGATGTTAAGGAACTGAAAGTATCTTTTGGAAGTTCTTCGATTTGATTTGCATCTAATAACAGAATATTCAAATTTTGAAGACTTTGAAACCATTTAATCTTCAATTGCTGAATTCGGTTGGTTCCCAAATCTAGTTCATTTAAATTTTGTTGATTGATGAAAAGATTTTCTGGTAAAGTTGTCAACTGATTGTTCTGCAGAGATAAAGTTTGAAGCTTCAAATTTTCACTGAATGAATTTTCATTAATTTTCGTGATTTTATTATCTTTTAAAATTAAAGATGTTAGTTTCTTGCAGGATTTAAACGAGTATTCATCCACCTTTTGTATTTCAAGTTGCTGTAAATTAATCAATGTTGCGTTTTGGAATGTTTCACAAATTATTGATGGAATGTTTATGGTTTTTGATCCAGTAGCTCTTAAAATTTGTTGAACATCGTCATTGCTTTTGTCAATTAAATGCGCTCCACTTACTCGTGTAAAGTTGTTGACACCATTTATATTTTGAATCATAAGATCGCATATGTATCCTCGACTAATATCATTCCTATAACTACAACTCAATAACTGAGCACTAATTATTTCAAAATTTAACAACAAACAAAAAATTGACAGCATAATGATTAAACTCATGGAAGCTATGAAATTGGACTGAACTTTATGAATTTTTTGGCTTTATACACATTTCATTATCTTTACTGATGACTTTATCATGAAAATATTTATTGTGCATTACTCAATCCTGATAAATAAATGTCTTTTAACGAAAGGAAGTTACGAATTAAGTTACTCCTCCTTTGTAAATATCAGGTCAGGTTCATTTTTTTAACAGATTTTAACAGGAACCTAGCTAAGGGGGTTCGATGGAATCCGGACCCCCCCCCCCTTTGAAATGTTTTTGGTATACGCATATACATATATAATTAAAATCATTATCATTTTTGTCAGTTAAATGTGTTCTACTAAAATTGTTATCAACTCTTTAGCTACAACTTGGCCACTTTTTTATAACTTACAAAATTATTAAAGTGTTCTTGGGTTTTATATAGGGTTGGGCAGAATCGTATTCGAATATATTCGAATATAATGTGCGCACATAAATGTGCGCATATATTCGAATATATATTCGAATATACATAATTCAAAAAATAACCGTTATTAATCGTGATTTTTTTTTAATAAATGTTTAACAATTAATTAAATAACTTACAACTAAAATATCGACGAATTTGGCTAAAGAAAGTACTTCCATTGCTTTTCCATTAAAATTAGATCTATTTTAGTAATTGTTTAACATGATTTTTTCAATTGAAAAAATTTGATATCAAAGAATATTTGAAGTCGCCTTTTAAAAAATTTTAACGGTCAATAAATATTTGAAAATTTTCCTGCTAAAAGTTGCACTACGAAAACATTAGTTATAGTATAATTACATAATTTGTTCCAATGAATTTCCATATAGAAAAAGTTTTTCATTTAACGGTCTTTTGAGATTCAAATTTTCTAACGGTCAGTAAGTTTTTGAAAGCTTTTTGCCAAAGGATACACTAAAAATCATTAATTATAGCATATTTAACAATTTAATGTCTTTAATTCTCATATATGAATTGTTTATCATTTACAAATTACAGGCAAGTTGAAAAATTCTAATCAACAAATAACGTATTTTTTCATTTTTGAATTTCTAATATTCGAATATATATTCGAATATATTCGAATATTTTTTTGTTCATATTCGAATATATTCGAATATATTCGAATATTTGCCCAACACTAGTTTTATACAATTTTTATTACGGACGACTTTATCATCTGAAGTACTTTTGTAGGAAATAACCTCTTAATAATATAATAATGTGTGAAGGGCCCAGCTTTTCAGCTGGAGGCACTCCGATTCAAATTAGAACAGAATCTATTGTACCACACCCTTTAGACCTACAGTTTATAGTGGGATCCGAACCATCTGCAACCTCTTAATAAATTGCAATTTATAATCTTAATTTAATATTTCAAAAAGTGATCAATTCAGCATTGTGAACTAAGTTCGGTCCCCGAGCACAACTCTCTCCTATTTAAAAATGACCCCAACCATGGAAGTAGCCAGTTTTGACTGGCAACTGCTTTTAAAAATTGTTCATCTCATTACTTAAGTTTTCTTTGTAAAAAATAAAAATAAAATAAAAATAATCTAAAAATGTCGCATCGTAAAACATTTGTGCTCCATCTTTCTAATCTCTAAATGAATAAAGAAAATCTCAAGAAGAAAGTAAGGCAAAAAGGAATGAAAATTCCGATAAAAAGTAAATGAAAATGTTATTTTGAAAATTGAATTCTTCACCCGCATTTACACTCAATTGTGAATTGAATTTTCGTTCGTTTTCCTCCTTAATGTATCAAGATGGAATTGATAACAATCTTTCTCTTCTTTATTTTCTCGTTTTTCTTTATCGACATGTTCAGGAAGGAATTTTGTGTGAAAAGAATTTTTTTTTCTTTGCTGTAAAAAAGTTTCACCCTAAAGAGAAGAAATCACCAATGTATGTACATAAATAAGCACAAATGCTTTTTCCTTCCGGAAAATTCACACAAAAAAATGTGCCGAACTTTATTTATCTCGTTCTAGGTTTGTTGGTTTTTTTTTCGAGGTGGTTTATGGGAAATTTGGTGTCTGGCTGGCGGATAATTGTGTTTCAAGCTGTGCTTATCCTAAAGCTATGCATCTTAAAGCTAAGCATCTTATGTCTTAAGTTGTGCGTCTTATGATTTTTTAGACTGTGCGTCTTATTTCTCCGACTGAGCTGCACTTAAAGCTATACGTTTTTTTCTTAGGCTGATCTTCAATTTAGTTTGCTCGTCATTTTTCTCAAACTGAGCTCTAAGACTAAGCTGCTTTTAAGGATGCGCTTCTTCTTTAAGACTGAGCTTCTTTAAGGCTGAGCTTTTTTAGGGGTTAACCTTCGTTAAGGTTTGAGCTTCGTTAAGGTTGAGCTTCTTTAAAGCTGAGCTTCTTTTAAGGCTGAGTTTTTTAGAGTGAGCTTCTTTTAAGGCTGAGCTTCTATAAGGCTGAGCTTCTTTAAGACTGAGCTTCTTTTAAGGATAAGCTTTTTTAAGACTGAGCTTCTTTAAGGCTGAGCTTCTTTAAAGCTGAGCTTCTCTAAGGCTGAGCTTTTTTAAAGCTGAGCTTCTCTAAGGCTGAGCTTTTTTAAGGCTGAGCTTCTATAAGGCTGAGATTCTTTAAGGCTGAGCTTCTTTATATGTAGCTGATCTTCTTCTTTGGCTGTTAGTCTTTCGTCTCCAGCAATAATTCTTTTGAAGCTGTGCGTCTTATTTCTCATGCTAAACTTCTTTAAAGTTAATCTTATCAACCGTCTTTCCCCACTTCCAACGACCCCCAAACATACATTTTCAACTTCCTTTCTCAGATTAAATTTCATTGCGAATAAAATTATCGTTAAGCGCCATAAATTTAATTCGAAAATGTGATCCTAGTTTGTCGATAAACATTTTCCATTCGTCTTTGATATTTTTTTAAGAATTAACTTCCTTTTTTATAAAAAAAAAAGTCAAAGATGAAAAGTCTTGGCATGAAGATGAAAAAAATAAAATAAATGGAAAGTTAATTATGTAAGTGAAAGGAAAAGAGAAAGTTTTGTGGATGTAGAAGTTGAAAGAGATTCTCTGATTTTTTTAAATTTTCATTTCCTCCGCTGCGGTGATTTATGGCAGATGATTAAGACAGATAAATAAGAATGTAGGCAAATGTGAATTAAGTGAATGAAAATGTTTTAATGTAAATAATTGAATTTTGTTTCTTGGGTAGGATGTCGGTGTTGGAGCTGGAATTAGAGGTGATAAAATGATTTAAATATGTTTCATTTTAATAAAGAATTTAAATTTTTGTATTAAAAATAATTTAATTTTTGACTCTTAGTATGGTTCAAAAAATTATTTATACTTAATTAACAATTTACGTGCGTTTTTCGATGTATTACTCCACCTCCACAGTTATATACTATGAAGTATAATCAAAGGTAGGTTTAGATGTATATCGAGCAATCTACCCCAGAGTCTTGAGTAAAAAAGAAGCATAGTCTACTAAGTGTCTAATTATAATGGCTGTTAACACGATCAATAAATAGTTGCCCTTATTTCTATAGCAATACTTTACTTATGAAGCTGATAACCTTATCAACAAATTACTCAAAAATAATCAACTTAAACATTAACTTTTGAAGATAAATCACGATCTATCAACAGCTTCGTCAGAGGACCAGCCATCAACTTTTCATAATTCTCGAAGCATGTCCTCAACGCAATCCTCATGATAACCCTCGAAAATGAATTGTCCACAATCGACCCATGAGCACACACATTGAAATTCATACTAATCTCACTGACACTTGTATTAAGGATGAATTTCTCATCGATGGCTTCAATTTGATTCATCTGGAGCCAAGCAAATTGCAGAGTAGGATGAAGACCAAAGGAATGTGAGTGGATGACCCTAAGTCTGTTGGAGTAGATGGAGAATTGTGTCAATTTGCTCATGTGCGTGAAGATTCCTACTGGAAGGTCTTCAATTTGATTGAAATGAAGATAGAGATTCTCCAAATTATCAAGTGTCTCGAACCATGCATGATTAAGTGCCGGAATTCTATTTTCACTTAAGTTGATCGTCTTCAGGCTTCTCAGAGATTTGAATATGTTGTTGGGTAAGTTGACAATTCTATTGCTGTCAATAGCTAAGTTTTGCAACTTTTTTTGGTTGATAAATAAATTTCCAGGTAAGGTTGTCAATTGATTCGACCACAGCTCAATATTTTCTAGCTCTGGATTCTCTAAGAATGAGTTTTCATCAATTTGTGTGATGTGGTTCCTCTCGAGTTTTAGGGACTTCAATTTCTTGCATCCTTTGAAGGAACTTTCAGTTACTCTCTCAATTAAGCAGCTGTTAAGGTCGATATCCTCTGTGTTGATGTATACATTGCAAATTAAAGGTGGAATGTTGACTAGATCTTGCCAGTTGCCTTCCACTCTCCTCACATCTTCGTCAGTCTTTCCAGGCAAATGAACTCCTTCAACATCGTCATTGACACTATCACTTTTCATTAATTCTAAAACACACGTGTAGCCGTGTTCTATGCTGTCTTGAAACAAGCATCTAACCTTCCCTTGCTGTCCAAGAATTGAGTGGATATTGATTGATAAAAAGGATATTAAAATGAAGACTTTAAAACTCATTTTTACTTTATTAGTTTGTGTTTGACGACTATTGTATGAATGGATGCTTTTGGTAAGCATTAAGCTTGTTTTTATACAGTTTTTCTTATCACACTTTAAGTAGTTTATTTTGCCCCATAAGCTGTTAACCGCGTGATGTGATTAATGCACGTAAGTGATAAAAAAATTTGAACTAGAAATTTCTATTCGCAAAAAAGTGTCCAAATTCCAAATGATAAGAATTATTGCTTATTGAACGCAATCGTACGATGATTTTCAAAAAAGAAAGCACTTGATTCCCGCATGATTCATTTTCGCGTTGTTTTTATGACAGATGTAAGAGAACTTATCATTCGCAGGTGATAAGTAATCAGTCAATTGTTGAGTTTTCTTTTACGGTGTGCTTTCGTGACAGGACATAAGTAAACAAATCATTTGAACAGGTTGTTTTGGTGTAATCAGTAATTGAAAAGCTTTATAAGCGATTGTCTTATTTTAAAGGTTGCTTCTCATGATTCCAATATGATTCATAACGACCATTACTAGGTTTACGCCAAGGAACTAGGGAATGACTCATAACAATATTATCTTTACTTTCAATATTAGGAAACTCCCATTAAGATAAGAAACTGCGAAGAATCGATAAGAAATTTGTAAATATCATATTGATAAATGGTTTAAAGACCTTTGCTTGAAAAGCAGTATGATTAAAAATTGGCAAAAGTCCTCGTGTTATATATCGAGGGACTTCAGCGCATTTTTGTGTTAGCGATCAGTATTTGATTATCTAATTATTTTGCGTTCATTTATAGATCATTAAAAGATCAGAAGATCAAAAATTTAAGTGTAATTAACAAATAATTACAATAAATGCTTATATAGAAAGGCTTTATTATTTAACGGTCAAAAAATAATTTGAAATTTTCCCGCTAAAAGTTGCACTACAAAAACATTAATTATAGTATAATTAATAATTTGTTACAATGAATTTCCATACAGAAAGGATTATCATTTAACGGTTTTTTGAGAAATTTTCTAACGGTCAGTAAGTTTTTGAAAGCTTTCCCGCTAAAAGTTGCACTACAAAAACATTAATTATAGTATAATTAATAATTTATTACAATGAGTTTTTCGATTTGTAATTTAACGATTTACCTCCCAAAAAATTTCAGCACCCCCTTCAACAAAGCTCTTGCACACCCCAACTTAAACCCTCATACACCATTAAACACCAAAACACCCTGAATCCTTAGTCTGACTCAAAAACTGCTCCACTAAATGGAATTAAAGAATTTGCAGATTTAACTTTAAATTTTCCCCTCAATTCTGCATTTAATTCTGTTTGCATCAGCTGAAGTTCTATTGGATGAACCTTATAAAACTCTATTTTTCTAGGTTTTAAAATAATTTGATATAAAATTTCAGCTACAAATGACAAAACTGAAATCAAACAACATCCAAGCCAAATTTTAAAGCCAAAAAGAAGATCATCAACGCTCAAAACTTTCGGACCTTCGTCAAATTTTTCAAATTGTAACTTTTTAGTGTAATAAGTATCGACCAAATATTTCATGATTCCAGTTGGTATGAGACTATCAATTAGCATTTTATACATTCTAAAGTAGTAGCTGTGACTCCAGAACATGAAAACTTCCTGATGTGTATAAAGAACACTGTCGTCCAGTTGATTCCAATCATTATTTCTTTTTATTTCCGATTCAATAAAATTAAGATTAAACTCATCGACACAAAGAGCAAGCTTGGCTGTCACATTCTGTGATTGTGTCAAAAATGCTTTCTTGAAGTCAAACAGTGAGATTTGGGTGATGTTTTGCCTTAAAATTAAGAAGAATATTTAATCACTTAATTGAATTAAACCTCCTTGACCACCTTGTAGACCTTAGTTTACATACCATTGCCATAATTGATCTATACGGCTTGAAAATGCATGAAATCCTTTTGTAGACACTACAGAATAGTTTCTTTCAATAACATCTTCGATTGTCCTTGGTGGGTCTCGTCTCGGCTCACTTGTCATGAATTCAAAGAATTTACTTTGAAAGCATGTTCGAAATATCAAGCAGAAGGAGATGAACATGATTAAAATAAATCTTGGAAAGTTCTGACTTGGCAACTTCGTCTGGGAAATTCCAAAAAATATTCTTATGACATTCCAAATAGGCGTTTCAACTTTATGTCCATAAACAAGACTTCGAGCTGATTTTGATAATCGGTTAACGATGAAAATTAACAAAAATGTTGAAAAGAATGTAATTGTCAGAAATATCCAAGTTTCCAAGTCAAATGGTAAGAAAAACTTCTCATATGCTGTATATTTTTCGGCTGGAGTTACAAACATGCGAGCATTTAGGTTTTCAATGACGTGGGATGTTCGTGTTGTTAAAGAATTTGAGATATGCAAGCTTTGGATTTGAAAATAAACGTCAGGAACTATTGATGTGCCTTTAGAAAATATAAAGGAGAAGGTAAAGTTAAATAAAGGATTAAAAACAACCGATTAAATTATTTCGTAACGATATTAAGTGAAGATAGGATTATCAGCAATCATTTAAGCACAACCATTAGCAATGCCAACTTATGATTTAAATCTGAGCAACAAAATATATTTACTAAGCTTTCAGAAGATGTCAGGGGTTCAAAAACCATAATTCATCGTGTTGCGTAGCAAATAAAAATATCCTTCAGTATCCTTACCATTTATTTCTATTATCTTCCCACGTCGTGGTTTGATCGATTCAAACCAATGGTAATCTATTCTAACTGGCTGAAATGTAGGATTATAGTTGTAAAATTTGGAAGAAATCCCAAATATAGCTGGGGTTATGCCAATAATATCAAAATCAGTTTTATCATCATTTACAACAGAAAATCCACAAACATTCTCAATTGTTCTGTCATTTTTCATAGTTGGGAGCATCATAACCAATTCACATCCATGATAGTTCAAGAATTTTTCATAATTCTTCAGTTTTGAGGACCATGTTCTAGACTTCTTATTGTAATTGTTAATTATGCTTAGATATGGAATATTACATCCGTGAGGACTAAACCATTCAACTGTCGAAAGTGTAACTGTATCCATCTCATTTGTAATAAAGTAGGAATAATGAAATGCCGAGTTAGAGTGAACTGTCAAGCTTTGATATGTTTTGTAAATGTTCGACATCTGTAACTCTTTAAATGTCAAGTTTGGAACAAGAATGAAGTACTTAATTGGCTGATTTTGATATCGAATAATTTTGAGAAATGATTCAATGTATGCAAAGTCATCGAGTGATTTTATTGCAAATATGTTTGATCCGTGAAGTAATCGTACATGCCTTGCAACAAGATTGTACGACTTTACTTGATAACTTAAGTTTCCATTGATTTTTGACATAAAATCTGTTAGGATGTCTTTTTGAAGCTGCGATATATGATTAAAGAAGAGTATATCGAACTTGATGTTTTCTTTGAATATAAATTCATTCACAATATCAGACAAAACGTGCGAGTTAACTGCCACATCTTCGTAATAACTGTAATCAAATTGATTGCAATAATCTAAGTCGAGGAAATTAAATACAATAAAAATAAGAACCCGGAAAAACTTCATCCTACTTAATTGAAATTCAAATGTTGACTCACTTGACTTCTTGTTTTTTTCTGTATTTTATTTTAATAATATTTACAAGCTCAAAGATTAATAATCTAATGTATGTTCTGATAAAACTACATATAAATACTTGTAGACAATAACACACTTCCTGACATATGGGCGTCGACAAGTGATTGAAGGAATGGAAGTGGTCAATAAAACTAAATTGTAAATTTCTGCGCTACAACATTTTATTCGATCTTGATGCTGTTGTTTAAAAACAAGTCATATGACAGTCGTCAATAAACATGATTTTTAAAACCCCTCCCTCCAGTTTCCTTTGTTTGAGCTGTTACAAAATTCTAGACCCCACTTCCCCGTCAATCTTGAACGTCAGTTTTGAATGACGCTAAATCAGGGAATTGTGTGCTTTTTTTTTACATTTTACAACGCTTTTTTGGGTTCGGATCTTAAAAATTCTAATAATATTAATTGTAAATTTTCTGAAAATAGAGGAGTTTTGACCCCAAACCCTCCCACAATCCCCCTAGCTATCGTCCTTGCACCAAACTTATGTTTAAAAACAATTCATCTGGTTCATGTGACTGATACAATTGTCTGATAACGAAGAAACATTTAATTCTTTATTTTTAACTATTGTCATTTAGATGACATCCACTAAATCAGGTTTTATCAGAGGGCGAAGTCGACTCGAAATTTGTATGAAGTCGAGTGAACTCAAGTCGACTTTTCCATACAAAATCCGAGTCGACTTCGCCCTCTGGGTTTTATTAAAACCTGACATTACTAATATCACATTAGTAGATCTATAAAACTGATATAACATCTATATTTCAGATCTGAGTGTCGATACTTGTTCAATAATATCTCCAATCAACAATGAAATGTGAAAATTTTCATCTTTTAATGACTGTATTCTAAATATTTTGATCAATTCAGATCTCAACTTGATGGGACGCATGTGAACTTCGATATTATCTAATGGCATTGGAGAGACCTTCTTAAATTTAATTTTTCTACTTTTTTCATATTCATATCTTACTGGAATTATTAATCCAACAACTAATTCAATTATTAAGGACATAAAAGATATTAAACAACATCCTAACCAGATGTTGAAGCCAAAAAAGAGATTGTCAAGGTTCAAAACTTTTGGACCTTCATCGACCATCTCAAATTTCCATTTCTTATTAAAATGATTTTCGACTAAATATTTCATTATTCCAGTTGGAATTAAGTCATTAATGAGAGTATCAATCATTCGCAAGAAATAGCTGTGACTTCTGTAGACGAAAACTTCATGTGTTGTGTATAAAGCAAAGTTTTTGAGCTGATTCCAATCATAATTTCGCTTCGAATCTTTTTCAATTATATTTTGAAACAATTCATCGACACAAAGGGCAAGTTTGGCGGAAACATTTTGAGATTGTGTCAAAAATAAATCTTTAAAGCTTTTTGGATCAACTATTTTAAAATAAAGATAGCTAGAAACAAATTTTATTTTAATTAATGATATTTAATAATTTAGAAATTAAATCGATACAAACATTAGATCACCCCTTTTATCATCTGTTGCAGCTTCTATGCTATAAAATTCTGCATTTCCAATTGTAGAAATTATACTATAATTTCTTATTATTACATCATCTACTGTCCTAGGTGGGGCTTGTCTAGGCTCACTCGTCATAAACTCAAAGAATTTACTTTGAAAACACGTTCGAAAAATCAAACAGAAGTAAATGAACATGATGAGAATAAATCTTGGGAAATTTTTGCTCGGCAATCGTGTCTGTGAAATTCCGAAAAAGATGCTAATTACATTCCATATCGGTGTATCAACTTTGTGTCCATAAACAATATTTCGAGCTGACTTTGACAGTCGATTGACGATAAAAATTGATAAAAATGTCAATGCAAATGTAAATGTTAAAAGGATCCAAGTTTCTGAGTCAAACGGAAGGAAGAATTTTTCGTATGGCGTGTATATTTCAGCTGGAGTGACAAAGATTCGGATCTGAGTGTTCTCAAAAACATGAGATGATAAGATATGTAGTTTTGCTGCATAATGTAAACTCATGGCTTCAAAATATACATCAGGAAATTTTGCAATGTCTGGAATGAGATTTTATTGAAATTTCATTAATTAAGATTCCACCCCAACCTCTATCTGGCTCCACTTAATTCTCTTGACTGTGTTCAGTCTGATGGAAAAAGAGCATGTGGAAGACCAAAGAACTCATGGAAAGAGGCTGTTGATAAGGACAGTATTGCATTTGGTATAGGAAATTGGCAATCGAAAGCCAGCGATAGAGCCAGTTTTAGGTGGCATCTGAGGGAGGCCATGTATCACAACTAATCTGTAAGGTCATCGAAGTAAGTAAGGAAGTAAGTAAGTGTTCAGTCTGAACAGACACAAAACTTAAGCTTAATTGCGCCTGAATAATTACCATTAATATAAATCATTTCAATCGACTGATTTAAATAAGTTTCAAAAAATCCATAATTCATTGCAACTGGTTGATAATTTGGCTTAAAATTATGAATTTTTGATGATATTTCAAAAAGTGCTGGAGCAATTCCACGAACATCAAATCCTGAGTTATCGATTTTTACTAATGAATATCCAGAAAAATGATAATTCGATCCATCCCAATTGACTGCCGGGAGCATAAAAACCAATTCACATTCATGAAAATTTAAGAATTTTTCGTAATTTTTCAGTATTTTCGTCCATTTTAATGACGACTTGTTGAATGTATTTAATTTCTTTAAATACGGACGCTTACATCCAAATGAACTGAACAGTTCAAAAGATGATAATGTGACTGTATCAACCTCATTTGTTATGAAATACGAATAAAAAATTAATGTTCCTGAATAAACATCGACATCTTCATCATTTCTAATTATCCATGATGATTTGAGTTGCTCAAAAGTGAAGAATGGAGTGAGGATGAAATATTTTATTGGCTGATTTGGATATCGAACTACATAATTGATTAAGGTTATAGAAACAAGATCTTCCAATGATCTAATTGCAAAAATATTTGATAAAGTTAATGGACACTGGATTCCCTTCATCTCATCGAATGTAAGAAAATAGTTAAATTTCTCATTGATGTTTGACATAAAGTCATTTAGGATGTCCTGATTTAATTGTGAAATTTTACTGAAGATTTTAATATTAAATCGTATATTTTCTTTAATCAGAAACTCATCCACCACGTCATGCAGAACTTTTGAGATTATCGTCACATTTGGGTTTAAATTATTCTCGAAATATTTACAAAAAATTAAATAAAAAAATAAATTTAAAACACTTAAAATCCACAAAACTTTCATTTTAAAAAAAGAGAAACGTATTCTCAATTTAGAGTTGAATTACACACTGAAATCCAAAAATTTAAATTGGATCTTGAACTAAGGTTTTATAAATATTTAATTTAAAAATTATCAATTTCACAAGATATGTTCAAATTCACACGAAGGTCCAAGTTAATGATACAAATATTGAAAAATTGTTAGCTCTCATTGATTATCTTTTAATAGAGCATTGAAGAAAATGCTTTATAGTATTTGAAATAGGTTTTGATTATGTCAAGAGATTAGCTCTCAAATTTAATTTTATAAATATTAAATTCTAAATTAAAGGACTTCCAAAGCTCAAAAACGACTTGAGTTTACTAAAGTCTTTTATCTTTTATTTTCAATTTCGTAGACTTCTTGCTGAATGTGTTGAGTAAACTTAAATGTGGATAATCGCATCAAAAAATCTTTACTTTTCAAATCATTTAACACTCTTAGCTTTTATAACATCAGATATGTAATTATAATCAGAACCAGTTGTTTTTTGTATCGATATTTTGTCCTCTAAAAATTCATCAAATTTGTCAATATTCTCAGCGCACAATGATTTTACTCTAAATGTTTTGATTAAACCTGCATTTAACCTTAATTTAGCCATATTTAATACATCATCAGTCAATGTTATCGGGACAACTTTCTGAAACTTTACATTTCTAGATTCCTTGATTGGCATCAACATCCTAAATACTTTTTCACAGACAAAAGCAAATAATGATATCAAACAGCATCCCAGCCAGATATTAAAACCAAACAGAAGATCATCAACTTTTAAGATATCAGGACCTTTAATATCCTTTTCAAACTTCCACTTCCTATTGAAATGAATCTTAACCAAGTGTCCCATAATTCCCGTAGAAATAAGTCTTTTAATCAATACATTAAACATTCTGAAATAATAGCTATATCCCCAAAAAAGAAAAACTTCATGCATTCTGTGCATCACAACGTCTTTTAGCTCATTCCAATCATGATTCTTTCGATGATAATACTCAATTAAATTCTGAAAAAGCTCATCGACGCAGAGAGCAAATTTTGCTGAAACATTTTGTGATTGCGTTAAAAATATTTCGTTGAACTTGATCGGATCAACTTCTTGAATGTTGAGTCTAAATAAGAGGAATGAAAAAAAATTACAGAAGTCCTCGTGTTATTGATCGAGGGACTTAAGCGCATTTTTGTGTAAGCGATCAGTATTTGATTATGTAATTATTTTGCGTTCATTTACAGATCATGAGAAGATTAGAAGATTATTAATTTTAATGTAATTAACAAATAATTACAATAAATGTCCATATAGACAGTCTTTATCATTTAACGGTTTTTTGAACTTCAAATTTTCTAACGGTGAATAAATATTTAAAAATTTTCCCGCTTAAAGTTGCACTATAAAAACATTAATTATACTAAAATTAATAATTTCCATAAAAAAGGTTTATCATTTACTGGTTAAAAAAATTCGAATTTCTGAACGCATCTTGATTACAGATTTTTTAACGGTAGAAATTAATTCAAATTTCTGAACGCACCAGAATTCATATGAACGTGTTTTCCATATGAAATAAAAAAATCATTAATTATAGTATAAATACACTGTTTGAGACTTTTAACTGTTCGTCCGACCAATAACTCGATAGAACTGAGCTAATAAAACAAACCCGAGCTCTCTACGATGTCTGGTTAAAAAGTTTTTCTAGACACGAACAGCCGAACATAGTGTATTATTAAGCTACCTTTTAGAAACAAGTTTCAAAAATGCGCAAAAAAATGTATAAATTAATCAGAAAAGTAGCCAAACTTTAATCTTGATCATCTTTCTATATTTCAAAAGTTAATTTACCGTTGATACAATGGATCTTCAGTGCGATAAAATTTAAGGTTTGCTTTTGTTGCAAATGTTTTATACTTTCTATTAATAAGATCTTCAATTGTTTTTGGTGGATCTCGTCTCGGCTCACTAGTCAAAAACTCAAAGAATTTACTTTGAAAACACGTTCGAAAAATCAAACAAAAGTAGATGAACATGACCAAAATGAACCTTGGAAAGTTCTTATTTGGCAATTTTGTCTGAGAAATTCCAAAGAAGATGCTGACAACATTCCAAATAGGCGTATCAACTTTGTGTCCATAGACAAGCGATTGAGCGGACTTCGACAGATGATTTACAACAATTATTGACAGAATTGTAAAAATAAAAGTAATTGTCAAAAAAATCCATGTCTCTAAGTCAAATGGAAGCATAAACTTTTCATATGGTGTATATTTTTCAGCAGGAGTAAAAACTATCCCAATGTTTAAGTTCTCAATGACATCTGACATTTTATGTTGATCACTATTTGCATAATTTAAACTCATGACTTCAAAATAAACATTCGGAATTTTCATATTATCTGTAAGAAGAGGAAAATTGAGAATTAATATTAAATTAATCGTAAGAATGAAGTGGATCATAATGTTACCAATGCTATCAACAAATTCAACATTTTCAGACGAATAAAAGTCAAATCCATCTTCCATTGAAACTGGTTGGAATATTGGAATAAAATTATTAAATTTTGCAGAAATGCGAAAAATAGCAGGTGATATTCCATTAGCTGTCAATTTTTGAGTAACACGATTTACTAAAATATATCCACTAGCGTAATAATTTATATATTCAATTGCTGGCAGCATCATGACTAATTCACATCCATGATAATTCAAGAACTTTTCATAATTTATAAGTTTTGTTGACCATTCCATAAACTCTTTGTTAAATATGTTAAGTGTACTTAAGTATGGAGCATTACATCTATAAGGGCTGAACCATTCAATGGTGGAAAGTGTGACTGTATCAATCTCATTTGTTATGAAGTATGAATAAATAAGAATTGAGCGAGAATTTACTGTGATTTCTTTTTTATACCTAATTATCCATGATGCTTTAAGCTGGTCTAATGTGAAAAATGGAACCAGAACAAAATATTTAATTGCTTGATTTGAATATCGAACGATGTTATAAGTTTCGTCAATATACAAAATGTCTTCTAAAGACCTAAGAACAAAAATATTTGATAGATTTAGTGAAGAATTCTTTCTCTTAACCGAAAAATCATAAAATTTTAAATAAAAGCTTGTTTTAGCTTCGATTTTTGACATAAAATCAGTTATAATATCCTCTTGAAGTTGCGATGTTCTGTTAGTGATTAAAATATTAAATCAAATATTTTCTTTAATGAGAAATTCATCAACGACGTCGTAAAGAACTTTTGAGATTATCGTCACATTTGAGTTTATGCTATTCACAAAATTTTCACAAAAAATTAAATTAATTCGAAAACTTAAAATCATCCAAAATTTCATTTTATTTTGCTTTAAAGATACGTCTTTCCAACTTAAAAATTCAATAGTGACTGACATGTTTGAGACGTGTCTTATAACTTGATAAATTCTTATTTTTTACCATTCTTGTTAAAAGAAAATTAATGTTTTTTTTTTGATACATATTTTGAGATAAAAACTTAAATATAGAACATCGCCTGACACAAAATATTCTTAATATGTGAAGCCGTTTACTTGTTAATAATTAAGTTGGGGCAGGAAGAAAACACTATCCTGAATGACGCAAGTTGGTTAATCGAATAGAAATCTGGCTCCAAGCTAAAGTGACTCTGGCATGGTGCTAGATTTGAATCGAAACCAGCACTATGCTAGAGTCACTTTAGCTTGGCGCCAGATTTCTATTTGATTAACTGAATTGTATTATTCGGATATGGCTTGAATAAGTTTTAAATATAAATTATCATCAAATTTACAATATTTGCGCCAAAACTCAAAGTTATAACTTAATTCTTTCTTAACATGCTGTGTTTCTTTTGATGGTACAACACATTACTCATCAAAATCTGAAATCTTTTGGATGTTGTCAGTTGATTCGTCTTCAATTATATTTCGAAGAGAAGGTGTCCTTCTTGTGCTACAAACGTCATCAATTTTGAATGATTTTACCCTGAACTTTTTTAGCAATTCTGTTTTCAACTTAATATGCTGCGTGTGAATTAAGATATTATCCAACGGAATTGGAGATACTTTTTGATATTTTATTCTTCGATATTTCTTATTCAGAATAGTTAATCTTGAGATTTGTTCAGCTACAAATGTCAAGAATGATCCTAAACAACATCCTAACCAAATCTTAAAACCAAATAGAAGATCATCAACATTTAAAACTTTTGGGCCTACTTTAAATTTCTGAAATGTCTGCTTTTTAGTATAATGAGTTTCGATCAAATATTTCATAATTCCTGTTGAAATCAAATTTTTTATATCCTTATCAAACATTCTTAAAAAGTGATTGTAGCCGTTAAAAAAGAAAGCTTCATGCATTGTGTGTAGCACAGTGTCTTTTAGTTGATTCCAGTCATGATTTTTCTGTACACTTGATTCAATTATGTTCTGAAAAAGTTCATCTACACATAGGCCAATTCTAGCTGTAACATTCTGAGACTGTTCAAGAAACATTTTTCTGAATCTTGCTGGGTCAATTACTTCGATGATAAGCCTATTTAATAATAAAAATAATACTGTTAAATTACTGATATATCCACTGTCGTGTCACTTAGAATACTCAAGTTCATGAAATCTATAAATACATACTGATTTTTAGATTGATGATTTCTGTCAGACTCCATTTCTTTGGTAAAATATGCAACATTTCCAACTGTTGAATAGACTTTATACATTCTTTTAATCAAGTCTTCAAAAGTTCTTGGTGGTGGTTGTCTTGGCTCACTGGTCATGAACTCAAAGAATTTACTTTGAAAACAAGTCCGAAATATCAAGCAGAAGTAGATGAACATGATCAGAATGAACCGTGGAAAGTTCTTATTAGGCAATTTCGTTTGAGAAATTCCAAAAAATATTCTCACGACATTCCAAATTGGTGTCTCAACTTTGTTGCCATAAATTAAATTTTGTGTTGATTTTGACAATCGATTGACGATGAAAATTGATAAAAATGTCATAACAAAAGTAGCAATTAAAAAAATCCAAGTTTCAAGATCAAATGGCAAGAACAATTTCTCATATGCTGTGTATTTTTCACCGGGTGTGACAAACATTCGAACATTAAGGTTTAAAATAACATGAGAATATAGAACATTTTGATGGTATGCATAGTTGAAGCTCATAATTTCGAAATAAACATCGGGTTCCTTTATAATGTCTGTTAAAGATATTTAATAAATTCACATTAATCCAAATTCTCATACATTTCAACATCATCAAGAGCTAGGCTCTCAGTATACTTCTATATTAGAACTTATATACTAGGTTGTATTAAAGATTATGCAAAGGAGATGTATACAGAAATTACGTCTTGCGTTTTCGCGCGCACTTCTTACCTTTAATAGGTATCCGTGTGATTGGTTGCGTTAAATAATTAGTGAAAAATTCAAAATCCATTATAACTGGCTGATAACTTGCTGTAAAGTTATGATGCATTGATGAAATTTCAAAAATAATTGGCGATATTCCAGATATTAAAACTTTTACTTCTGAAGATTCTTCATACAATACTGAATATCCTGACGGATGATAATTGATACCTTCTTCCGATACTGCTGGAAGCATAAACACTAATTCACATCCGTGATAATTTAAGAATTTCTCATAGTTTTTGAGATTTGAACTCCACTTCATTGTTTTCTTGTTAAATGTGTTAAGTTTATTTAAATAAGGTCCCTGACATTTGTAGGAACTAAACCATTCAATTGTTGATAATGTGACTGTATCCACCTCATTAGTAATGAAGTAGGAATATAAAATAGGAAAGCCTGAATCTAATGTTGCATGTTGAGAATATTTGCAGATCCACGAGTCTGCTAGTTGATCAAATGTTAAGAACGAAGTGAGAAAAAAATATTTAATAGGCTGATTAGGATATCGGATAACATAATGAAAACTGCCAATATCAGGAACGTCTTCAATTGATTCAATAACAAAAATATTAGATAAGCGAAGTGCAGTATTCCTTGTTTCCAGTGAAAAATCTTTAAAAGTAAGATTATTGCTAAATTTTCCATTAATATTTGACATAAAATCTGTTAGAATGTCCTGCTGCAATTGCGAAATGTTGTTTAAGATTTTAATATCAAATCGAATATTTTCATTAATCAGAAATTCATCCACCACGTCATGTAGAACTTTTGAGATTATCTTCACATTTGGATCTAAATTATTTACGAAATTATCGCAAAAACTTAGATAAAATTTGAAACTTAAAATTAAAATCCATAAAATTTTCATATTTCAACTCAGAACTTTAGTAGATCTTGAAATCTTTGAGCAAACGGCGCAACTGAGTATATTGATTCTTTGTAATATAATTTTTTTGTTCATGAATATTTTATTGTAAAGGATTGTAACATAATTAAGAATTTGACATGAAAATCAATGGCAGTATTTGTAGTTCAATTCCACGTGTTTAATTAACAATTTGAGATAAAATCAAAAATTGTTAAAATTCGACAATTGTATTTTGAGGTTTGTTCAGGGGTTTGTTTTTAATTTACTATTTTTAATTGTTAAGTTGTTAGATCATAAAAACATAAAAAAAATTCAAAGAGCAAGTAAGTTCACTCGAGATTGTTCTCTAATAGTAGATATCCATTTCAATAAAGTTTAACTAATCAAATTCTTAAACTGCATGCTGAGAACCGTCGACTAGTGTCAATGCAATTATTTCCTTGCCAAGATTTGAATTTGAAACTAATAAGTTGATTCAAGTAGATTTTTCCTTTGATAGGATGCCAAACATTCTGAAGTATCATCACATTGGTGAATATCCTTAAATAGCTCTTCAGATTTTATAGGATGAATTTTTGCGAACTTAACTTTTCTTGGTATTTTCTTAAATCTTGCTGCTTGCTCGAGAATAAATGCCAAACACGAAATAAAGCACGAGCCAAGCCATATGTTAAACCCAAAAATAAGATCATAAATGCTCAAAACTTTTGGACCCTCTTCAAATCTCTCAAATTTCCACCTTCGTGTGTAATGATTTTCAATCAGATACTTCATCACTCCGGTTGGAATTAATCTATCAATAAGAATTTTAAACATTCTGAAAAAATAGCTGTGACTTCAGAACATGAAAACTTCCAGATGTGTATGCAAGACACTGTCATCCAGTTGATTCCAATTGTGATTTTTTTTGCACTTCTGACTCAATAAAATTTTGATTAAATTCATCAACACAAATGGTGAGCTTGGTTGAAGAATTCTTTAACTCTGTAAGGAAGAATTAATTTTACTTGTCTGTATTTTTGCTTCAAACGATCAAGAAATTTATCCCTGAATACTTTATGAGTATGCATGCATTACAGACGGAGCACAGAAGGATTTCACGAGAATATGACGACGATGTAGCCTCTCACCACAGTTTCTAGGATCAATCGGTATCAGATGACGAAAATTTTACAAAACAATCTAAAATTAAGATAATTTTTTTTACAGGTTCATTTTTATTTCTGTAACTTTTAAAGGAGAAAACGCCCCACTGTTCTTCCCAATTTTTTTTCGGGTGCTTGCATTTTTGATATTCGGTTGGCATTGATCTTTATAGAGGCGCTTCCAGATGGGTCACACACCTTCAATGGGGTGACACATTACGGCATGATTATGTAATCGGGTAATGTTGTTCAATTAACAGTTGGTTGACATCGTTGGCAAAACTTTTAGTTGCAATGAGTTGTTAACAATGCGTTACAACAAGATGTATGATTTAAAAAGGAGCGTAAGCGTATCTAAGGAATTGTACGATTCTCAAAGAGTCAAGAACAAACCAGTTAAATTTGGTGCATTCGATTTGCAATGTCAGATAGCTTAAAATTGATTTCTACTTAGTTTTGACAGCTAATAAGTCATAATAAATCTGCAAGATATCGCACATGTGGTAAAATAATCATTCCGATAAGACTTTTCATATAAAAAGTGATACACAATCTCAGAGTTCAAACAGTAGAAGTGAAATTGTCAAATCAAGTTTAAACTCTTAGTTGAAATGAATTTGAAGTCAATTTTCTCATTTCTTATCGTCGCGATAAATTTTGATGCCATATTCGGTCGATTAAGTTGCAATTATGTCGTATTGCCTAGTGGATATACTTGCAACTTAACCATCAATAATCCATTTGGCCTCAACATTTTTGTAAACATTAACGGCACTCATGTTTCTGGCTATACTGATAGTGATGTTCTCCGGGTAGTACGAGCTGCTGGATCAAATACACCGAACATCCCATCAATAATATGTTCAAAGTTTATGAATGTGGAACACATTGAGCTTCAATCGATTACAATATTTAATGTTGATGATTACTCCTTCGCTGGATGCACTGCATTGACTTTTTTGACTCTTGCTGGTAATTTTGTCAGCACGATTCATGAAAATGCATTTCAAAGAAATGTTAATCTTCATACTTTATACTTATTAAGGAATCAATTAACAACATTGCCTGAAAATGTTTTCCAACATCAACAAAAATTGAACACTTTATGGTTAGATTCAAATGGGTTTGATGATTTTCCATTACAAATATTTTGGCCACTAACAGGATTAGTAAATTTGGATATAGGATTTAATCAGTTTCGTACTATCACACCTGATTGGTTCAAATATCTCCAAAATTTACGGAGCCTTAACATTCAATATAATTTAATTTCTGATTTTCCAAAAAATGCATTCAATGAGTTGAAATCTTTAAATTCTTTTTTGTCAAGTGGTAACAGTTTGACAACGATTCGTGCAGATTCCTTTGGATTTCTACCAAATTTAGTATTTGCTGACGTCACTTTTAATGCAATAAATGCCATTGATGAGAATTTTATTAATAATACTGATATTAGTCGAATTGATATGCGTGGAAATTTCTGTGCTAATAAGGACATCTTTGATCCATCAATTTCAAGAGATATTATGAGAGCTGATCTAAGAGAATGCTTTAATAACTTCCAGACGACTATGTCAGGTGAGTGAATGATTTGTATTTTACTCATGTGTATTCAAAAATGTCTGCTTACTTGAATTAGGACTATCTAAGGGTATTTAAAGGCTAGAAGCTAAAGTAACATCCTACAACTACAAAGTGAGCATAATTTTTTAAAGGGGAATAAACACATAATAAAGTATTAAAATTAAACCATTTCTTATTTTGAATATATTTTGAATATCAATAAAATGATGAATGAATTTAGCGAAAAGCAGCAAAAATGTAAATTATTTTTCAATTATATAAATTTTTGAGATCCTCAGCTCATCTCTAAGCTTTAAATGTCAATGCATCATTATTATTGAACTAGGCTACTTGGGAGCGCCCGTGGCTTTCGTTATCAGGGTTTGAATTTGATTACTATTTTGTAAATAACTGTAAGACGCATACAACCTTAATGATTTTAAGGCCAATCTTACCACAAAACTTCACGTGGCTTCACAAACCTTTCAAATTTGGACCTACCTTACTCCACACCTGATACTCACCTTGTCAACAATCCCCAAATTATTGGCTTCACACGACTTCACAAATAGCTTCATGCGGCTTCCGTTCTAGAGTCTGGGAGGGGATTTGGTGTTTATATTGTAGATAAAAAAATAAAATAACTAAACTTTAGCATTATGACCTTAAAGATCCCATAGCTGCGCGTTTTTTATGCGTTAAAAGGCTAATGATAGTTTAACGAGAGAGGGTTCGCCAGACCACTGCACTCAAACCTAGACCTACAGTTTACAGTGAGATCCGAACCACTCCTCTGATGACATTTCTGCCTGTAGCATACAAGATCAGGAAGATATGATTCGAGAAAGGACAAGTGAAAACAATTTTCCCATGCCGAGTCTCGAACCCATGATCGCTGTGTCGGTATTGCAATAATTAGGTACCGAAGTACTAAACCATTCCGCCACTGAGCCACCTCAGCTCACTAATATTGTAGATGGTTTATTATATTCTGATGAAGAAGGTGCTTTTCTTGATTTTAATCAAGGAATTAAAAGAATTTGCGATTTTTTTTATCATTGGATGTCTAATGCTCCAACAACTTGATGTCTTGTACTTTAATAATAATCAGTATCATTTGAGAATGTATTCGCAAACCAACACGATATCAAAACTTTATGGCTAGATAAGAACAAAGTCATTGACTTTTTAAAATAGTAATTTAAAATTCAAACGCTAATCAGCTTTAGAAAATAATGGTCTGATAAACCAGCTACATAGAAGCTTTTGGACCTTCAATGCAGATCTCTAAAAGCAAGTCTATGTCATTCAAAGTCATCCATGCTAATTTATTTGGCTGATTATCTAATTTCGCAGACTTATGTAAGGGAATCTTTTGCATTGGAGTCAACTAATCTTTCATAATTAAACCACTGCTTTAATATTAATAATCAAAAGGTTAAAATTCATCACAAGTGCAATTCATTGGTATCAGCAGAATACTTATTTATAATTTTCACAAGAACTCTTATCAAAAAGATTCTTTATTATTTCAATACTTTCATTAAAGACTGACTTTTACAACTTTCATCCGTTGTAATAGGAAATTTATAATCAATCACCTGAGTTTTCTGAGAAAAGCTACGAATAATCTTAATTGATTATTTGCGCCAAAATTCGTATAAAATAAAGACCAACTTCCTCAAATTCATCCATTCAAGTAAGTGAATTGAAAGTGAAGTGACAAAAGTGAAACAAAAATGAATTTAAAAGTAATTTTGACAATTTTCATCTTAATGATGAATCATAATGTGATTTTTGGACAGCTAAGTTGTGCATATAATATGCATTTTAATACCTATGCATGCAATCTAACAATTCACAATCCAGACGGACTTAACAACTTTGACAACATTGAAGGAGAGCATTTACCAGGCTATACTGATAACGATGTAACTTATATGCTTAGTGTTTTTGGTTCAAATACATTAAACATTCCATCAATAATATGCGAAAAATTTAGAAGATTGAGATCAATTGATTTTCATAGAATTAATATTCAAAGACTTGATGATTACTCCTTTAAAGATTGTCCTGATCTTTCTATTTTGTATCTTCTTCATAATAACATCAGTATAATAAATGAAGCCGTATTCAGCAGTAATTCCTGGCTACGAGTCTTGTTTTTATCCGGAAATACACTAACAACATTACCAGAGAATATCTTCCAACACACTACAATTGAGTATTTGTACCTGACAAAGAATATGATTGTCGATTTGCCAATTAACATCTTTAGACCACTGACAAATTTGACTAACTTGCTACTAGCCGACAACCAAATTGAAAACTTAAGAATCGAATGGTTTGAAAATAATAAAGATTTGCAATATTTATACTTTGATAATAATAAGATTCAGCATCTTCCAGAAAATATGTTCAGCCCGATAGTTAAATTGTATCAACTTACTTTAGGATTCAATTATCTTAAAACTATTCAATTTAATTCTTTTGGATCTTTACAAAACTTGTGGATCATTGATCTTAACAATAATCAAATTGATGCAATTGATGAAAGTATTCTTGATAATACAACAGTGAAGCAACTTAATATGATAGGAAATTTGTGTGCAGACAAGAATATATTTGACAATTCAATTTCAAGTGATGTTCTGAGAACAGAATTAAGAACATGTTTTGATAATTTTAATAATATGGCATCTGGCAATTAAATAAATTAATGCTTGTAAATGTTAACTGTTTCAAAAATCTTAATTCTGAATAAAAATTAATTTCTTTAAATTTGCTTAAAAAAAAACTTTGAGAATAAATGATTAATATGTTAGTTGGTAGCACCATTAGACCACCAACCCCCCCCCCCCCTCACATCGTTGGGTATGAACTTATTACCTTCTGAACGCTCATATTTAATTTTTCCTAATCAAATTGATTCTTTATATAATATTTGATAAGATAAAGACAAAAATTGATAAGAAACAAAAAATAAAATTATGCGGGACTTAAATTTAAATGTTTATTATGTTTGGGATTTTCCAATAACTTATTAATTGTTATCTTATCAGAAATAGGGTTTAAATACTTGTGAAAGACCAGTCAGTGTTGCTTTATTGGTTACACATAGATGAGCTTATGTTTTGATTCGATGCAGGTAATTATGTGTAACTATGGAGAGTAGGTAAGAGTCAAATCCCTTCCATTATCACAAATATAGGAGCTTTGTGAAAAAATTCCAATACACCCCCTCCTCCCGTTCAAATATTACAGATCAATCTCCTGTCTAGATTGCTTGGTTTGTATAAACACTTTATTGGCAAATCATCTTCTTAATATTCATTGCCTACGAATTTGATGAACCTAGTTAATTTTTAAAAATTTATAGTTATGCTTCTACCAACACTGAAATCAGCTAAGATCACAAGCTTTTGGTGTCAATTAAAATTGGACTTTCAGAAACCGTCACATTTATCCTTTTCATTATCACAAAAGCTGAAGATTAAGAACCAAATCAAATAATCCAGCTGTTGATAAAATAAAATTGTATATAACAAGAAACAGCTTTTTTAAATTCATTCAGTCAAGTTAAAGCCATTGAGTTGAGTTATCATAATGAACTCTAAAGTGATATTGAGTATTTCATATTCACACAAAATTTTCAATTTTTGTGAATATATTGTTTTTGGTTTTACAGAAAATCAGTTTTTTTAACTTGCTGCTTCAGTCTTACCGAATCACTCCATAAGTCTGATATGTAAAAGTCTGTGCCTCGAAATACCTATCGAATGGTAAAAACTGCATCTTATTTCGTGCTTCCAGTTCCGCGAAATCGCCAAAAAAGGCATTCTGTTAGTTAGTTAGTTAGTTAGTTATTCGGAGCGATAACTCAATTTAAACTCAATATCAAGCCTTAATGTTACTTTTATCTGATAGATATTGGGTCATAGATTTGCTGTATAGTTTTTGGAGTCATAAGATGCTTCCAGTGAGGCACAAGATGCAAAAAACTATCATTTTTTGGCAAATTATAACCGATTATTCCAAAACACATTTGTTTACATTCATACAACAGAAAATATTTGTTGGTATAAGTGTGATATCAATAAAATGGTTGTGACAGTATGCATTAAGTTAAATGTATGTAAAAAAATGTTGGAACTAGCAAGTTCCTTCAGCATACTGTATCTATGTCTTTAAATACAAACTTCATTTGTATCATAATGAAAATATTTTTTTTTGCAATTGGAATTTTTTTTTTTTGGTATGATTCTTAATTTTTTTCCTGCTCGATTATTTTGTCTTTGTTTCAAACAGGCTTATACTTACTGGATCTTATTTCCAACGACAGCACAATTTCAATTTTACTTTCACAATGTCTGTGAAAGTGTGTTAAATACGTGTGAAATAATTGAATTAATTTTCCACAATGATTTTTCACTTTCAACAAATTTTCAAAGTTCACTACGAACTTTTTCTTATCTTAATTATAAAATTGATTGAAATTGTAATTGTCAAAGCCTACTTATATCTTTTTCTTATTTCTTAATTATAAAAAAAATTCAAATTGAAATTGTCAAAGCCCACTTGTACTTTTTCTCAAACTTTACTGGATCTTGATTTTAAGTTTCAGACATGCTTAAAACTTTACTGGATCTTGGTTTTAAGTTTCGGACATGCTTAAAACTTTACTGGATCTTGGTTTTAAGTTTCAGACATGCTTAAAACTTTACTGGATCTTGGTTTTAAGTTTCAGACATGCCTATAACTTTACTGGATCTTGGTTTTAAGTTTCGGACATGCTTAAAACTTAACTGGATCTTGGTTTTAAGTTTCGGACATGCCTATAACTTTACTGGATCTTGGTTTTAAGTTTCGGATATGCTTAAAACTTAACTGGATCTTGGTTTTAAGTTTCAGACATGCTTAAAACTTTACTGGATCTTGGTTATAAGTTTCAGACATGCTTAAAACTTTACTGGATCTTGGTTTTAAGTTAAGACATGCTTAAAACTTAACTGGATCTTGGTTTTAAGTTTCAGACATGCTTAAAACTTTACTTGATCTTGGTTTTAAGTTTAGACATGCTTAAAACTTTACTGGATCTTGGTTTTAAGTTTCGGACATGCCTATAACTTTACTGGATCTTGGTTTTAAGTTTCGGACATGCTTAAAACTTAACTGGATCTTGGTTTTAAGTTTCAGACATGCTTAAAACTTTACTGGATCTTGGTTTTAAGTTTCAGACATGCTTAAAACTTTACTGGATCTTGGTTTTAAGTTTCGGACATGCCTATAACTTTACTAGATCTTGGTTTTAAGTTTCGGACATGCTTAAAACTTAACTGGATCTTGGTTTTAAGTTTCAGACATGCTTAAAACTTTACTGGATCTTGGTTTTAAGTTTAGACATGCTTAAAACTTTACTGGATCTTGGTTTTAAGTTTCGGACATGCCTATAACTTTACTGGATCTTGGTTTTAAGTTTCGGACATGCTTAAAACTTAACTGGATCTTGGTTTTAAGTTTCAGACATGCTTAAAATTTTACTGGAACTTGGTTTTAAGTTTAGACATGCTTAAAACTTTACTGGATCTTGATTTTAAGTTTCAGACATGCTTAAAACTTAACTGGATCTTGGTTTTAAGTTAAGACATGCTTAAAACTTTACTGGATCTTGGTTTTAAGTTTCGGACATGCTTAAAACTTTACTGGATCTTGGTTAACCTATAAACCTGTAATCTATAAACAGTTGAACGAAACGGAGCACACAAGTTGCAAAACTTTTCAAGACTGTAACCTATGTTGAAGTCTGATCTACATAAGAGACTGACTGCGGAGCATTAATTTGAGTGATTTTTCAATTTTATAATCTATCGTTTACTAAGTGTGAAAGTTAATGGCTTTCTACATAAGTCGTATTTTTCATATTTATACTTTTAAAAATTGGCAAATTTTTGAATCATGATTTTCGTTATAAAACGTGTTCCTAATGCGTGGTATACTTTGTTGATAATGCAGCAAAATGTTGATATTAAGTCTTACATTTTATTGAGAGAAGATTTTTCAAGATTTTCTGAACAATACATGGAGAGTTCTATAGGATTGTGTGAATATTCCCATGAAGCGTGATCGGCTTCATTACTAGTTTATCTTTGCGATAAGTTCAAGTGTGATTAATGGTCAGTTAAGTTGTTCATTCAGCAACACTTTTCATGGCTACACCTGCAGTCTGTTGATTGTTAATCCTGATGGACTTAATAACTTTGACACAGTGATTGGAATGCATGTGCCACCTCTGACAGATAATGATGTTCAAGCAGTCCTCATCCGGCCAGGTTCAAATAGCACAAATCTTCCATCAATCCTTTGTCAAACATACAGAAATTTACGTCACATTGCAATATCCGGCATTGGAATTCAAAGAGTCGATGATTTTTCATTCGAGAATTGTGCATCTCTTACCTTCCTGGATTTATTCAACAATCAAATCACCACAGTAAGTGAGCGTGCATTTGTAAGGAACACAGAGCTACAAACTTTATATTTGTACAACAATCCAATCACAACGCTGCCTGAAAATGTCTTCCAAGGTCAAGCCAGATTAGTAACTTTATGGTTAATGCAGAACAGAATCGCAGATCTTCCAGCTAACATCTTCAGTCCGCTTCAAAATTTAAATGAACTTGACATCCGTACCAATCAAATTAGAAGCCTCAGGCCTGAGTGGTTTGCTAATCTTCCGAGATTGACAAATTTGGTCCTGACTAATAACTTCATCTCGGATCTACCAAATAATGTTTTCACACCACTCAGCAGCTTGACATGGTTTACTATCCAAAACAATGATTTAACAGTAGTCCACGGACGTTCCTTTGAAAATTTGCCAATTTTAAGATCAATTAATTTGAGTGGTAATAGAATCGACGCAATCGATGAACAATTAATTGACTTTACAGGTGTAAGTTTCTTATCTACAATTGGGAACATTTGTTCAAGCAGGAGTATAACAGACAATTCAATCACACGATCGGCCATGCGAGCTGAGCTGAATATTTGTATTCGTAATTACAATGCATTGTTTCCTAGCAGGGGAATTTAAACTAAGAATTTTTATTAACAATAAATTGAAATAATGTTTTTGTCCAAAAATTAAATGTCAGGTCATAAGATAAGCATGACGCTGGTGGGAAAAAATTGTTAAAAATTTATCAGCTTTTATAAGGTTTAACTTAATACTGTAGTACTTAAAGATAAGAAATATAAATAAATGTTTGAATAAAACGTGCGTTTTTACAAAAGAGTAAAGTTTAATTAATTTATAATTTATAAATTTTGCACGAGTTACATTCTAAGTACCGAAGGATTAATGAGAAATCAGGATCACATGGTATTAGGTGGCTGGAGATCATTTATGAAAAATTAATATTGGGTTGCTTAATTCTTATTAACCAGTTGACCTAACCTGCTCCTATCCTTTGAAAAAATAGCACCTTTATCAAAGTTTTATCATCACTAATCTCAAGTACTTTCCCAATATCAATCACAGGTGTTTAAAAATGAAATCTCAGTCAAGTATTTTATTGGGTGTGAGCTGTTTGCTATAGGTAGTTAAAAATTAATCTTTAAGTAATTCCAATTTAAGCCCAAGTCAGCTCAAGTGTTTGTTTACTTTGTTATTTTTAACAAATAAATCAATGAATTTTCCGTAGCTTATCAGTTTTTTATGGCTAACCGAGAGTGGTGTTTAATAAATGATATACACATTTCGTTATCCCGATTGACAGAATCAAGCGGTAGCC